AATTTTGCCCAAACATCAGACCTGGTGAAAAATTTGATATTTGGGTGTTTATTTTTATGGGACTCAAAAAATGCCAGAACAGCGCCACCTACAACAGCCAATGGGAGTTTCAGAGGTCAAGTTTGTCGTAGAGCCATGAAATTCGGTACACATGTTCCTCAAGTCAAGATACGACCGAAATGTTATCATGGCTCCGCCCTCTGACAAACAGGAGGCCCATAAATGTCACTGCAAAATGGAAAAATGAACAGCAAAAGTTTTCATACATGTCGGTTGGAAAGCGACTCCTCCTCGGCCGTTTCACCGATTGGCCTCCATATCACTCCACATTGTCTAAACACATGTACCATCAAAATGACCTCAGGGATTTTTGATCAGTGAAACGTTGTTTGAGCAGCGGAGCGGCAAAATGTGAGTGTTTTTTTGGCCGTTTTTGACAACATTAATTTTTTTCCCGTTTGCACAAACAAAGATTGATTTGCATTAAACTTGAATCCATTGTTCAACTCCAGGGTTTAGGTCAGGTGAAAGTGAAATATTTGAAATTGGCCCATTAGCGCCCCCTACAGACTGATTCAAAGTTTACATGGGGAGCCAAACCAGCTCTACTTATCATATTCATTACAATTTGACTAAGTTCTTCTATGGCTACGGGAACCAATCATCACACGGCGGCGCCACCTCCTATGCGCGGTGCTGCGTGGTACGGTGTGGTGCAGCGCGTTGTGGCTTGGTGCGGGGCGGCGTGATGTGGGACAGCGTGGTGCAGGGCGGCGTGGTGCGGGGTGGCTTGGCACGGGGTGGTGCACGCGGTGCGGAGAGTCGCGCGGTGCGGCGAGGGCCGTTTGACGCCGCTTGCGGCTTTAATCTGATATTGTACCTCTAAAAACATGTACAATATTTAACAACTTTGCTGATATTTTCTCCCAATGTTCTTTCTCTCCTTCGCGATTTACAAAACCTTATTTATAGCACATGTGAAATTCTCTCGAGTCATTATCCTGTATCTTTTTGGACGAGATAACACTTTTCCAGACCATATTTTGAAGACAATTCTGAAAAAATGTCAGAGGCTATATTTACATTTGAGAAGACACTTCCTTGGCAGATGTTTTTTTCTTCTTGCGATTATTTATATCTATATTTCTTGGCGGCTTCAGTTTTCCGTTTTCCTTCAGCTTCATGCAGTCGCTGTCCCCGCCTCCTGCTTCTCAAACGTCCAATGAGATTCTTTGTTAAAAGAAATTCTCGCAGCTCTTGAAATCTCACTGAACTCGTGCAAACGCTGATCTTTTTCTGATACTGTCAAATATCGCCACACGACCGCCGCCATCTTCTTTGTTTTTTCTATTGAGGAAAGTGCAAAGACGCCCTCTAGTGGTGTCTTTTCACCCACGCCACAAAGTGCTTTGGGTGACCTTGGTCTGTAAAATGTGCTATATAAATAAACATTACTTACTTATTTTCCAGCCCCAGCGGCCATTTTGAAACTGCCCACAGAAGCTAAAAGTCATGGAACATTAGTTTGAACGGCGGAGATAGGCGTGACTACGTCGGGTAATATTTTCAGTCTATGGTTTGGCCTCTTGCTTCTGTCGTCTCTGTGGAATTAATAAGAATGACTGGTACAACAACATTTGAAGAGTGTTTTGTGCGACCGTGGTCTGAGAAATAAATAAATAAAGCGAACTTACTCACTTAGACTGGGATGAAATGGGTCCACTATAACATGAATGTGAAAACTAGTGAGGACCCCGTTTTGATTTTATTTCACAGTTCAAGTATTTTGTGGTTTCAAAGTAAAGTACCCCAGAAATAGATCCATAAATATTACGTACTCACTCAAACTGGGTTGAAATCGGTCAGATAAACGGTTGCTGCTGATGCTGGAAGAGTTATTTTCTCAGATAAGGACTGAATGTAAAAGTGCAAAGGGAAAGCATGCCTCAAGGGTTCTTGGAAAACCATCTCCTTCTACATAGGTCATAATGGATTTGTACCAATGCTGCTGCACTCAGTCTGATATCTGTGTGTCCAATCTGAAGGAGGACGTTTTTACTTTTTTTGTTTGTTTGTTAATTATTGAGCGATTTTTAGTCCAGCCGTCGAAGCCAAAACAAACCCTCAACTACGAAAGTGCAAACAGCGAAAGCATTCTCATGGTCTGGCTCCTGTTAAACACATGTTTTAATAATCTGTTCTTCATCCAGTCATTTAGCTGCAAATAATAAGTCAAACAAAATAGTAAGTAATTTAAGTAATCTTTATTTATATACCGCCTTTTCACTGCACATCGGAGTCTCAAAGCGGTTTACAATTGTTATTTTTGGGAGTGGGGCCAGTACAGGAGGCACATGCCAGACCTATTGTACATATTTTTAGTGGTAGGGGAAACCGGAGCACCCGGAGGAAACCTACGCAGACACGGGGAGAACATGCAAACTCCACTCAGAAAGGCCCTGGTCCAACCGGGATTCGAACCCAGGACCTTCTTGCTGAGAGGCGAGAGTGCTATCCACTCAGCCACCGTGCCGCCCAAAATGAATTAGAATATTGTTAAAAAGTCCATTTACTTTTGTACTTCCACTTTAAATGTGAGACTAATAGACTCATTATCAAGCTCTTGTTTGTTATGATGTTGATAATTGGTTCACAGTTTGTAAAAAAAAAACGGTTTTTAGATTATTAGAATATTTTGGAAATGGACCGACATAATAATCAGAATTATAATTATTACTATGTGTGTAACAAGTTGAAATCCTTATTATGTATTTTACTTTGTGGCCATACCTGCAGGTGAAAGCCAGATCCTGTCAGACCTCTGAAGCTAAGCAGGGCAGGGCCTGGTTAGTACTGGATGGGAGACCTCGGGAACAGCAGGTGCCACAGTGGGGCGGCTGCGGCTACAAAGAGCCAAACTGTGGCTGTGTCCTTCGGCAAGACACTTCACCTACACTGCCTGGAATGACTCTAGTGTGGGTGAGCGGCTGGTGGAGGACAGAGGGGCCAATGGCACAGACTGATTGTCTCGCTTCAGTCAGTGTGCCCTGGGGCAGCTGTGGCTACAGTAGTAGTTTATCACCAATGTGTTTGTCAGGTGAAAACAATGCATTATTACTTTTTAGTTGAATAACAGAATTAAATGATGTTTTTGGACAAAACTATCTAGTTTCACCTGATGACTGTTGGGTAATGCAGTCATAATTATTATACATTTATCTTTATTGTTACATACTACTTACTTTATAATCAGGTACTATTCATAAAGAACAATAGATTTTGAATTTCGGGTTACATGTTTTTAAATGTATTGATTCATTCTCCAGGTTGAGATTTATTGGATCAATTATTGTTATTATTCTCATGAAACATGTAGATTTATTTTTTTATGAGGGAACAAGACATTTCACGGTTTAAAAACATGTATTAACTTTAGTGTCATTTTCCTGCTGAGTCATCATTTCGCAGGACTCCCAAATTGGCGCCAAACAAACACGTCGATATGAGTCCTTTCTGAGGCCAAGGCTCTTGTGGAAATTAGTTTTAGAAAATGAAAACAATGAAACAGGCACAAACTCCGTCTCCATGGAGACCAGCAGCAGCGGCAGAAAGACAATGATGCTTGATTAGGGAAACAATTGGAGGCAAGTTTTCAAGGATATTAAGAGCTATAAGAAGCCAGAGTTAGGCAGAGTACTTAGAACATTCTGAATACATGACCTAAAATGTATTTTGTATAGTACAGTAACTCTATTCCGCATAATTAGAATATATTTATTGGATCATTGCCTTTTATGACTCTCAAACAAATATACCCTCTGGAAAAATAACCTGCTAATTTACACCCACAGATGCATGCGCTAACACACACACACATTCACAAAAACGTTTAGCTAATTCAAGCTTAGCGGTTGCTGGGGGGGCTATTTTTATTTTTTTACAATAGCACTGAGAAGAAAATAGAATGATTGAACTTCCACAAAATGAAAGCTTTGGCGACTTGCGTTGTTGCCGTGTGTCGTGCGCTGATGATGCTCCTCCATGTTAGTTTGGAGCAGACTTTTCAGACAGACAAGTGTGTTTGTGAATACATGCTTAAAGTAAAGTGTATATAAGTGTGGTTCTGTCGTGTGCAGTGTTCTCTCTTCATCATGAACCACTTTATCACTGCAGCTCTCAGGAAACTGTGAAAGCTTGAGCTGAAGATGGTGTCACATAAGACCACAATCTAACTTTGCAGACTCTAAACCAGGGGTGTCCAAACTTTTTAGTGATAGGGCCATTGCAGTTGACCTGATTTGTCCAGGGGCCGACATCACAGATAACAGCTTTGACTGGATCAGGTCAAGGTTCTGAGCTTAAAATGAGAAAAAAAGATTCACATTTGACAGACGTTTATTCTTGGAAGTCAAAAACAAATGTCAGTATATGCAAATAATATTAACGGCTGAGTTCCAAAGGGTCTGAGGTTCACAACGAGGTGCAGCGTGTCTAAAATGGTGGAGCTGAAGTTGGATGACTCTGTGAACTTGTGTTTACGATCCTAATGGATAATTTGGGTTAGCAATGCAGAGGGCCACATGACATGACACAGAGGGCCGCAATTGGCCCCCGGACCTCAGTTTGGACATACTTGCTCTATAACTTCACATGATTTTGTACTTTTTATAAATAAACAAACCGTGTGGTCCTTTTGAGCCCACAACTGTTTGAGCCCTACACAAAAGTACAACAAACATCATGGAGTGGATTTTATTTTTTGTTCTTTTTCTGACTTCAGTTCTGCGATTGTGTTTCTAAAGGAGGATCTTTGTTTACCCCCGCCTCGCTGGGTGGCGAGAGCGAGAGCTGCGCATACTGAAGCATGGATACAACCAGTACTTTTTAAAGACTCAGTGGGACCAGTCTAGTTTAGCTGCTGTGGACTTTTGAATGCACCTTTTAAATGAATGGGGCTAGTGCAGCTAATGTACGTCACTACGTCTGTTGATATTTACAGTCTATGGTTTATACGAACCTGTGCTCCTCCTGTGCTCCTCTCCTGTGCTCCTCTCCTGTGCTCCTCTCCCCTGCTCCTCTCCTGTGCTCCTCCTGTGCTCCTCTCCTGTGCTCCTCTCCTGTGCTCCTCTCCTGTGCTCCTCTCCTGTGCTCCTCTCCCCTGCTCCTCTCCTGTGCTCCTCCTGTGCTCCTCTCCTGTGCTCCTCTCCCCTGCTCCTCTCCTGTGCTCCTCTCCTGTGCTCCTCTCCTGTGCTCCTCCTGTGCTCCTCTCCTGTGCTCTCCTCTCCTGTGCTCCTCCTGTGCTCCTCTCCTGTGCTCCTCTCCTGTGCTCCTCTCCTGTGCTCCTCTCCTGTGCTCCCTCCTGTGCTCCTTGTGCTCCTCTCCTGTGCTCCTGTGCCCTCTCCTGTGCTCCTCTCCTGTGCTCCTCTCCTGTGCTCCTCCTGTGCTCCTCTCCTGTGCTCCTCTCCTGTGCTCCTCTCCTGTGCTCCTCTCCTGTGCTCCTCCTGTGCTCCTCTCCTGTGCTCCTCTCCTGTGCTCCTCTCCTGTGCTCCTCTCCTGTGCTCCTCTCCTGTGCTCCTCTCCTGTGCTCCTCTCCTGTGCTCCTCCTGTGCTCCTCTCCTGTGCTCCTCTCCCTGCTCTCTCCTGTCTCTGTGCTCTCTCCTGTGCTCCTCTCCTGTGCTCTCTCCTGTGCTCCTCTCCTGTACTCTCCTCCTCTCCTGTGCTCCTCTCCTGTGCCTCCTCCTCTCCTGTGCCCCTCTCCTGTGCTCCTCTCCTGTGCTCCTCTCCTGTACTCCTCCTGTGCTCCTGCTCTCTCCTGTGCTCCTCTCCTGTCCTGCCCTCCTGTGCTCCCTCCTGTGCTCCTCTCCTGTGCTCCTCTCCTGTGCTCCTGTGCTCCTCTCCTGTGCTCCTCTCCTGTGCTCCTCTCCTGTGCCCCTCTCCTGTGCTCCTCTCCTGTGCTCCTCTCCTGTGCTCCTCTCCTGTGCTCCTCTCCTGTGCTCCTCCTTGTCCTCTCCTGTGCTCCTCTCCTGTGCTCCTGTGCTCCTCCTATGCTCCTCCTGTGCTCCTCTCCTGTGCTCCTCTCCTGTGCTCCTCCTATGCTCCTCTCCTGTGCTCCTCTCCTGTGCTCCTCCTATGCTCCTCTCCTGTGCTCCTCTCCTGTGCTCCTCCTGTGCTCCTCTCCTGTGCTCCTCCTGTGCTCCTCTCCTGTGTTCCTCTCCTGTGCTCCTCCTGTGCTCCTCCTGTGCTCCTCTCCTGTGCTCCTCCTGTGCTCCTCTCCTGTGCTCCTCTCCTGTGCTCCTCCTGTGCCCCTCTCCTGTGCTCCTCCTATGCTCCTCCTGTGCTCTCTCTCCTGTGCTCCTCTCCTGTGCTCCTCTCCCGGCTCCTCTCCTGTGCTCCTCCTGTGCTCCTCTCCTGTGCTCCTCTCCTGTGCCCTCTCCTGTGCTCCTCCTATGCTCCTCCTGTGCTCCTCTCCTGTGCTCCTCTCCTGTGCTCCTCCTATGCTCCTCCTGTGCTCCTCTCCTGTGCTCCTCTCCTGTGCTTCTCCTATGCTCCTCTCCTGTGCTCCTCTCCTGTGCTCTCTGTGCTCCTCCCTCTCTCCTCCTGCTCCTCTCCTGTGCTCCTCTCCTGTGCTCCTCTCCTGTGCTCCTCTCCTGTGCTCCTCCTGTGCTCCTCTCCTGTGCTCCTCTCCTGTGCTCCTCCTGTGCTCCTCTCCTGTGCTCCTCTCCTGTGCTCCTCTCCTGTGCTCCTCTCCCCTGCTCCTCTCTCCTGTGCTCCTCTCCTGTGCTCCTCCTGTGCTCCTCTCCTGTGCTCCTCTCCTGTGCTCCTGTGCTCCTCCTGTGCTCCTCCTGTGCTCCTCTCCTGTGCTCCTCTCCTGTGTCTCTCCTCTCCTGTCCTACTCTCTCTCTCCCTCCTGTGCTCTCTCCTGTGCTCCTCTCCTGTGCTCCTCTCCTGTGCTCCTCTCTCCTGTGCTCCTCTCCTGTGCTCCTCTGTGCTCTCTCCTGTGCTCCTCTCCTGTGCTCCTCTCCTGTGCCCTCCTGTGCTCCTCTCCTGTGCTCCTCTCCTGTGCTCCTCTCCTGTGTCCTCCTCTCCTGTGCTCCTCTCCTGTGCTCCTCTCCTGTGCTCCTCTCCTGTGCTCCTCTCCTGTGCTCCTCTCCTGTGCTCCTCTCCTGTGCTCCTCTCCTGTGCTCCTCTCCTGTGCTCCCTCCTGTGCTCCTCTCCTGTGCTCCTCTCCTGTGCTCCTCCTGTACTCCTCTCCCCTGCTTCTCTCCTGTGCTCCTCTCCTGTGCTCCTCTCCTGTGCTCCTCTCCTGTACTCCTCTCCCCTGCTCCTCTCCTGTGCTCCTCTCCTGTGCTCCTCTCCTGTACTCCTCTCCCCTGCTCCTCTCCTGTGCTCCTCTCCTGTGCTCCTCTCCTGTGCTCTTCTCCTGTGCTCCTCTCCTGTGCTCCTCTCCTGTGCTCCTCTCCTGTACTCCTCTCCCCTGCTCCTCTCCTGTGCTCCTCTCCTGTGCTCCTCTCCTGTGCTCCTCTCCTGTGCCTCCTCCCCTCCTGTGCTCCTCTCCTCTCCTGTGCTCCTCTCCTGTACTCCTCCTGTGCTCCTCCTGTGCTCCTCTCCTGTGCTCCTCCTGTGCTCCTCCTGTGCTCCTCTCCTGTGCTCCTCTCCTGTGCTCCTCTCCTGTGCTCCTCTCCTGTGCTCCTCTCCTGTACTCCTCTCCCCTGCTCCTCTCCTGTGCTCCTCTCCTGTGCTCCTCTCCTGTGCTCCTCTCCTGTGCTCCTCTCCCCTGCTCCTCTCCTGTGCTCCTCTCCTGTGCTCCTCTCCTGTGCTCCTCTCCTGTGCTCCTCTCCTGTGCTCCTCTCCTGTACTCCTCCTGTGCTCCTCCTGTGCTCCTCCTGTGCTCCTCTCCTGTGCTCCTCTCCTGTGCTCCTCTCCTGTGCTCCTCTCCTGTGCTCCTCTCCTGTGCCCCTCTCCTGTGCCCCTCTCCTGTGCTCCTCTCCTGTGCTCCTCTCCTGTGCTCCTCTCCTGTGCTCCTCTCTCCTGTGCTCCTCTCCTGTGCTCCTCCTATGCTCCTCCTGTGCTCCTCTCCTGTGCTCCTCTCCTGTGCTCCTCCTATGCTCCTCTCCTGTGCTCCTCTCCTGTGCTCCTCCTATGCTCCTCTCCTGTGCTCCTCTCCTGTGCTCCTCCTGTTCTCCTCTCCTGTGCTCCTCCTGTGCTCCTCTCCTGTGTTCCTCTCCTGTGCTCCTCCTGTGCTCCTCCTGTGCTCCTCTCCTGTGCTCCTCTCCTGTGCCCCTCTCCTGTGCTCCTCCTATGCTCCTCCTGTGCTCCTCTCCGGTGCTCCTCTCCTGTGCTCCTCTCCGGTGCTCCTCTCCTGTGCTCCTCCTGTGCTCCTCTCCTGTGCTCCTCCTGTGCCCCTCTCCTGTGCTCCTCCTATGCTCCTCCTGTGCTCCTCTCCTGTGCTCCTCTCCTGTGCTCCTCCTATGCTCCTCCTGTGCTCCTCTCCTGTGCTCCTCTCCTGTGCTTCTCCTATGCTCCTCTCCTGTGCTCCTCTCCTGTGCTCCTCCTGTGCTCCTCTCCTGTGCTCCTCTCCCCTGCTCCTCTCCTGTGCTCCTCTCCTGTGCTCCTCTCCTGTGCTCCTCTCCTGTGCTCCTCCTGTGCTCCTCTCCTGTGCTCCTCTCCTGTGCTCCTCCTGTGCTCCTCTCCTGTGCTCCTCTCCTGTGCTCCTCTCCTGTGCTCCTCTCCTGTGCTCCTCTCCCCTGCTCCTCCTCCTGTGCTCCTCTCCTGTGCTCCTCTCCTGTGCTCCTCTCCTGTGCTCCTCCTGTGCTCCTCTCCTGTGCTCCTCTCCTGTGCTCCTCTCCTGTGCTCCTCCTGTGCTCCTCTCCTGTGCTCCTCTCCTGTGCTCCTCTCCTGTGCTCCTCCTGTGCTCCTCCTGTGCTCCTCTCCTGTGCTCCTCTCCTGTGCTCCTCTCCTGTACTCCTCTCCCCTGCTTCTCTCCTGTGCTCCTCTCCTGTGCTCCTCTCCTGTGCTCCTCTCCTGTACTCCTCTCCCCTGCTCCTCTCCTGTGCTCCTCTCCTGTGCTCCTCTCCTGTACTCCTCTCCCCTGCTCCTCTCCTGTGCGCCTCTCCTGTGCTCCTCTCCTGTGCTCCTCTCCTGTGCTCCTCTCCTGTACTCCCTCCCCTGCTCCTCTCCTGTGCTCCTCTCCTGTGCTCCTCTCCTGTGCTCCTCTCCTGTGCTCCTCTCCTGTGCTCCTCTCCTGTGCTCCTCTCCTGTGCTCCTCTCCTGTCTCCTCCTCCTGTGCTCCTCCTGTGCTCCTCCTGTGCTCTCTCCTGTGCTCCTCCTGTGCTCCTCCTGTGCTCCTCTCCTGTGCTCCTCTCCTGTGCTCCTCTCCTGTGCTCCTCTCCTGTGCTCCTCTCCTGTGCTCCTCTCCTGTGCTCCTCTCCTGTACTCCTCTCCCCTGCTCCTCTCCTGTGCTCCTCTCCTGTGCTCCTCTCCTGTGCTCCTCTCCTGTGCTCCTCTCCTGTGCTCCTCTCCTGTACTCCTCCTGTGCTCCTCCTGTGCTCCTCTCCTGTGCTCCTCCTGTGCTCCTCCTGTGCTCCTCTCCTGTGCTCCTCTCCTGTGCTCCTCTCCTGTGCTCCTCTCCTGTGCTCCTCTCCTGTGCTCCTCTCCTGTGCTCCTCCTGTGCTCCTCTCCTGTGCTCCTCTCCTGTGCTCCTCTCCTGTGCTCCTCTCCTGTGCTCCTCTCCTGTGCTCCTCTCCTGTGCTCCTCTCCTGTACTCCTCTCCCCTGCTTCTCTCCTGTGCTCCTCTCCTGTGCTCCTCTCCTGTGCCCCTCTCCTGTGCTCCTCCTCTCTCCTGTGCTCCTCTCCTGTGCTCCTCTCCTGTGCTCGTGCTCTCCTGTGCTCCTCTCCTGTGCTCCTCCTATGCTCCTCCTGTGCTCCTCTCCTGTGCTCCTCTCCTCCTGTGCTCCGCTCCTGTGCTCCTCCTATGCTCCTCTCCTGTGCTCCTCTCCTGGTGCTCCTCCTGTGCTCCTCTCCTGTGCTCCTCCTGTGCTCCTCTCCTGTGTTCCTCTCCTGTGCTCCTCCTGTGCTCCTCCTGTGCTCCTCTCCTGTGCTCCTCTCCTGTGCTCCTCCTGTGCCCCTCTCCTGTGCTCCTCCTTGCTCCTCCTGTGCTCCTCTCCTGTGCTCCTCTCCGTGCCTGTGCTCCTCTCCTGTGCTCCTCTCCTGTGCTCCTCTCCTGTGCTCCTCCTGTGCTCCTCTCCTGTGCTCCTCCTGTGCCCTCTCCTGTGCTCCTCCTGTGCTCCTCCTGTGCTCCTCTCCTGTGCTCCTCTCCTGTGCTCCTCTCCTGTGCTCCTCCTCTCCTGTGCTCCTCCTGTGCTCCTCTCCTGTCTCTCCTGCTCCTCCTGTGCTCCTCTCCTGTGCTCCTCCTGTGCTCCTCTCCTGTGCTCCTCTCCTGTGCTCCCTCCTGTGCTCCTCCTGTGCTCCTCTCCTGTGCTCCTCTCCTGTGCTCTCTCCTGTGCTCCTCTCCTGTGCTCCTCCTGTGCTCTCTCCTGTGCTCTCTCCTGTGCTCCTCCTGTGCTCCTCCTGTGCTCCTCTCCTGTGCTCCTCCCTGGCTCCTCTCCTGTGCTCCTCCTGTGCTCCTCTCCTGTGCTCCTCCTGTGCCCTCTCCTGTGCCCTCTCCTGTGCCCTCTCCTGTGCTCCTCTCCTGTGCTCCTCTCCTGTGCTCCTCTCCTGTGCCCTCTCCTGTGCTCCTCTCCTGTGCTCCTCTCCTGTGCTCCTCTCCTGTGCTCCTCTCCTGTGCTCCTCTCCTGTGCTCCTCTCCTGTGCTCCTCTCCTGTGCTCCTCCTGTGCTCCTCTCCTGTGCTCCTCTCCTGTGCTCCTCCTTGCTCCTCTCCTGTGCTCCTCTCCTGTGCTCCTCCTGTGCTCCTCTCCTGTGCTCCTCTCCTGTGCTCCTCCTGTGCTCCTCTCCTGTGCTCCTCCTGTGCTCCTCTCCTGTCCTCTCCTGTGCTCCTCCTGTGCTCCTCCTGTGCTCCTCTCCTGTCTCCTGTGCTCCTCTCCTGTGCTCCTCCTGTGCTCCTCCCTCCTCCTGTGCTCCTCCTATGCTCCTCCTGTGCTCCTCTCCGGTGCTCCTCTCCTGTGCTCCTCTCCGGTGCTCCTCTCCTGTGCTCCTCCTGTGCTCCTCTCCTGTGCTCCTCCTGTGCCCCTCTCCTGTGCTCCTCCTATGCTCCTCCTGTGCTCCTCTCCTGTGCTCCTCTCCTGTGCTCCTCTCCTGTGCTCCTCCTATGCTCCTCCTGTGCTCCTCTCCTGTGCTCCTCTCCTGTGCTCTCTCCTGTGCTTCTCCTATGCTCCTCTCCTGTGCTCCTCTCCTGTGCTCCTCCTGTGCTCCTCTCCTGTGCTCCTCCTGTGCTCCTCCTGTGCTCCTCTCCTGTGCTCCTCCTGTGCTCCTCTCCTGTGCTCCTCCTGTGCCCCTCTCCTGTGCTCCTCCTGTGCTCCTCTCCTGTGCTCCTCCTGTGCTCCTCTCCTGTGCTCCTCTCCTGTGCTCCTCCTGTGCTCCTCTCCTGTGCTCCTCCTGTGCTCCTCTCCTGTGCTCCTCTCCTGTGCTCCTCTCCTGTGCTCCTCTCCCCTGCTCCTCTCCTGTGCTCCTCTCCCCTGCTCCTCTCCCCTGGTTGCTGGAGCATTGTCAATATCTTAACCTGGCAAAAGCCAGATTGATGATTGTGTAGAACTCTAACGCGTTCTCCGCGAGTGTTTGTGAACTCACAAATACCGCGAGAATTCAGCTTGCAGGCAAGGTTATCAATATCTGCCCATGTCCTTGTCTATGTCTATATTTCTTGCTAATTAGTTATTTTTGAGTCCACTGCACTTTTATTTATCACTACATAATGATCTTTTTTAGCATTTTTGTCCTCTTTCACCTCCTGTGCTCCTCTCCTGTGCTCCTCTCCTTTCACCTCCCTCCGTGACAAAAACATACCAGTTTCTTCCCAATTGTTATGCCTGAGCAAACCCGGAGAGGCTGTTAAGGTAAACACTGCACCCGCTGAGTGCTTCACATTGTTGACACTTCCAAACAGACTTGTTGCTTGTTCTTTCCTCTGTCATTAGAGTGAGGAAGACGAGACACATAAACACACACAGTCCTAATACTTCCTGGGGACAGATCTAAGCATAGAATATTATACTTGTCCTAACCTTTAATCAAGTGCATCATGCAGAGCTGATGGACATAAAAGGAACGCTAAATGAAACAAAGTGCAATGTTCTTTGACATCAGTGGAAATGGAATCGTATATTATTCCAGTCACATGTCAACAAGTATAAAAGAGCAGTGATGAAGCAAGTTCTTTTTAGGAGACGTTTTGTGCTATTTTTTTGAGCTTTTAACCATAAAAAAACAGACCCACCCCTTTAAAAGCTCCGGTCTAAGTCCTGTAATGGTATAATGTCATTGTACCACATCACGCTCAGAGCCGTTTTCTGTCTTCTAAAAAGCATTGTCTTGTAAACAGTTTTGGCAGTTATCGGGATGAAATTATATTCTTGCCTGGCTGTGTTTTCAAATAATTAAGAGAAAAATAATAATAATAATCCGACGGAGCCGCAAGAGACCCCTTCTGCAGGAAAATGTGAAAAAATGCATTAGCTGCACTAGCCCCATTCATTTAACGAGTGCATTCCAAAGTCCACAGCAGCTAAGACTGCTCCAAAATAAAAAAATAAAAAACCACCCCTCGGCATTAACAGCATCTGCCGGCTCTTGTTGGGCCGAAAGAGACTTTTGGACCATCCTGTAAAGACGTTTTTGAGAGGGAAGAAGACGCCATTCAAAAGCATTGGGTAATTCTCTTTCCGTGTACACCCCCACAGCCTGGGGTGAGATTGCAGCGTGTCAGACCGTGTGCTCATGGACCTTTTTGAGCCAAGACCCGCCCACACAGGTAAATATATGACATTTGTCTGGTATAGAAGAACCAATGAATTAGTCCTCATTGTTCATTGTACAGTCTGACAGGAGTCTGACAGGTAAGCATATTCAACTCTTCATACTTATATCAACATATATTCTCAATTTAAAGGTATATATAGGAAGATTTTGCCCACATTTTAGGAAAGAACCGCCCTCTCCACTGTTCGAAAAAACAAAACAAAAACAAAAATGACTACGGGTGCAACCAGAATGATTGACAGTTGGGAGGACCAATAGTCTTGATGATTCACCTGGAAGTAGAAAATCCTCCTATATACATTTAAGATATTTCTTCCCAATCTAATGCCATTTATGTCAATTTCTTTTTTGCGTACCGTACTATAATTTTATCTACTAACTTGTTTTTTTCCTAAATTAGCAATTTTCTTGTTTGTGACTTCTTGTTAGTTAGTAAGATATCTTTATTAATATAGTGCAGTTATGGCAATGAAAAGAATAAATTGTCTCATCATTTTGAATGGAAAAAGCTAATGCATAATATTTATAGAGAAGCAGGTACAGTATTTTAAAGTACTTTTTCCCATTTATTTGAATTGTGTAGTGAAGTTCACAAAGGTTAAATAACTATCTGGACAATTCCATTTCGAAACGAGGTCCATTCTGTTCACACCTCCCACGTCTCCAACACGACTCGCGGCCTGTTGAATCCTACATCTTCATCGTTTATCGCGTCTGCAATCTCTCACACACAGCCGCTTCTGCCGCTGATTATGAGTAGATGCACGTTTTTCCCTTTTATCGCAGCAAATAACCGTAGTGAGTGTTGACAGGACTGGATAACGCTGGGGCTTTCATGTGGAGAAGCTCTCAATGGTCCGCCACGTACGGCAGGAGTGTGGGCTGAAGTAACCATGACACAGAGGCCGGGCGCTCTCCGAGGGCACAAGTCACTTTGCATCATGTTGTGTCAGAGTACAATTATATGAAGCCCCACAGGTGAACAGCACCGCGGTCCAACTCAGCGGAGGATACACGAAGATCATCGGACGTGACAGAAGGGAACGTGGATGGGCAGGTGGACACTTGTGTTGGTTATGGGAGGGAGCAGCGTCTGCAGTCAGAGCTGTATCAGGCTGTTGTGGTGAAGAGGGAGCAGCGTCTGTAGTCAGAGCTGTATCAGGCTGTTGTGGTGAAGAGGGAGCAGCGTCTGCAGTCAGAGCTGTATCAGGCTGTTGTGGTGAAGAGGGAGCAGCGTCTGCAGTCAGAGCTGTATCAGGCTGTTGTGGTGAAGAGGGAGCAGCGTCTGCAGTCAGAGCTGTATCAGGCTGTTGTGGTGAAGAGGGAGCAGCGTCTGTAGTCAGAGCTGTTGTGGTAGAGAGGGAGCAGCGTCTGCAGTCAGAGCTGTATCAGGCTGTTGTGGTGAAGAGGGAGCAGCGTCTGTAGTCAGAGCTGTTGTGGTGAAGAGGGAGCAGCGTCTGCAGTCAGAGCTGTATCAGGCTGTTGTGGTGAAGAGGGAGCAGCGTCTGTAGTCAGAGCTGTTGTGGTAGAGAGGGAGCAGCGTCTGCAGTCAGAGCTGTATCAGGCTGTTGTGGTGAAGAGGGAGCAGCGTCTGCAGTCAGAGCTGTATCAGGCTGTTGTGGTGAAGAGGGAGCAGCGTCTGTAGTCAGAGCTGTATCAGGCTGTTGTGGTGAAGAGGGAGCAGCGTCTGTAGTCAGAGCTGTATCAGGCTGTTGTGGTGAAGAGGGAGCAGCGTCTGTAGTCAGAGCTGTATCAGGCTGTTGTGGTGAAGAGGGAGCAGCGTCTGTAGTCAGAGCTGTATCAGGCTGTTGTGGTGAAGAGGGAGCAGCGTCTGCAGTCAGAGCTGTATCAGGCTGTTGTGGTGAAGAGGGAGCAGCGTCTGCAGTCAGAGCTGTATCAGGCTGTTGTGGTGAAGAGGGAGCAGCGTCTGCAGTCAGAGCTGTATCAGGCTGTTGTGGTGAAGAGGGAGCAGCGTCTGTAGTCAGAGCTGTTGTGGTAGAGAGGGAGCAGCGTCTGCAGTCAGAGCTGTATCAGGCTGTTGTGGTGAAGAGGGAGCAGCGTCTGTAGTCAGAGCTGTTGTGGTGAAGAGGGAGCAGCGTCTGCAGTCAGAGCTGTATCAGGCTGTTGTGGTGAAGAGGGAGCAGCGTCTGTAGTCAGAGCTGTTGTGGTAGAGAGGGAGCAGCGTCTGCAGTCAGAGCTGTATCAGGCTGTTGTGGTGAAGAGGGAGCAGCGTCTGCAGTCAGAGCTGTATCAGGCTGTTGTGGTGAAGAGGGAGCTGAGCTGAAAGTAAGTCATGGTTTTTGTTTGTATGGTGTATTTTACAAACCAAGGTCTCCCAAAGCGCTGTGTAATGTTCAGAAATCAGATATTTTTCTATTCTCCCACACCATCTCGACACCATCCATTCAATCAGTCATTACATTCATACCTATTGTACATACAAACCTACGTAGACACAGGGAGAACATGCAAACTCCCCTCAGAAAGGCCCCGTTCCAAGAGGGATTCGAACCCAGGACCTTCTTGCTGATAAGCGAGAGAGCTTACTGGGGCGGCACGGTGGCTGAGTGGTTAGCACTCTCGCTTCTCACCAAGAAGGTCCTGGGTTCAAATCCCGGTCGGAACAGGGCCTTTCTGAGTGGAGTTTGCATGTTCTCCCTGTATCTGCTTAGGTTTCCTCCGGGTGCTCCGGTTTCCCCTACCACTAAAAACATGCACTATGTAAATGAGAGAGTGAATGGATGGTGTTGGGTCAGAGGCTTTGATGGTCCAGTGTGTTCTGGACTCGCTTCTGTCATCACCGTGTGTGGAAGGATTGGAACAATATCTGACTCTGAACATTGGAAAGTACCTTGGTCTGTACCTTTGGGTCTGTACCTTTGGGTCTGTACCTTGGTCTGTAAAATGCGCTATGTAAACTTACTTACTACTGAAAGGCAAAGATCTCGATTGATCGGTCAATCTTGGTTCCCTGCCTCACCTCTGGTCATGAGCTTTGGATAATGACCGAAAGAACGAGATCACGGTTGAATGCTCAGTCACACGGGAGGAGCTTGAGGTAGAGCCACTGCTCCACGTAGATAAGAACCAGTTGAGGTGGCTCGGGCATTTGAGGTGGCTTGAGATTCCCCCAGATGAGCAGGAGGAGTGTGTGTGGATAGGGAAGTCTGGCCATCTCTGCTTCCCGGCAAAGGACGAAGAAAATGGATGAATGGAAAGTGGGCGAACACAATTAGTTATTTTTAAAGGTACATTGTGTAGTTTTTACTCCGCATTGAGGTCATAAATTGTAATTTACAGTACTACAGCAGCTTCACAGGAGAATATGTGGTCTTTGACAGTGGTCCCCAACTCCAGCTCAAAATCCTTTTTGTCCCTTATCAGCCTCTGTAGTCCAAGATGGTGCATTGACATTAGAGTCCTCAGCCTCATGGACATTTATAAGTCAGATTCTAAGTCTATGACAATAATTCAAAAACATGGTGGAGATAAATATTCTTAAAAAAGGTCACATTTGTTATTAACATGTTTTTTGGAGCAACTGCAAAAATATGTAATGTTCATATTCACGTAAGAGAAATGACTGTAAATCCCCAGAATAATTACACTTGCAGGTAAAATACAGTATCTCAGACGCATATATCGCCTTTGAACCAAAGCGTTTCATTCGCTACAACGGTTTGAGTACAGGATTTGGAACAAGCTGAAATTTTGTTTTTTTTTTAGATTAAGACCGTGAATGAGGCAGCATTTATCTTATGACTTGATAATTATACTTTTTTGTGAAATAGTGGAGTCTTTTATAAATGCTATAATCTATTAGAATGTGTGAATGACTCAAAAAGCTGTGAGCCTTTCATCCAGTACTCCATCTGAGACCCTCATTCTCAGACCGTCTCATTCCCGTCAGGTCAATTATGGTCTTTTTAAATATCAGTGAGTATCCAAGACCCGGTGGGCATTTCAGAACATGCAAATGGCTCTCCACATTAGGAGCAGGAGACACAGTAACGACAGCAGAGGACCTTCTGAGCTGCATCCACATTGATCTAGTTAGAATGAAAACAAGCTGCCGGCTCCAAAACATAAATAAAAAGTCTGAAAAGTGCCCCTTAGCGTCTCACTGTGGGTCTGCAGAGGCCTGGTCTCCAAACTAATCTCCTAATCTACTGTAAATGAGGTTAACCCGGTGTCATGTGGAGACCGATGATGTCTTATTGTTTATAATATTTTACATTTTATAGATAATTTGTCGTTCACAAATCGACATTTCTGTGACTGCTGTTGAGATTTTGGGATTTACAATTGTACATTAGGTTTTGATGATTCCTGTAAGAGCCAAAATAAAGTCAATTTTCTCAATATTAATCAGGGACGTGTTTAAAAACTGGTAGAAGTTGCTCTTTTGACCCAGTTCTTATTTAGAGAATCTATTTTAGACAAAAGTATTTAGGTACGTTTACTTTAAGCAGAACCACAAAAAAGGTTTGCTGCCCTCTTGTGGCCAACTTCTGTTTCTGAATTAAAAACTATAACACAAAACCAATATGAAATGTTTATATTGTGGCATGCGAAAGCCAGACCCGTCAGACCTCTGAAGCTAAGCAGGCCAGGGCCTGGTTAGTACTGTGATGGGAGACGACTGGGAACACCAGGAGCCACAGTGAGCGGTGCCTGCATTAGAATGAGCCTGGTGTGTGTGTGTGTGTGTGTGGTTGGTGGTGGTGGAGGTGGGAGGGGCCGATGGCACAGACTGTTTGCCTCGTTTCAGTCAGTGCGGCCCAGGGCAGCTGTGGCTAAATGATAGTTTATCACCAACGTGTTTGGAGTGAAAGAATAATGACATGTGAAGAGTCTTTGAGTGTCCTGAAAAGCGCTGTATAAATAATTATCTTTGTTTTTATTATATCAAAACAAACACTAATAATCTTATATAATATAATTGTTTACTTTGTTCATAAACAAACTTCGCAGGCGGGTTGGTGCTTTCTTTATTATTTATTCCACATTTGGGACACTATAATTGGAGAGAACAGCCACAGCTCCAGAAAAAAAAATTAAAATAATGATAATCGACCATTTCTTGTGTTGGAATTCAAGCCTGTGTCTTCTGCTCACCCGTGTCAACTATTTTTGCCATATTGTTAGGACTGAGGATCTCAATCCAATAACCATCGGGATCCTGAATGAAAGCCAGACCAGACATTTTACCTGGACAAAAATAAAAGAAAGTGGTTATCGAGAGAAAAGAATAAACTACAAACTCTTTTCTGTGAGCCGATACCTTCATCGGGCTTCTTCACAAATTTCACGTCTCGTTCCTCAAACAATTTACAAGCGGCATATACATCTGGGACAGCGATTCCTATGTGACCTAAGAACGAAGATAAGAGCGTTAATATTTCATAAATCACTTTAGCATTTACCATGTCAACAATTCTCTACCAAAGCCTCGTGGGTCTGAATTTCCGTTGTGATAAGTAATTGTCTCATCAGTTTCCGACCCCCAATTGCTGAAAAGTAAATCAAGCACAAAAATCTAGAGATACACTTATAAATAGACCAAACATTAAACAAAAAGAAAGCAGATGCACCCACTGCGTGAGTTCGATGGTGGCTCGTCTGGAGAACGTCCAGCCCGTGCGGTCGGACACGTCGGTGGGAATCTCCTTCGGGTCCTCGTAGCCCAGAAAGAAGAGGGAGAAGCGCATTGCGGGGAAGTCGAACTTTTGCAGGAGCCTGAAACATTTAGCACAGAGGTATGACCGGCTCCACTCGGCTTCACTCGGCTCCACTCGGCTCCACTCGGCTTCACGTGGAGGTCTCAGCTGAAGAGAAACAGTGCTAATGAGGTCTGAAGAGTTAGGAAGAGGGTGAGAAATATGTTCCAAAAGTACAAGAGCAAATGTAAGTATGGACTAAAAGAATTTACCACAGTCCATATGCATGACCAGGGACAATGTCCAATAGTTGGTTTCTTTGGGTTAGGGTTAGCCTGGTCTTACCACACCATCGTCTGGAAGGTCTGGGTTTGCTTCATTGACTTGTTAACAGGTGGGAGGGGTTAACTTCTTTTGCAGATTGAAACGATTGGATCTGAGTTTACCGTGATGTATGTAATGAGCCCGAGTGAGTGCGGCATTTAGCCTAGCTTTAGCATGTAGCCTAGCTTCAGCATGTAGCCTAGCTTTAGCCATCTCCTTTGTGACTAACGGAGCCCGTGGGGAGTAGAGCCACGACATCTTTGCTTCAATGACATTTACTAAACATTCCTCTTGCTCCGGCTTCAGTTTCTTGATATTTGGATTGAACCAGAACAGATTATTTTACTATCACATTCTCCGACAAACTTTATCTTTGAAATGTGTTTTAATGTGTCGACTAGTTCTCAGAATTGCAAAACGAATTTACCCACGGGTACAAATAAATTAACCTAACCTAAACTACAACCAGCAAATTACAACACCCGCCTCCCCCGCTCTCTGATTGGTCGGAGGAGATTCAACAGAGGAAACTGCAGCCACTAGGATCAGACCCAGACGTACATGTAGGAAATGACCATGGACCAGAGTTTACACATGGTAAGACCAGACGTACATGTAGGAAATTATCATGGACCAGAGTTTACACATGGTAAGACCAGACGTACATGTAGGAGATGATCATGGACCAGAGTTTACACATGGTAAGACCAGACGTACATGTAGGAAATGACCATGGACCAGAGTTTACACATGGTAAGACCAGACGTACATGTAGGAAATGACCATGGACCAGAGTTTACACATGGTAAGACCAGACGTACATGTAGGAAATTATCATGGACCAGAGTTTACACATGGTAAGACCAGACGTACATGTAGGAAATGACCATGGACCAGAGTTTACACATGGTAAGACCAGACGTACATGTAGGAAATGATCATGGACCAGAGTTTACACATGGTAAGACCAGACGTACATGTAGGAAATGACCATGGACCAGAGTTTACACATGGTAAGACCAGACGTACATGTAGGAAATGATCATGGACCAGAGTTTACACATGGTAAGACCAGACGTACATGTAGGAAATTATCATGGACCAGAGTTTACACATGGTAAGACCAGACGTACATGTAGGAAATTATCATGGACCAGAGTTTACACATGGTAAGACCAGACGTACATGTAGGAGATGATCATGGACCAGAGTTTACACATGGTAAGACCAGACGTACATGTAGGAAATGACCATGGACCAGAGTTTACACATGGTAAGACCAGACGTACATGTAGGAAATGACCATGGACCAGAGTTTACACATGGTAAGACCAGACGTACATGTAGGAAATGACCATGGACCAGAGTTTACACATGGTAAGACCAGACGTACATGTAGGAAATTATCATGGACCAGAGTTTACACATGGTAAGACCAGACGTACATGTAGGAAATGACCATGGACCAGAGTTTACACATGGTAAGACCAGACGTACATGTAGGAAATGATCATGGACCAGAGTTTACACATGGTAAGACCAGACGTACATGTAGGAAATGACCATGGACCAGAGTTTACACATGGTAAGACCAGACGTACATGTAGGAAATGATCATGGACCAGAGTTTACACATGGTAAGACCAGACGTACATGTAGGAAATGACCATGGACCAGAGTTTACACATGGTAAGACCAGACGTACATGTAGGAAATGATCATGGACCAGAGTTTACACATGGTAAGACCAGACGTACATGTAGGAAATGACCATGGACCAGAGTTTACACATGGTAAGACCAGACGTACATGTAGGAAATGATCATGGACCAGAGTTTACACATGGTAAGACCAGACGTACATGTAGGAAATGATCATGGACCAGAGTTTACACATGGTAAGACCAGACGTACATGTAGGAAATGACCATGGACCAGAGTTTACACATGGTAAGACCAGACGTACATGTAGGAGATGATCATGGACCAGAGTTTACACATGGTAAGACCAGACGTACATGTAGGAAATGATCATGGACCAGAGTTTACACATGGTAAGACCAGACGTACATGTAGGAAATGACCATGGACCAGAGTTTACACATGGTAAGACCAGACGTACATGTAGGAAATGATCATGGACCAGAGTTTACACATGGTAAGACCAGACGTACATGTAGGAAATGACCATGGACCAGAGTTTACACATGGTAAGACCAGACGTACATGTAGGAAATGATCATGGACCAGAGTTTACACATGGTAAGACCAGACGTACATGTAGGAAATGATCATGGACCAGAGTTTACACATGGTAAGACCAGACGTACATGTAGGAAATGACCATGGACCAGAGTTTACACATGGTAAGACCAGACGTACATGTAGGAGATGATCATGGACCAGAGTTTACACATGGTAAGACCAGACGTACATGTAGGAAATGATCATGGACCAGAGTTTACACATGGTAAGACCAGACGTACATGTAGGATATGACCATGGACCAGAGTTTACACATGGTAAGACCAGACGTACATGTAGGAAATGATCATGGACCAGAGTTTACACATGGTAAGACCAGACGTACATGTAGGAAATGACCATGGACCAGAGTTTACACATGGTAAGACCAGACGTACATGTAGGAAATGACCATGGACCAGAGTTTACACATGGTAAGACCAGGGTAGGTCTGGGTTAGGTCCAGGCAGGTACACACCGTATAGTAATTATCTTTAAAACAAACTCACGTCATGCCGAGAATTCTGGTGTAAAAATCCAAAGATTTGACTGGATCTTTAACTCGAAGCATCGTCTGCTGCATCATGAAATCCTGAAACAAATAGTAACAAAAGAAAATACAGAATTGTTAAATAATAAAGTGTCATTAAGCAAGACACTTCACCCGCGTTGCCTCGAATGAGTCTGATGTGCGTGAAGGGTGTTGGTCTGAGGGGGGGATGGCTCCTGTCAGTGTGCCCCAGGGCAGCTGTGGCTAAAATACTGGACAGGACGCGTTTGTTTGGAGTTGTCGTAGTTATTTTTCAAACCAAGTTTTTTATTCTAGTTTTTAATCAAGTGATATGGTTGATTAAGGAGATTTTAACAATTGCTCACAATGAGGAATACTGTTATTTAAATCTGAAATACAATATCAGACTTTTAACAGCTCCGCCTCCAACAAACTTATACAAAGAGATCGAGAAATCACAACTCACTTCAATTCTTCCAACAAAACCAGCACACACAGTGACGCCCGAGGAGCTTCAACTCTACATCAAACTTTCAACAAAACTCAGACAAAGAGAAAATGCTCAAATGTTTCACGGACATTTTGTTTAGACAGTCATAATACATGTCATCATACGCACTCAGACATTCACAGTCAGTCATCCACACTTCAGGACACCGCACTTTGGGACCCCATCTCCTGCCGTCGTGCTCTACCCGCTTCTCGCCTCACGCTCCCCGGGGACGGCTGCTCCTCCTGGCCCCCGCACGTCTGACCCTCCCATCACTCTTTCCCCGCCTGCAGTCCCGGAGCCTCTGTTCCCCGCTTCCCGTGCCCAGAGCACCGCAGAGATGAGACCTGGAGACTCCAGGGCGAGATCGTCATCTCGCCGCAAGTTTGTGGTGGAAGTGGTCCAAACTAGATCCATGGTCCTGGTCCAAACTAGATCCATGGTCTTGGTCCAAACTAGATCCATGGTCCTGGTCCAAACTAGATCCATGGTCCTGGTCCAAACTAGATCCATGGTCCTGGTCCAAACTAGATCCATGGTCCTGGTCCAAACTAGATCCATGGTCTTGGTCCAAACTAGATCCATGGTCCTGGTCCAAACTAGATCCTTGGTCCTGGTCCAAACTAGATCCATGGTCTTGGTCCAAACTAGATCCATGGTCCTGGTCCAAACTAGATCCATGGTCCTGGTCCAAACTAGATCCATGGTCCTGGTCCAAACTAGATCCATGGTCCTGGTCCAAACTAGATCCATGGTCCTGGTCCAAACTAGATCCATGGTCTTGGTCCAAACTAGATCCATGGTCCTGGTCCAAACTAGATCCATGGTCTTGGTCCAAACTAGATCCATGGTCCTGGTCCAAACTAGATCCATGGTCTTGGTCCAAACTAGATCCATGGTCCTGGTCCAAACTAGATCCATGGTCTTGGTCCAAACTAGATCCATGGTCCTGGTCCAAACTAGATCCATGGTCCTGGTCCAAACTAGATCCATGGTCCTGGTCCAAACTAGATCCATGGTCCTGGTCCAAACTAGATCCATGGTCCTGGTCCAAACTAGATCCATGGTCCTGGTCCAAACTAGATCCATGGTCCAAACTAGATTGGTCCAAACTAGATCCATGGTCCTGGTCCAAACTAGATCCATGGTCTTGGTCCAAACTAGATCCATGGTCCTGGTCCAAACTAGATCCATGGTCTTGGTCCAAACTAGATCCATGGTCCTGGTCCAAACTAGATCCATGGTCTGGTCCAAACTAGATCCATGGTCCTGGTCCAAACTAGATCCATGGTCCTGGTCCAAACTAGATCCATGGTCCTGGTCCAAACTAGATCCATGGTCCTGGTCCAAACTAGATCCATGGTCCTGGTCCAAACTAGATCCATGGTCCTGGTCCAAACTAGATCCATGGTCTTGGTCCAAACTAGATCCATGGTCCTGGTCCAAACTAGATCCATGGTCTTGGTCCAAACTAGATCCATGGTCCTGGTCCAAACTAGATCCATGGTCTTGGTCCAAACTAGATCCATGGTCCTGGTCCATACTAGATCCATGGTCCTGGTCCAAACTAGATCCATGGTCCTGGTCCAAACTAGATCCATGGTCCTTGGTCCAAACTAGATCCATGGTCCTGGTCCAAACTAGATCCATGGTCTTGGTCCAAACTAGATCCATGGTCCTGGTCCAAACTAGATCCATGGTCTGGTCCAAACTAGATCCATGGTCCTGGTCCAAACTAGATCCATGGTCTTGGTCCAAACTAGATCCATGGTCCTGGTCCAAACTAGATCCATGGTCTTGGTCCAAACTAGATCCATGGTCCTGGTCCAAACTAGATCCATGGTCCTGGTCCAAACTAGATCCATGGTCCTGGTCCAAACTAGATCCATGGTCCTGGTCCAAACTAGATCCATGGTCCTGGTCCAAACTAGATCCATGGTCCTGGTCCAAACTAGATCCATGGTCTTGGTCCAAACTAGATCCATGGTCCTGGTCCAAACTAGATCCATGGTCTTGGTCCAAACTAGATCCATGGTCCTGGTCCAAACTAGATCCATGGTCCTGGTCCAAACTAGATCCATGGTCCTGGTCCAAACTAGATCCATGGTCCTGGTCCAAACTAGATCCATGGTCCTGGTCCAAACTAGATCCATGGTCTGGTCCAAACTAGATCCATGGTCCTGGTCCAAACTAGATCCATGGTCCTGGTCCAAACTAGATCCATGGTCCTGGTCCAAACTAGATCCATGGTCCTGGTCCAAACTAGATCCATGGTCCTGGTCCAAACTAGATCCATGGTCTTGGTCCAAACTAGATCCATGGTCCTGGTCCAAACTAGATCCATGGTCTTGGTCCAAACTAGATCCATGGTCCTGGTCCAAACTAGATCCATGGTCCTGGTCCAAACTAGATCCATGGTCCTGGTCCAAACTAGATCCATGGTCCTGGTCCAAACTAGATCCATGGTCCTGGTCCAAATAGATCCATGGTCCTGGTCCAAACTAGATCCATGGTCCTGGTCCAAACTAGATCCATGGTCCTGGTCCAAACTAGATCCATGGTCTGGTCCAAACTAGATCCATGGTCCTGGTCCAAACTAGATCCATGGTCTTGGTCCAAACTAGATCCATGGTCTGGTCCAAACTAGATCCATGGTCCTGGTCCAAACTAGATCCATGGTCCTGGTCCAAACTAGATCCATGGTCTGGTCCAAACTAGATCCATGGTCCTGGTCCAAACTAGATCCATGGTCCTGGTCCAAACTAGATCCATGGTCCTGGTCCAAACTAGATCCATGGTCCTGGTCCAAACTAGATCCATGGTCCTGGTCCAAACTAGATCCATGGTCCTGGTCCAAACTAGATCCATGGTCCTGGTCCAAACTAGATCCATGGTCCTGGTCCAAACTAGATGTCCAAACATCCATGGTCTTGGTCCAAACTAGATCCATGGTCCTGGTCCAAACTAGATCCATGGTCTTGGTCCAAACTAGATCCATGGTCCTGGTCCAAACTAGATCCATGGTCCTGGTCCAAACTAGATCCATGGTCCTGGTCCAAACTAGATCCATGGTCCTGGTCCAAACTAGATCCATGGTCTGGTCCAAACTAGATCCATGGTCCTGGTCCAAACTAGATCCATGGTCCTGGTCCAAACTAGATCCATGGTCCTGGTCCAAACTAGATCCATGGTCCTGGTCCAAACTAGATCCATGGTCCTGGTCCAAACTAGATCCATGGTCCTGGTCCAAACTAGATCCATGGTCCTGGTCCAAACTAGATCCATGGTCCTGGTCCAAACTAGATCCATGGTCCTGGTCCAAACTAGATCCATGGTCTTGGTCCAAACTAGATCCATGGTCCTGGTCCAAACTAGATCCATGGTCCTGGTCCAAACTAGATCCATGGTCCTGGTCCAAACTAGATCCATGGTCTTGGTCCAAACTAGATCCATGGTCTTGGTCCAAACTAGATCCATGGTCTTGGTCCAAACTAGATCCATGGTCTTGGTCCAAACTAGATCCATGGTCCTGGTCCAAACTAGATCCATGGTCTTGGTCCAAACTAGATCCATGGTCCTGGTCCAAACTAGATCCATGGTCCTGGTCCAAACTAGATCCATGGTCCTGGTCCAAACTAGATCCATGGTCCTGGTCCAAACTAGATCCATGGTCCTGGTCCAAACTAGATCCATGGTCCTGGTCCAAACTAGATCCATGGTCCTGGTCCAAACTAGATCCATGGTCCTGGTCCAAACTAGATCCATGGTCCTGGTCCAAACTAGATCCATGGTCCTGGTCCAAACTAGATCCATGGTCTTGGTCCAAACTAGATCCATGGTCCTGGTCCAAACTAGATCCATGGTCCTGGTCCAAACTAGATCCATGGTCCTGGTCCAAACTAGATCCATGGTCCTGGTCCAAACTAGATCCATGGTCCTGGTCCAAACTAGATCCATGGTCCTGGTCCAAACTAGATCCATGGTCCTGGTCCAAACTAGATCCATGGTCTTGGTCCAAACTAGATCCATGGTCCTGGTCCAAACTAGATCCATGGTCTTGGTCCAAACTAGATCCATGGTCCTGGTCCAAACTAGATCCATGGTCTTGGTCCAAACTAGATCCATGGTCCTGGTCCAAACTAGATCCATGGTCCTGGTCCAAACTAGATCCATGGTCCTGGTCCAAACTAGATCCATGGTCCTGGTCCAAACTAGATCCATGGTCCTGGTCCAAACTAGATCCATGGTCCTGGTCCAAACTAGATCCATGGTCTTGGTCCAAACTAGATCCATGGTCCTGGTCCAAACTAGATCCATGGTCTTGGTCCAAACTAGATCCATGGTCCTGGTCCAAACTAGATCCATGGTCCTGGTCCAAACTAGATCCATGGTCCTGGTCCAAACTAGATCCATGGTCCTGGTCCAAACTAGATCCATGGTCCTGGTCCAAACTAGATCCATGGTCCTGGTCCAAACTAGATCCATGGTCTTGGTCCAAACTAGATCCATGGTCCTGGTCCAAACTAGATCCATGGTCCTGGTCCAAACTAGATCCATGGTCCTGGTCCAAACTAGATCCATGGTCTTGGTCCAAACTAGATCCATGGTCCTGGTCCAAACTAGATCCATGGTCCTGGTCCAAACTAGATCCATGGTCTTGGTCCAAACTAGATCCATGGTCTTGGTCCAAACTAGATCCATGGTCCTGGTCCAAACTAGATCCATGGTCCTGGTCCAAACTAGATCCATGGTCCTGGTCCAAACTAGATCCATGGTCTTGGTCCAAACTAGATCCATGGTCTTGGTCCAAACTAGATCCATGGTCCTGGTCCAAACTAGATCCATGGTCCTGGTCCAAACTAGATCCATGGTCCTGGTCCAAACTAGATCCATGGTCCTGGTCCAAACTAGATCCATGGTCCTGGTCCAAACTAGATCCATGGTCCTGGTCCAAACTAGATCCATGGTCCTGGTCCAAACTAGATCCATGGTCTTGGTCCAAACTAGATCCATGGTCCTGGTCCAAACTAGATCCATGGTCTTGGTCCAAACTAGATCCATGGTCCTGGTCCAAACTAGATCCATGGTCCTGGTCCAAACTAGATCCATGGTCTTGGTCCAAACTAGATCCATGGTCCTGGTCCAAACTAGATCCATGGTCCTGGTCCAAACTAGATCCATGGTCCTGGTCCAAACTAGATCCATGGTCTTGGTCCAAACTAGATCCATGGTCCTGGTCCAAACTAGATCCATGGTCTTGGTCCAAACTAGATCCATGGTCTTGGTCCAAACTAGATCCATGGTCTTGGTCCAAACTAGATCCATGGTCCTGGTCCAAACTAGATCCATGGTCCTGGTCCAAACTAGATCCATGGTCTTGGTCCAAACTAGATCCATGGTCCTGGTCCAAACTAGATCCATGGTCTTGGTCCAAACTAGATCCATGGTCCTGGTCCAAACTAGATCCATGGTCTTGGTCCAAACTAGATCCATGGTCCTGGTCCAAACTAGATCCATGGTCCTGGTCCAAACTAGATCCATGGTCTTGGTCCAAACTAGATCCATGGTCCTGGTCCAAACTAGATCCATGGTCTTGGTCCAAACTAGATCCATGGTCTTGATCCAAACTAGATCCATGGGTCCGCAGACACTCGAGGAGCTGGGCAGTGCTCCTCCGGGGGGTCTCCGCACTCTGACGTAGCGCGTAGTCTCCCGTGAACGCTGCCTGCTGAGGCTCCCCCATCTCTGTGAATATCCCTACTCCACCAAAACATCAGTCTCTGAGCTGCTCCGCTCACGGGAGCCCAGGGCCCCCCCGTTTCCTGCTCTCCCCCAGCCCCTCCACAGTCTATGGTCACACCACACCCTCCATGACCCCTCTTCGCTCCCACAACACCGCTGGTGAGATTGGGGGAGTGTTTTAGCAGCATTTTAGGACTCAGATTCAGATTCAGACTCCACACCTGACTCAAGCTCTCATCACTCCACCACAACTTTGCTTTTATTGATTATTTTGTTTCTTTCTGGATTTGGATTTTAGTTTCCTCTGGAGGAGCCCTCTGCACTGGCAGCGGTGGTCGGCTGTGGCTGAGAGGGTCTGGCTCTTGGACCTGGTGGGGGTCTGGAGCCTCGGCTTCACGTCTCCTCTGGGTCCTGTGTCGTCCCCTGTGGCTGCAGGCGGCTCTCTGCTCCTGGTGCAGACTGCTCCTTGGATGGCGCTTCTTCAGCTGGATACATCTGAACCCTGCCCTATGTTTTCTTGGTTTGTCTATTTTACCCATCTGATGTGCGTGTGCGTGTGTGTGCGTGAGTGTGTGCGTGTGCGTAAGGCGCTCTACAAATAAAGATGCATTGATTGTGTGTTTACTTAAGAAGATGTGTGGTTTGGGGTGGGTCTGTCGGGTGGTGGGGACTGGACTCCTGCTGGGACTCTGAGGAGCACAGGGACTGGACTCCTGCTGGGACTCTGAGGAGCACAGGGACTGGACTCCTGCTGGGACTCTGAGGAGCACAGGGACTGGACTCCTGCTGGGACTCTGAGGAGCACAGGGACTGGCCTCCTGCTGGGACTCTGAGGAGCACAGGGACTGGCCTCCTGCTGGGACTCTGAGGAGCACAGGGACTGGCCTCCTGCTGGGACTCTGAGGAGCACAGGGACTGGACTCCTGTTAGTGCCCAGAGTCAGAACTAAACATGGGGAGGCTGCTTTTCAGATTCATGCTGCTAAAATCTGGAACAGTCTTCCTGAAGATGTGAGACAGGCCTCCTCTCTGACAATGTTTAAAACCAGGTTACAGACAGTTCTGTTTAGCTGTGCTGCAACTGAGGGATTTTATATTTTTATCTTTCTTTTTAATGTTCTGTGATTATTTATGATTTTAATGCTTTCTTGTTCAGCACTTTGAGTTGCCTTGTGTATGAATTGTGCTATACAAATAAACTTGCCTTGCCTTGTGGTTAACGGGTCATGGATATATGGGATTGTTTTTAACCACTTTGTGTTACATTTCTTGTATGAAAAGCGCTTTATACATAAAATTTGATTGATTGAGGTACTACTTTTTCCAAAGTAACAGTATACTGTTCAAAATACATCTTAGGTCCTGTATTCAGTATTCTGGAAAATACATCTCAAAGTATTCTACTTTTTATTATTATTATATATCCTCTCTACATACACCGTCACATGATGCCACACAACTTGAACTGCACTTGAAGTAGTACCATAGACTGTAAAGTAGTGTGTATGAAGGGAGTATCTGAATGTGTGAGCAGCAGAGATAATCCCTGGCTGTGGACAGTAACAGACACATACAGGAGAAAACTTATACACCCAGATCTATCCCCGAGAGCAGGACGTGCCACGGAGCAGCGCCTCCACACACACTTTAGACACACACTTTAGACACACACTTTAGTCACACACAAGACTGAATAGTACAACATGTCCAATCTGTTGGAAATGAGGAAAGTTTGAGTGAAAAAACAACATGGATGAACATGCAAGATTTGTTTCCTAATAAAAACAAATGCTTTTTAATGGTAAGTCTTTGTTGCTTGAATGTAGTTTGTCATGTAAGATTATTCTAATAGTTTTAAGATAATGATACGTCATAATGTTAGAGAAAACGTCTGAGCAGTGAGTTTTAAAGCTTGTTTTAAGTAATTTCCAGACTTTTCTTGTTGTTTAGATACAATAAGTTAGTGATGCTGTAACTATAATCAAGTCATTTGGGGCTAGTATTGTTTTCAGAAATCTTGCCTAGTCATATTTTCTTGTTTTATTGGCAGATTATTATTATTTTAAGCAGTGTAGACCTGACGCCCTGCAGGAGGAATGCGCCATGACGCTGGTGTGACGAATTATGTTCTGAATATTATTAAAAGTAGAAAAGTCCCTGATTCTATTGGGAGAAAGTAGCACCAGGCTTTCATGTAAAAGTGTAGCCAAAGCCAAACTAATAAATATGACCACTGTCCAAGCAGCCGCACCTAAACCCAGTTTTTCTTATGGGAAGTTCAGGCGCGTAAAGACAGATTCTGGAAAGGACGTCTCTGGTAAATGCACAAGACTAAATTAAACTAAACACAAATGCATATTATTGTAATCACGGAGAAGATCCTGCAAAAGTGACCGGAAAAGGCACAACGAAAAGCGCTGGAGCTAAACTTGATCCTGCTGACAGTAGTGGCCTGGATCTGCTGGATCTACGGAGTCTCGTCAGGACCAAACTCTTACCTTAGTAATCGCGTTCCCTTCATGACAGGCCGCCGCTGCAGCTTCGTCAGACAGACCTTTGTCGCTCATTTTGGGCTCTGGAGTGGAGTTGTTCCTCCCGTGGTGCTTCCTACAGCTCGGATCAGCGATGACACAGAGCCACATCCGGTCTGGACTTTCACAATAAAACGCCACCTGCAGGACTTCATGCATGGATCAAAACAGTTTACCGGGAGGCACCTTTGAACAAATACCAAACGAAATGTTTTGAAATAGCCCTGGCAGTGGCTAGAAAATGCATTGCTGCTATATGGAAGTCTGATTCCCCCCTGCCTTTAATATTTACAGTCTATGCTTTAACCAAATGGAATGCGGAAAGGAACAGCTGTGTGCCAGTAGAAAAAATGAGGAAGTCTTGCAAAACGTTTGTAAAAATTTGCCAACCGTACCTGGACCACGTGGGTATACATTTGTAAACTAACTTTATTGTGTCAGACTGTGTCCTTTGTTTTGTTTGGTTTTGTTGAGTGAGCCGGGGTCGGAGGGGGGTGTCATTTGTTGTCTTTAGTTTTTTTTTGTATGAAACTTGAAAATTAAAATAAAATATTGCAACAACAAATTTTTTTTTACGGGGATTTAAATTTGTATTGTTGATTTTTTTGTTTTGTGTTGAGGGGGTTGGCTCAAAAGTGTTTTTAAAGCACAATTCATTCAGCGTACCCAAAGTTCTTCACAAGCATTTAAAAGAACGACAATACAATATAAAAATGTAACAAATAAATGCTTTAAATTAGTCCTATGCATAACTAGACAGTCTGGACTTAAACCTTTCCAGGGACGAGGCCTGTCTCACAAGCTCAGGAAGACTGTTCCAGATTCTGCCCATTTCGATGTTAGAGATATTTTTTTTTCAAGTGTATTAGAGTTGATATTAACGTATCTTGTGTGCTGTGGGCTCCCCATTCCTACTGTTCTTCAAATGCTGATGCAACACTGTCATTTCCCTATAGTGGCACAAGCAAAGAATCTCTACATAATCTCTAAAAATGACGTTATACACAAACAAAGAATAAAAAGGTATCGTGGAAAGTAGTTTATTAGACGAATTGAAACATAAAAATCACAAACATGGAAGGAGTTGCAAATCACCAGCAAACTTGAGTTCCTGAGATCCTCAGACGGTCAAAATTGTTTGTTATTCCTAAACGCACACAATGGGGTTGGGCTATTGAATAACTTAGGAAAAAAAAGACAAAAATGATTCTGCGTAGTCATGGGTTATGTGTGAATATGTGTGGAATTAAATAACTAAATATTACCCGATCCAGTTTCTAAAAGCCCTTTGACTTGTAGCAGCAGAGTTATCTTTAGTAGCTGCGTCCGAACAGGGTGTAATACTTGGCGGGCGCTTTGCCGCAGACACACACTTGACCAGGTTTTAGGGTCTTCAGCGGCGAGAAGGGGATGCAGAGACTCTTGGCTCCCATAGATGGCGCTCCAGGCTCCAGGTCCTGGTCCCTGTCGCACAAAACAAATCAAATCATAACAGACAGGAAAAACGAAAGTGAAAGTGAAAATGGTGACTGTTGTACTTTGCAGTGATTTTCTTGATCCCGTCTTCACACTCGATTTCTCCACAGAAGGGGATTTGGACGATCTATGAAGAAAGGTTGCATCATTCAGTTTGGCCGCCTCCCATTACTCACCCTTTCATCTGCCTTATTGATCCAAAGTGATTTATCTATTATTCATATATTTATAACCGTGCTATTTCTTTGTATAACTGCAATTCATCCCCGTCTTATTTACAGAGACAGACAGAGAGAGACAGAGACAGACAGAGAGAGACAGAGACAGACAGAGAGAGACAGAGAGAGACAGAGAGAGACAGAGAGAGACAGAGAGAGACAGAGAGAGACAGAGAGAGACAGAGAGAGACAGAGAGAGACAGAGAGAGAGAGAGAGAGAGAGAAACACACACACAGAGAGAGAGAGAGAGAGAGAGAGAGAAACACACACACAGAGAGAGAAAGAGAAACACACAGAGAGAGAGAGAGAAACACACACACAGAGAGAGAAACACACACACAGAGAGAGAAAGAGAAACACACACACAGAGAGAGAGAGAGAGAGAAACACACACACAGAGAGAGAGAAACACACACACACAGAGAGAGAGAAACACACACAGAGAGAGAGAGAGAGAGAGAAACACACACACAGAGAGAGAAACACACACACAGAGAGAGAGAGAGAGAGAGACACAGAGAGAGAGAGAGAGAGAGAGAGAGAGAGAGAGAAACACACACACAGAGAGAGAGAAACACACACACAGAGAGAGAGAGAAACACACAGAGAGAGAGAGAGAGAGAGAAACACACACACAGAGAGAGAGAGAGAAACACACAGAGAGAGAGAGAGAGAAACACACACAGAGAGAGAGAGAGAAACACACACACACACACACACACACCTTTCCTTGGTCCAACTCTATCTGAAACTCGTCCATGGTGTCCACAGCGACCATGTGAGTCCTCAAGTCGTCAGAGGCTCTAGAAAACAAGTTCTTATCAGTGGGAATTATCAACAAAAGGATGTGCAGATTTATACACAGTTCACCATAACATAGAAATACTAATGCTATAGATCAGGCGTGTCAAACTCCGGCTCGTGGGCCAAACCCGGCCCGCAAGACCATTTTTAGTGGCTCCTAAAATGACCTTCTTAACATTGATATTATTAACTTGCTGCATTGATGGTCATGGGCTACTAAGGCATGTTGTTTTAATGTAACATTTTAACCCAACGCATTATTCAAAGTTAAATAGGTCCAGTTTTGGTTAAATCTAAACAATAAACAGATTTTGTTTTCAGAAAAATCAACCATAAATAGTGATTCTCATGTCAAAAAACCTTCATAATGAAAAATAAAAACATTTAAGAAAACGTGTGGGGTCTGGTATTATTATTATTATTAATTCTACATTAGATTTATGAGTATTCATCTGTTTAAAGAATGTGATGGGACATATCAGCACTTAATGGCTGACTCTACTGACCATAAGACTGCATATGGGTTGTTAAAGTGTGTCTTGTGACTAAATACTATAAAACCCCACTGCTTATTGTATCCGGGGTCATTCTGTTATTCCATCTTCAGGGACCCAGGCTAGGCATAGTCTGTAATTTGTATTATTCTGTTTATATATACATTGAACCTTCTTTATTATAGCTAAACAGAGTCTGTAGTTCCATTCACTATCACTGTTTGTGCGGGAGGGAAACCCAGTTAGACATAGATTATTTACCACAAAAGAAATCCCTTCTAGTTCCTATCTTTATAATCCGTCCCCTGAACACAATGAGTGTGACGCCCCTGGCACAGATGGAGGATTCCAACTAAACTTAACGCATGTAAAAGAGATGTACAAACCGTTCAATCCAACAAAAGAAAACAGCATAAACGTGAGATAAAGTTAATGGGCAGAACACATTCATAGAACTTGCTCTTACTTGTTGAAAAGCCAGGTTTGTATTTCCTCTAGCAGCGCAGGTATCCTCTTCTCCACCTCAGCGTCGGGAATCGTCAGCTTCTCCCCAGTGTCTCTCCTCACGGCCACACACTGCCTCTGCTGCATGTCTTTGGGACCCACTTCCAGGCGGATTGGGACTCCCTGAGAAACGAGAATACATTTAGTACAGTCAAGACTTTATAGAACAGAAATGTGGCTCACAAAAGACCAACGACCTTCAGTTCCCAGTGGTTGAACTTCCAGCCGGGAGAGTAGTTGTCCCTGAGGTCCGTCTTGACCCTGACACCAGCCCCCAGGAGTCGGCTCATGTATTTGGAACACTGACTCAGCAGCGCCCCCTTCTGGTCCTCTGGGAGAGATGCGGTCACGCCACAGGGGATGACCACCACCTGCACATACATTCATGAGTCCAGGTGTGGAATCTGAGCTGCAGTTTGTACTGTCGACTCCTGTTATATCTGTACTACACATTATTATCTGACCCACATTGTTACTTCAGTATGGGGCTGGGCGATACAACGATAACGAGGTCATTTGCGATAGACACGTGTTCGATATGAATAGAAAACGGGGTCGATAGAATGTTCGATCGTTCAACTTAGTTAGAAAAACAAGAAGAAAACACAGGAAGTAAAGCCTGTAGAGTCAGAAGAGAGCGGCATTCTGGGGGATGTAGGCAGAGGCTTCTCGACCTATCACGGCCGAGCACGAACCGCAAAACATTCAGGGAAATACAAAAACAACCGCACCATGTGTAGCGTCCATGGATTATAGATGTCCATGGTTCTGCACATGTGTGTGAGGATTAGCATGTGCAGCGCAGCAGAGGCAGTGGGTACAGAGACTCCATGCATGCGGCAAAAGCAAGAGATTCACTTTTTCCTCAGGAAGTAAGTGCGGCTATCAGAGAGCTATCAGAGAGCTATCAGAGAGCTATCAGAGAACTATCAGAGAACTATCAGAGAGCTATCAAATATGTACAATAGTTCTGACATGTGCCTCCTGTACTGGCCCCACTCCCAAAAATAACAATTGTAAACCGCTTTGAGACTGATGTGCAGTGAAAAGGTGGTATATAAATAAAGATTACTTACTATCAGAGAGCAGCACGGAGCCAAAACAGCAGCTAAACCAGGACCACGCCAGGATTAAACCAGGATTAAACCAGGATTAAACCAGGACCAAACCAGGACCAAACCAGGACCAAACCAGGACCAAACCAGGACCAAACCAGGACCAAACCAGGACCAAACCAGGACCAAACCAGGACCAAACCAGGACCAAACCAGGACCAAACCAGGATTTAAACCAGGACCAAACCAGGACCAAACCAGGACCAAACCAGGACCAAACCAGGACCAAACCAGGACCAAACCAGGACCAAACCAGGACCAAACCAGGACCAAACCAGGACCAAACCAGGACCAAACCAGGATTAAACCAGGATTAAACCAGGACCAAACCAGGATTAAACCAGGACCAAACCAGGATTAAACCAGGATTAAACCAGGATTAAACCAGGATTAAACCAGGATTAAACCAGGATTAAACCAGGATTAAACCAGGATTAAACCAGGACCAAACCAGGACCAAACCAGGATTAAACCAGGTTTAAACCAGGTTTAAACCAGGATTAAACCAGGATTAAACCAGGATTAAACCAGGATTAAACCAGGATTAAACCAGGACCAAACCAGGATTAAACCAGGACTAAACCAGGACTAAACCAGGACCAAACCAGGACCAAACCAGGACCAAACCAGGACCAAACCAGGACCAAACCAGGACCAAACCAGAAACCGGTTAATGGCATAGTTTAAAATAGTTCTCTGAAATAACAGCCATTTCAAGCCGCATACTTCTCATAAGTGCAGCTCTGCGTTCTACTGGATCAGAGCCGAGACAGCAGCGCCAAAACCCACAACAGCTTCGGCACCTTTGCGCACAGAGAACTGCTTTAATCTTCCCATTCTTCTGTGCTGCGGGTTGAAGCATTTTTAAGCAAAAGACGGCTCGTCCACATGGTCAGGGCAGCGAGTGACGAGCCGCGTCTCGCAGGTCTCCGCTAAAGTTTAAAAGTGATCAGTGTGGAGCTGATGCCAAGGACCAGCAGCACAAACATGGTCCATGTGGTTTGACTGGAGCCGTGTATTTGCGAGGATCTTTTGGCTGCGTGACACAGAGGAGCGCGACAGACCGGTATGTGTGTGTGTGCAATACATGTATGTATGTGTTTATATGTCTGTGTGTGTGTATATAAGCTCCAATGTAGTTCTGACCCGCACCAGTGTGCAACTAGCAGATACACTAGGCTTAACAGAGGGGAGAGATGATGCGTGTGGATGTTACGTATCGAAAGTGTGTGTGTGTGTGTGTGTGTGTGTGTGTGTGTGCGTGTACATGTGTGCGTGCATATGTGGCGCGTGCGGCAAGAGAGTCAGCCCGGAGTTTACTGATAAATTGGCGCACACAGCTAGATACGGACCCGCTCATTACACCGTGCAAATAGGGCTTAAAATAGCGTTATGAAGAGACCTCCCCTCTCCCCTTTTTCTCGTTGTTAACCGACAGCTTTGACCGGTTAACGCTGTGACGGTCAACCACCGGTTAAACGGTCACCGATTTACATCCCTGAAACCAGGACTAAACCAGGATTAAACCAGGACAAAACCAGGACCAAACCAGGACCAAACCAGGACCAAACCAGGACCAAACCAGGACCAAACCAGGACCAAACCAGGACCAAACCAGGACCAAACCAGGACCAAACCAGGACCAAACCAGGACCAAACCAGGACCAAACCAGGACCAAACCAGGACCAAACCAGGACCAAACCAGGACCAAACCAGGACCAAACCAGGGCCAAACCAGGGCCAAACCAGGGCTAAACCAGGGCTAAACCAGGGCTAAACCAGGGCTAAACCAGGGCTAAACCAGGGCTAAACCAGGGCTAAACCAGGGCTAAATCAGGACTCTTTGCTGGATCTGGACTCTGCTGCTTGACCTGCGACAGTTGAGACTCTTTGGACATTTTCAAAACCTACCTTTTTTAACTGGCTATGTATTTTATAATGTTATATATTCTGTACTTTTAATATTGTGTGGGATGTTTTTAATGTGTTATAAGGCGTCCTTCAGTGTCTTGAAAGGCACCATGACATAAAATGTATTATTATTAAGTCCAGTGCAACATGCTGCACATCTCAGTTCTGGGAAAACTGCTAGAAGTGAATTCTTAAATGAGACACTTTTTCTTTGTATTTCTCTGTGTTTTGTATGAACCTTGAGGCTGGATTAAAGACTCATTATTTCTGCACACATGACTCCCACAACCAGTATATTAATACACATACGGCATCTATTGAATCCCACCACCTGTATAGCATCACACGTACAGCCTCTATCGTGTATGTACCTGTAAACAGGCGACTCTGGGGGGCAGCACCAGCCCCATGTTGTCTCCGTGGACCATCGTCATGACCCCGATGGTCCTGGTGGTGATGCCCCATGAGTTCTGGAAGGCCAGCTGCTTCTCTCCAGGCTTTTTGGGGTCCTCAAACATGATCTCGAACATTTTAGCAAAGTTTTGACCTAGATGATGCGAAGTGGCACCCTAGAAAAGAGGTTAGAAGTAGTTAAATAAGTAAGCGGTTGTGTTTATGCTAAATGCAGAGAACAGTTTCTGATTGTACCTGAATGGCTCGACCACTGGCAGAGATGAAAGCTTCGACAGTAGTGGTGTAATCTCCTCCTGCAAACTTTTCCTTCTCGGTCTTTCTTCCCTTCACCACCGGGATGGCCATCAGCTCCTCATAGACCTTAGCGTACAAGTCCAGAATCTGCAGCACCTAGAAGCATTCAATACACACACTTTTAATACACACTTTTTGTTATAATGAAAATAACTACATTCTAGGATTGTGGGCGTTACTTCTTCAGCAGCCTCCTCTTTGGTCGCAAAGGCAGTGTGACCTTCTTGCCACAAAAACTCTCGAGTCCTCAGGAAAGGCTGGGGGTGTTTGAACTCCCATCTCTACAAATGTTTTTAAAAAGTTTTTATTGACAGGAATCATGACAGTGTACCGTGTGATACTTTAAAAACAATACCAACCACAACATTGCACCACTGATTCAGTTTGATTGGCAGATCTCTGTGGGACTGGACCCATTTAGCGTACGCAGGGTACATCACTTAAAAGAGAAAAATCAAGAAATACTATCTGAAATCATCTCAAGAGAAGAGTAAAGAAGAACTGTGTAAACGAATCTGAATCATTTTAATTGCCATCCATCCATTTTCTTCCCCTTAATCCATTTCTGAGTTGGGGGGGTGGCAGTCAGAGCTGCACCCAGTCAATCAGCACCAGCCTCTCACTGATCCTCTGCAGGTGGCGAGTCCACAGGTATTACTTATTGCCATGTAAGTAATACTAATAATAATAATAATAATAATTCAAACTTGTATAGCGCTTTTGTGGACACTCAAAGAAGCTTCACATGGGGAATAAAATACAATACAAAAAAATGGGTTTATGGAAAAGCTTGTTTGAAAAGATGGGTTTTGAGACTGATTTAAAGTTTGGTAGTGAGTCAATGGCAAAGGCTCTGTCCCCAAAGGTCCGGCGGTTAGTGCGGGTGATGGGAGTGAGGAGGTTGGAATCGGCTGATTGAAGGCAGCGGGTGGGGTGGTGCTGCTGTAGGAGCTCAGTAAGGGGGCGGGGCCAGGTTATGGAGGAGGAGCTTGTAATGGATGCGGTATAACAGGAAGTAACAGACTAGGAAATTGCTTTGGCTCTCGGTGCAACAGTCAAAGAAGAGAGGTAGAGAATAGAGTAAGGCATAATAAAGGCATATACAGGCAATATATAAGGGTTTTATAATCTGTAATTTTAACTTTTGTTCAGGACTCCACTGAGAAACAGGTTCTTAATCGCAATGGGTCTTTCCAGGTTAAAAAAAATAATAAAAAAGAGGGGGTATGTACCGGTCTCACTGGTGGGCCTGACCGCGATGGGCTCGGCCAACTCCGTCTTCCCCGACCGCGTCACCCATGCAACCTAAGCAGACGTACACATGTAAAACAAATCCATACATACATGAAACACACTGTAGTGATCATAATATGCAGACTAAGGTACTTCTGGGGCAAAGTCCTCGATGTGCGTCTTCTCCTTCTCCAGAGCGGCCTGAGACACAAACATGGGGAAGTAGCAGTTTTCCACACCGAGTTTCTTAATCTCTCGGTCAAAAAATTCCTTGATGGATTCCCAAATGGCGAAGGACCAGGGCCGCAGCACATAGCAGCCGCTAACGTCATAGTATTCAATCATCTCTGCTTTGGTGATGACCTGGATTTGAACATTTTGTTGAAAATTTGCAGTATTTGAGAAAGAACTTCCTGTTTGCACAATGATGGATCCTCACCTGAGAATACCAGTCAGACAGATTGTCCTCTTTCTTTGCTTCAAGACCCAATCTGCAAGAGATAGGGAGAAATATTTCATAACATTTGAAGAAAGAAAAAAAACTTGTGCATGGATGCCGATTTACAATTAAATGAATCACATGTTCCCACACTGGATAAGCATCATGCATCGATAATGTCAGCAAAAGAGCCATTCCATCATTTCCTAGTTAAACAAGAATCCTTATCAGTGCAACGTTTGTAGTAACTCCAGCTTCAGGAGTAGCCATGCTTCTAACTGCAACCCTTCATGCAGCACTCGACACTCACCGTGACTACTGTACATCAGCGTCTTCATCGTCCTTCTTCAAGCAATTCAGCCAAATTCCATTTTTAAACTCAAAAAAACCAACTCAACTCAGTATTTTAATTTTTAGGCAAATGATTTTATTGTGAGCCGACTAATCCCTACAATGACACTTCCTCACTGATAAGGATAATCATTTAACAGGTGGTTTGTCCAGTATAAGTCTCTCACCGTGTCTGTTTCTTGGGCCCTTGACCCTCTCCTCCTGCTCCCCCAGCGGCCTCTTTGCTGGGTTTCTCTCCTTTGCTTCTCTTTCCTCCTCCTCCAGCACCTCCCTGTTTCTCAGACTTGTTCTCCTTCTCTTTGCGACTCTTATTTTCCCCTCCGTTTCCTCCTGCAGCAGACATCGGCTTGTACTCTTGTCCGGTCAGTGTCTTGTACTTGTTCTTTAAATCCAGAAGAGTCTTCACTGCCACGTCCACTTGATCCTAAAACAGACAATGCTGGCCTTAAGCTTCAGAAGTTTCTCTGTCGCATTCTTTTGAAATAGGAATGACACTTTACCTTGGAGGCCTTTTCTGACTTCAGTTTTCGCACAAGCTCTCCCTGCTGTGAGACCTGTGCATACAGCTCTTCAGCTTGAGGAGAGGGGGTAGAGGGGGCTGGGGACGGAGGTTGGGCAGGGCTAGCTGGGGCTTGTGCACCAGGCTTATATTCTTGTCCAGTCTGCTGTTTGTATTCTGCCTTTAGAGCCAACAACTGTTTGACCGCAGCGTCCACCTTATCCTAATGAAGACAAGAATTAATCAATCACTGGCAAAGAGACTCGATGAAATCAGTTGTAATGAATTTACTTTTGGAGCTTTTTCGGCCTTCAGTTTCCTGACAACGTCTCCAAGTTCAGCAACTTTCTCATAAAGGCCTGTTGCAGAGAGCGCAGCAGTGGGTGTGGCCTGGACAGGGGTGGGTGTGGCTTGGACAGGGGCGGGGCTCTTCTGAGCAGGGGCGGCTCCAGGTTTATAGTCCATACCAGTCTTCTGTTTGTATTCTGCTTTCAGTGCAAGGAGCTGCTTCACTGCTGCATCGACCTGATCCTGAAAAGAGTTAAGCACAAATATTTTAGGACAACATTTCAGAATGTTGAAATGCATATCAGAATTATCAGTTTGTATTTTTGATTGATATGAATAATAATTAAAACATTTCCAACACATGCATTATTTCTCGATCATCTCATTTGAGCAGAATACCTTTGGAGCTTTGTCAGTCTTGAGCAGCCTGACCACTTCACCCTGCTTTGCGACGCGCTCAAAGAGGTCTGAAGAAGAGGAAGATGAAGAGGGGGCTGGAGCAGAGGGGGCAGTTGGGGCCATGCCTGGTTTGTACTCCTGACCAGTCAGGTTTTTAAACTCTGCTTTCAGAGCCAGCAGCTGCTTCACTGCGGCGTCAATCTGGTCCTGGAGTCGTTAAAAAACAGGTCTTTAGTCTCGGGAAACTCGTATGAACAGATGACAAGACAAACAAAACAAAACTAAAACAGATGAACAACATAAGGAGGGAGGGAGAGGTCTGCAGTGCATTCACTTCTCTCTTTTTAGGCATTTCTTGACATTTTTACTGTTTTTTTCTTTAAACTCTTCTATGTTTGTATGATTGCGAGCAAGGGACCAATGCACAATATCCTATGAGATCAATAAAGTTTATATCATTATCACACGCTCCTCACAGCAGCAGGAGAACCATTGATCTAAATGTCATTTCAAAACGTTCTACCGGTCAATATTTCTTGATAACGGACCTCTCAAAACAATAATGACCGCTGCCCTTTGGCAACGCACTTTCTGCTTGTAATTCAGATGTGTAGGTTACTCCACAAGTAGTTCCGGCCACTCCGTCGATACTTCTGTCTCTGCGGGAGAAGCTATCGGAGCTAGCCACGCTCAATCAACGCAAATACCAATCAATCCACACATTTAAATGTTAATCGGAGAATACATTCTTAATACACGTGCACAGAGGTTTTCAGAAGTATCTTTTAACGTTTTCATGACAAAAATACTGTTTTAATGCGAGAAAAAGCTATCGCGAAAAAAAGTACCGTTGGAAAATAAGTTCCTTCAGAGCGGAAGCAGACCCCCGCTTCGCCCTGTCGGTACTATTTTCCCATAATGACCTGCGTAATATACATTGTTCCTTACTTAATTAGGGGAGAAATGACACGGATGAGGGATATGATTCAAAGTAGGTACTAAGATGAACTATGATTATCCATGAACATGAGGACAGATGACCAGACCTAACAGTGAAGATCCAGTTTTGCAGGAGCAGACACAGTGGACAAGACAAAGAATAGTCCATTAGGTAAATATTAGTTTACATATTTACCTTAGGAGCTTTCTCTGACTTGAGTTTTCGAACAAGCTCTCCCTGCTCTGACACCCGGGTGAATGGACAAGTGGAAGAGCCGGTTTGTGCGGATGATGGAGCCGGGCCGGATACTGGAGGACTCATGCCTGGTTTGTAGTCCATGCCTGTCGCCTGCTTAAACTGTGCCTACAAAGTACAAAACGACATTAAGACTTCATTTCTAACATTTAAAATCGTTGGGCCTCATTCACGAATAACTTCGTAAGAAACTACTCAACTTTCTTCTCAAGTTGTCCTTAAGTAGATTTCTAAGAAGTCCCCACGTGGGATTCATCAACGCACTCGTAAGGCGCTGAATTGTTCGCAGCTGTTCTCTCAGATTGATGAATCCCATTTCCTCGTAAGTAGAGCGCGCGTGCCAGGTGCTTCATTAGCATAGGTACTTAGCATAAGTAACCGCCCACTAATGCCCATATAAGGGACTGCAGGGCCGTGTGCAGACGGCAGAGGAAACAGCAACAGGCCTAAAGCAACAGGCCACGGAGCAAAAGAGTCACGCTTTTTTCTTCTTTTACCAGACTGAGAATAAAGTTATAAAATGTTGACTTAAAAGTCGAAATATTATGATAATAAAGTCGAACTAGCAAAATTATGAGATTAATCTAAGAATATGATGAGATTAATCTCAAAATGTTATGAGCTTAATTTAAAAATATATTATGTATTATTTTAAAGATGAATCTCAAAATGTTTTGAGATTAATCTCAAAATGTTATGAGCTTAATTTAAAAATATATTATGTATTATTTTAAAGATGAATCTCAAAATGTTTTGAGATTAATCTCAAAATATTTTGGACCCTGGGAGGAGATCCAGCGCGGACCAGCGCTGAGACCAATGCAGACCCGAGGAGAGACTGGAGTGACCAGCACACAGAAACCAGCGCGGACCTATAGGAGAGACCGCATAGACTGGAGTGACCTGACTGGAGAGACCGGTGCGCAGAGACCAGCGCGGACCGAAGATAGACCGCATAGACCAGACTTGAGAGACCAGCGCGGACCCGTGGATCCAGGAGCATGCAGCACGGCCCCATATGGAGAGACCAGTGCAGACCCGTATAGATCCATGGGAGAGACCAGTGCAGACCCGTATAGATCCATAGGAGAGACCAGCGCAGAGACTCAGCGCAGACCCAGTAACCTCCTGCAGCAGCAGTATATATGCCGTTGTTCTGTGGCCCGTGGATAAAGAAATGCCCCCTATAAATAGGAAGGGGTCACTAATACACGGCAAGATTTCCAATGTATTTGATAAAGCGTTGGCACATTTCATTTCAAAATGAATTAAAAAGTAGGCCAGATCTGCAGTGAAAAAGGCGGTATATAAATAAAGATTACTAATAAAGATTACTACAAATAAATAAATACATACATCGATATGACGGACATATCACTGGAATGTTGTATTTTTATTCAACTTCACCAAAGAGGACAACCCCGGCGTGTGAACATGTCGGCACTGAATGCGTACGAGTGCTCCTGAGGACTCGTAGGATTTGTACTTGCCCAAGAGAAATTCTGGTTACGAGAAATATTCGTGAATGCCACTTTCTTCGTAAAAAACGCGTAAGTAGGATTTACGTACAAATCTGTTCCTAAGAACCGTTCGTGAATGAGGCCCAATGTCTTTGTGTCCCCAGTACCTTCAGAGACAGGAGCTGCTGCACGGCCTTGTCCACCTCTTCTTTTGGAGCCTTTGCAGACTTTAACGTGCGCACTGTCTCTCCCTGAGCCACAATGCCCGAGAACAGATCACTGCCTGAAGCTGCAGAGGCGGCTGTGGCGGCTGTGGCGGATGTGGCGGATGTGGCGGCTGTGGCGGGAGTGGCGGGAGTGGCGGCTGTGGCTGGTACTTTAGAGGATGCTTTGACTGTGGAGGGCTTTGGGCATTTAGCAACAAAAACACATTACTACATAACCTGTCAATAATTTACTTTTTCTTTCTCTGATCTCGCCGACTGCAGAGCACATGTTAAACTTACTGTATTGTTTGGAGTCTTGTTCTTATCCTTGGAACCTGCAGTCGGCATTTCCTTTGTGTGACCGTCCGGGATGTAGAAGAGGACACAGGGGCTCTCCTTGCAACTGTTGGGGCTGTCAGAGTACCTCGGTTAGTCCGCTTCAAGGTCAGCTAAAAGATGAAAAGTCAGTTTTTTCTTTACCTGATGGGTTCGTACGGCTGGTCACAAATGTAAAAACCTCGCCTCTGGAGCTGGATGAGGTCTCCTTTCTTTAGGTCCTTCAGACAGGGGTCTCCAAGCATCTTTTCCTCCAGCTAGAACCGAAACGAGATCATTAAGTGTGAACCAGAGAGAGAGACCAGAGAGAGACCAGAGAGAGACCAGAGAGAGCGACCCTAGAGACCAGAGCGAGAGACCAGAGAGAGCGACCATAGATAGACCAGAGAGCGACCAGAGAGCGACCAGAGAGAGACCAGAGAGAGCGACCAGAGAGAGCGACAGAGAGAGCGACCAGAGCGAGAGACCAGAGAGAGATACCAGAGAGAGAGACCAGAGAGAGACCAGAGAGAGCGACCAGAGAGAGCGACCAGAGAGAGCGACCAGAGAGAGCGACCAGAGAGAGACCTGAGCGAGAGACCAGAAAGAGATACCAGAGAGAGACCATAGAGAGACCAGAGCGATAGACCAGAGAGAGACCAGAGAGAGACCAGAGAGAGACCATAGAGAGACCAGAGCGAGAGACCAGAGAGAGACCAGAGAGAGACCAGAGAGAGAGACCAGAGAGCGACCAGAGAGAGCGACCATAGAGAGCGACCATAGAGAGCGACCATAGAGAGACCAGAGCGAGAGACCAGAGAGAGATACCAGAGAGCGAGAGAGAGAGAGAGCGAGAGAGAGACGAGCGAAAGACCAGAAAGAGAGAGAGAGACCTGAGAGAGAGACCAGAGAGAGAACTGAGAGAGACCAGAGAGAGACCTGAGAGAGAGACCAGAGAGAGAACTGAGAGAGACCAGAGAGAGACCTGAGAGAGACAGCCGAGACCATCAGAGACCAAGTTCTTCAAACAAACCTTGCTGTTCTTGTTGATGTAGTCCTTGAAGTCGTCGTCTTTACCCAGGACTGCTTTGGTGATGATGGGCTGGTAGTTGACACACACCGTGGGCAGCAGAGGAGCGCTGGTGGTTTCAGCCAGCCAGGTAATCTTTGTCGTTTTCTTGTAGTCTGTATTCTCAAGGTTGAGCCGAGCCTCCATGGAGAGAACCTTCCCATCGCTGGCTCTGAGTGAGAAAGAGCAGAGCTTAGAGGGGCCACAGCAGGGCTCTAGAGAACACGTTTTCATCCATTACTTGTTAATCTTGGTGATGATGAGGTTTCCCCAGTTGATAAAAGTCACCACCTCGCCCACAGAGAAGGTCTCGGCGTCCGCTCCTTCAATCAAAACCCGCGGCCCGTACCAAACCTCCTTCATTCCTACTTCAGCGTTCTGCAAACAGAGACCGTCACATGCATTTTTCTGCAAATGAAAAGTTAAAAGCGTCTCTACTTTCTGCAAAAACTTGAACATTTACCACTAACTCTAATATTCTGCTTAACTTTAATCGCTGCACCATTGAGTTGGTTTGTTGGTTCTGTGGCTGTGGTTTGGTGACATCACAGACAAAGAAAAGAGCTCAAAACAAGGAGACCAGAGAGAGAGACTAGAGAGAGACTAGAGAGAGACTAGAGAGAGACTAGAGAGTGACCAGAGAGCGAGACCAGAGAGCGAGACCAGAGAGCGAGACCAGAGAGAGACTAGAGAGCGAGACCAGAGAGAGTGACCAGAGAGTGACCAGAGAGAGACCAGAGAGAGTGACCAGACAGAGACCAGAGAGAGACCAGAGAGAGACCAGAGAGAGACCAGAGAGAGACCAGAGAGTAAGTAGTAGTAGTAATCTTTATTTATATACCGCCTTTTCACTGCAGATCTGAGTCTCAAAGCGGTTTACAATTGTTATTTTTGGGAAATTGTCTCTCACTCCACACAGAGATGGGAGCGGGGCCAGTACAGGAGGCACATGCTAGAACTATTGGACATATTTTTAGTGGTAGGGGAAACCGGAGTACCCGGAGGAAACCTACGCAGACACGGGGAGAACATGCAAACTCCACTCAGAAAGGCCGAGGATTCGAACCCAGGACCTTCTTGCTGAGAGGCGAGAGTGCTATCCACTCAGCCACCGCGCCGAGACCAGAGAGCGAGACCAGAGAGCGAGACCAGAGAGCGAGACCAGAGAGCGAGACCAGAGAGAGACCAGAGAGCGAGACCAGAGCGCGAGACCAGAGAGCGAGACCAGAGAGCGAGACCAGAGAGCGAGACCAGAGAGCGAGACCAGAGAGCGAGACCAGAGAGACCAGAGAGCGAGACCAGAGAGCGAGACCAGAGAGACCAGAGACCAGAGAGCGAGACCAGAGAGCGAGACCAGAGAGCGAGACCAGAGAGCGAGACCAGAGAGCGAGACCAGAGAGCGAGACCAGAGAGCGAGACCAGAGAGCGAGACCAGAGAGCGAGACCAGAGAGCGAGACCAGAGAGCGGAGACCAGAGAGCGAGACCAGAGAGCGAGACCAGAGAGCGAGACCAGAGAGCGAGACCAGAGAGCGAGACCAGAGAGCGAGACCAGAGAGCGAGACCAGAGAGCGAGACCAGAGAGCGGTGAGCTTCCGGTTCTGGAGGTTCTTTATAAATCCAAACTTTTTTAACCGAGCTCTTAGAATGATCAATGACTCTTCTGGCCCCTGGAAAAGCCATATGTTCCAGCTTCTTCCTTCAGGCATATAAGATATGCAAGTCATCTCGATATGCTAACAGCCTTTCAGTTTGAACAAAGCACTTTACTGATCTTGCACTTGTTTTGAAACCGTTTTGGTCAATGGCTTTATTTCTGTACTTTTGTTGCTTTATGTAAGTACTTGTCTTGTGCACACTGGGGACTTTAGCAAATGTATTCCAATGTGGTTTTACTGCAAATAAATGAATCTGAATCAGAAAATAGAACTGACCTTGGGATGTTTTGCGGCTTCCTTCTTCCCCTCCGTTGCTTCAGGGACGGACACAGGGACCACATAGGAGCTGGAGAGGGCTGTGTATCTGGGAGCTATTGGATCAATGACCTAGAGCGTACAATAAAACCATTTCAAGTCAAAAGAAACTTTAATATAACAGATGAATTTCATGCTTAAACCAAAGAATGCAGTCTATCCATTCCTATCACACACATAAAGAGGATAGAAAAGAAAACTTGTCGGAGATACAAGCTTGTGTAGTGAAAGAAATTGCGCCCAAAAAGCCTTTTAGCCACATTTTACGCCGACAACTGAATTTATGGCATTCTGCTTGGCCTATAAAAGAATTCATGAACATCAAACAAAATTGACAATGGCGACAGTGGGGACATTTTAGGGAGAATATTGGAGAGCAGATGGAGTACCTTCAGACAGCTAATTGGCAGCTTGGAAACACAAGAGTGAGATGCCATTTAATGAAAGGGGAGATAACAGGAGAAGAGATGTGAGGGGACCACTTAGATTTGAGTCACTTTAACGTCAGAAGGGAATTTGAACTGTCTGAAGAAAGCAGATTTCAGCTGGCCGACATGCACGTTAGCCCTACGACGCAGGAGTGATACTTTGTCCCATCCCATTACTTTGATCCAACAGATAAGCAAAGCAACAAATGCCAGAAACGACTGAAATGACTGATTTTAATCTTCATGCCGAATAAAACAACACATATGGAAAGATGAACATGTTTGTTAGAGAAGGGAAAGTAGGGAGGGACGGTAAAATGCATGGTTGTAAATTAAAATAAAAACAGCCAAGCAGAGCCATTCCAGATAAAATAGACAAAAACAAAATGAACAATAATTACCTTTTTGTTGAATGCCCAAATCTTGTCCCATTCCATGTTCACCACAGATCTGGAGCCACCCTGAAAGAAACAGAAGCAGCGGTAACGACACTAACTTAGGCACCACCAACTTAACCACAATTTCAAAGTAGCAATGTGTAAGATTATTGGTTGGAAGTGTTTTTTATTCTTATTTTTATTATCTCTTTCTGACTGTTGCACTGAGCCAAAGCAATTTCCAAGTCTGTGACCTCCTGTTACTTACGTGGCAATAAAAATGATTCTGATTCTGATTATCAAGTCATCATTAAAGGGCCCTAATCCGTCATCGTTAAAGGGCCCTAATCCGTCATCGTTAAAGGGCCCTAATCAGTCATCGTTAAAGGGCCCTAATCCGTCATCGTTAAAGGGCCCTAATCCGTCATCATTAAAGGGCCCTAATCCGTCATCATTAAAGGGCCCTAATCCGTCATCATTAAAGGGCCCTAATCCGTCATCATTAAAGGGCCCTAATCTGTCAAAAGGCATTATAAAACATGCTCTTCTCAAATACGTCTCTAACTGATAACAGTAGTTCAGGGATTTTAGTTTTACAGCCCCTTGTTATTGTTTTAGTATCAATGTCCCGCCCTCCACTGTTCTACCAATCGAAGTCCGTATTCCAGGTTGCCAAAACTCACTGCTAATCTCACTGGTAAAGTACCATGTGGCGCAGAACTAAAAAAGGTCTCGTTATGATTCTCAAATCATTAACGACAAAACAAGGAATAAAACCAGGATTTCTATCTTTGTGAAAAAGGTGTTGGTTATAGATTTGTTGTTGACAAAACTCTTGTCTATTCAGCTGTTATGGTCCCAGCTGGATTCGTCTGCATATCTGGCAACCTGAGTCAGGGAGAGTGGGAGAGGCTGCAGTACCACTTTTGGCCACATTTTTACACACTGCTCCTTTAAGAGAGTTTCTCACCTGAGCAGCTATAAACTGTTTCAATCCCTCCACTGTCATTCCTCTTCTAAGCACTCCTCTCACTGTCGGGAAACGAGGGTCGTCCCTGTGGAGGACAGTTATTTAAATACACACTGTATCTAAACGATGTGATATGTGACATGTGTTCACCGCTTACCAGCCATCGACATATCCCTGATCCACAAACCAGGTGAGTTTCCTCTTGGACAGAACCGTGTTGTTGAGATTGAGACGTGCATACTCCCAGATGTAAGGCTTTCTTATACCCAGAGTGTTGATTAACCAGTAATATTGGTCATCGCGGTCGTGGTACTCTGTGGTCCTGAGGGCATGGGTCACTCCCTCCACACTGTCCACGATCGGGCACGCGAAATCATATGTGGGGTAAACTCTGCAGGAATGAGATTGTCAATACTGATTCTGATTCATAATTACTGACTGACAGATGATGTGAAAAGAAGAGGCTACCTGTATGTGGTCCCGGTGCGGGGGTGGGGGGCGTTCTTGCAGCGGTAAAGCGTGGGGTCCCTCATGCAGCCGTTGTTGGAGCTCATGTCCATCTTGGCCCTCATGCAGCAGGTCTGGCCAAAGTCTGTGCCCGCTTTCATCTCAGACCACATCTTCATGTTCTGCTCCAAAGCTGCAGGGGGCAGAAGCTACATTAGGTCTATAAACGCCATAAGAACCAGGAAGTACGACCACATTAGTCCAGTCCTCAGGTCTCTGCACTGGCTTCCTGTGGCTCAGATAATAGACTTTAAAACAGCTCTGCTTGTTACAAGTCTCTCCATAGCCTCGCACCAAAATATATTAGTGACATGTTAGTCCCATATGAACCAGCCCGGACTCGCAGGAGCACAGGGACTGCACTCCTGCTGGGACTCGCAGGAGCACAGGGACTGGACTCCTGCTGGGACTCGCAGGAGCACAGGGACTGGACTCCTGCTGGGACTCGCAGGAGCACAGGGACTGGACTCCTGCTGGGACTCGCAGGAGCACAGGGACTGGACTCCTGCTGGGACTCGCAGGAGCACAGGGACTGGACTCCTGCTGGGACTCGCAGGAGCACAGGGACTGGACTCCTGCTGGGACTCGCAGGAGCACAGGGACTGGACTCCTGCTGGGACTCGCAGGAGCACAGGGACTGGACTCCTGCTGGGACTCGCAGGAGCACAGGGACTGGACTCCTGCTGGGACTCGCAGGAGCACAGGGACTGGACTCCTGCTGGGACTCGCAGGAGCACAGGGACTGGACTCCTGCTGGGACTCGCAGGAGCACAGGGACTGGACTCCTGCTGGGACTCGCAGGAGCACAGGGACTGGACTCCTGCTGGGACTCGCAGGAGCACAGGGACTGGACTCCTGCTGGGACTCGCAGGAGCACAGGGACTGGACTCCTGCTGGGACTCGCAGGAGCACAGGGACTGGACTCCTGCTGGGACTCGCAGGAGCACAGGGACTGGACTCCTGCTGGGACTCGCAGGAGCACAGGGACTGGACTCCTGCTGGGACTCGCAGGAGCACAGGGACTGGACTCCTGCTGGGACTCGCAGGAGCACAGGGACTGGACTCCTGCTGGGACTCGCAGGAGCACAGGGACTGGACTCCTGCTGGGACTCGCAGGAGCACAGGGACTGGACTCCTGCTGGGACTCGCAGGAGCACAGGGACTGGACTCTAGCTGGGACTCGCAGGAGCACAGGGACTGGACTCCTGCTGGGACTCGCAGGAGCACAGGGACTGGACTCCTGCTGGGACTCGCAGGAGCACAGGGACTGGACTCCTGCTGGGACTCGCAGGAGCACAGGGACTGGACTCCTGCTGGGACTCGCAGGAGCACAGGGACTGGACTCCTGCTGGGACTCGCAGGAGCACAGGGACTGGACTCCTGCTGGGACTCGCAGGAGCACAGGGACTGGACTCCTGCTGGGACTCGCAGGAGCACAGGGACTGGACTCCTGCTGGGACTCTGAGGAGCACAGGGACTGGACTCCTGCTGGTCCCAGAGTCAGTACTAAACATGGGGAGGCAGCATTTCAGAGTTAAGCAGCTAAAACCAGGAGCAGTCTTCTTTAAAATGCGAGACAGGCTTCTTCTCGGACAATTCTGAAGGATTTTGTATTCACTCTTTTCAATGCAATGTGATTATTATTTGAATGCCTAGTATTGTTTCTATCTTGTTTTGTTCAGCACTTTGAGTTGTTTTGTGTATGAACTGTGCGATACAAATAACCCTGCCTTGCCTAATGCTTTTAAAGAAGATACAACTTACTGTTACTGCGGCACTTTGACTCCGTACGCTGCTCTCGCTCCTGTTTCATCTGCTCTGGAGGAGTGTCGTCGATATACGCCTTGCCCTCGGTCAGGAGCTTCTCGGCGTAGCGCATGATGGCTGGGAAATGATCGCTGGTGTAGGTGAACTGGTCTGGTTTGATCTGCAGCATGGCAACGTCCTCCAGGATCACCTGAAAAAATACACACATTTTGAATGAATTATACATTTATGATGGGACTGGTGCTATGAGTATTAGGTGGCAGCTCTGATTGCCTCTCTCCTCGACCCAGAAATGGACTAATAAAGAAGAATGTGGTCCTTTATCCGTCCCACAGCGGGGACATTTCAGTTTGATGAACACGCACACACATCAAGGCATGCAGCAAACATTAATTCCGCGCTCCTTATAGACAAAGTGGGTTAAGTGTCTTGCCCAAGGTGACAATGTTGCCCCATCAAAGGAGTAGAAAATTAATGAATATACATTTACTAGTCACTCAGTCTCACACGTCGGAATTCAGTCAATAAGATCATTCAAATCAGCAATGACTCACTCACAGCCATTTATAATAACGTTTTGAGGAAAGGCCCAGATCTACACAGACAGATCTCACACTCTGCTCCCATCAGGGCGTAGGTTTAAGTCCCTAACCCAGTCAAAACATAAAGGGCCACATCCAGCTTCCTCCCGCCTCAATTCGCTGATTTGGAGATCTGTTTTATGTATCACATATGTCCCCCACATGTACCAGTGGGGGACATAACCCAGTGCTCATGTCCCCCACTGGTGCTTTGTCTGTACATGAAGCTCCTGACAGATTAATAAAGTTATTTGAATTTACATTTTCAAGCAAATTAAGAAAAAGAGCGAGTGAATAACCTTCTCAAAGTCCTCCTTCTCCTTCTCAGGGTTGGTGTCGTCAAACCGCATGATGAGTTTGCCTTTGAATGTCAGCTGGTAGTGTTGGTTGAGCAGAGCAGCCTTAGCATGGCCAATATGAAGATATCTACACAAACGGCACAAAAATGCATTTAAAAGTTGTTTTTTTAACCTTTTGAGCTCCATATAGCACTTCAATGTAACAGTAAAACTACAACATCTAGTCTGGTAACTCTTCAAGATGTTTAATCGCTACAACAACAACAACAAACTAGGCCCCTCAGGCTAAAAACGGTCACAATCAGAAAAAAACATTGACTTCTTACCCACTGGCCTCGGGGGGAAAGCGAACAACCACTTTGCCCATTTCAGCTCCTGGCAATTCCACAAATTTTCCAACATCCTGCTTCTTTTCCTTCTCCACAGACTGAAAACATGTATTATTATGAATAAGAATGAGAATTGAAAAAGCATTGTGATATAAAATAAACTTACACTGGATCTGGCCTCTGGAGCTTTTTTACCGACGTACTTATTGCCCACGGATGAGAAAGGGACCTGAGCGTTCAAGAAGAAGAACCAGCGATTGACGTGGGTGAAGGACTTTCCCTTGGACGGCCATTCTTTATGATCTGCAACGACACGCAACATGTGTAGGTGCATTTTATTCAAGGTAATTAGGGATGCACAGATACCACTTTTTTCAGAACCGATACGAGACAGAGTACCTCAATTTAAAGAGCGACTAAACACCTGTGCCCAGCCTGACTCCGCCCACATGAAGATTTGAAAATGTTCTCTTAAAAGGGCGTTGCCTGGAGGACCAAGGGGCAAGAAGGGGGGCTTAGAGTTGGGCGTGGTCTGTGCTGTGATTGACAGCTCACTTGTCACACAAAAAAAACAGACAGTTGTCATTGCTGCTTAAAGCAATAGTTTACAGACCAGAAAGTCTCATTCCACCCTTGATTACACACTAAGATAATTGTAAAGCTACACACCTGAACCTAATCACACTCAATAATCTCAGAATGACTCGTGTAATTTAATTTTAATCCACTAGATGGCGCCAGAATACTCCAAACTGCAGCTGGGCCGTGTGTGAGAGTTGAATGGGTTCACATCACTGGCTCTGACAGAATGACGTCACACAAAACAACTGATGTCATAGAGAACTTCAGAGTCAATGGAGAGGCCAGGTAACCTGGCAAAAGCCAGATTGATGATTGTGTAGAACTCTTAACGCGTTCTCCGCGATATCAATCTGGGATTTCTCCCGGAGAATCCTTTCGGGGAAAGGAGGGATAAGCAGCAGAATACTTGAAGCTGATTGGGCGAAATGACGCTGTGTGCCCGCCTACCAAGGTTGCCGTCCAGAAATGTACAAAGCGCCTCTCGCTGTTCATCTTTCAAAAAAGAAATTGGAGATTCTGCTAAAACTGACTTTGCGTCCGTCCTCCTGCGTAGCCATGTTTGTTTTGCTTCGGCCCGGCACTTCTTGCTTTCGTCAAACCCGGATATCCCGCCCTAAAACCCCCGGACTGGCGCGTGATTGGCTCGCACACCCAGTGGTTCGACTCGAAAAGTGTAAGCGGGAGCGGTACAAGATGTATCTCGAGTGTTTGTGAACTCACAAATACCGCGAGAATTCAGCTTGCAGGCAAGGTTAGAGGCCAGGACCAAATTCAAATGTAGTACCACCAAAAAGGTTGAGAGGGCGCCACACAGCGTTTTTTGGCTCAAAAGTGATATTTTATCTAATTTGAACTAAAATGTCAAAAAATGACCAGGATATGTAGACAGCACCACAATAAACATATTTATGCAGTTTATGAGTTAAAAAAAGTTGATTTGGTGTTTAGTCGCTCTTTAAGTACTTGCCGAATACAGATAATAGTGCTTGTCTATTATCCCTAAAAATAATAATGAAATTTAAAATGTTTTATTCCTCATTTCAACAATAAATAATTGCTTTAACAATTTTAAGGGTTAGGGTTATTTTAAGATTGTTTTAACAGTCAACAATATGAGCCACTGTCATATTCCACTACATACAAATGGAACAAAGAAATAACTGCGGTGCTAGCAAAGATGCTATACTCTGTGATGGAGTTTTCAGTTTGATCAAGTTTCTGGTGTTATACTGTTTTGGATCCGGCTCGTGACAGTTTTACACAACGTACAGTCTGCTTTATTTACAAAAAAAAAACAAAAAACTGCTATTCGGCCGACAACCGCTAAGTAAGTAAGTAGATAATGGTAATTTTTTAAGCGCATGTCACAGACCAAGGTACAGACCCAAAGGTACAGACCCAAAGGTACAGACCCAAAGGTACAGACCCAAAGCACTTTCCAATGTTCAGAGTCAGATATTGTTCCAATCCTTCCACACACGGTGATGACAGAAGCGAGTCCAGAACACACTGGACCATCAAAGCCTCTGACCCAACACCATCCATTCACTCTCTCATATTTACATTCTGACCTACAGGTCAGAATGTAAATGTAGGTCTGAACGTAAATGTAGGTCTGAATGTAAATGTAGGTCCATCCATCCATTTTCTACCCTTTAATCCTTTTCTGGGTCAGGGGGGTGGCAGTCAGAGATGCCACCCAAGTCTCATAGCACCAGCCCCTCACTGACCCTCTGCAGGTGGTGAGTCCACAGGAGGACGGCTGCTCTCTGAGTGTAGCCTTGATCTTTCAGCGGGGGCTTTGGGCAAAGTGGGGTTATGGCCCAGTCCCATTTCTCTAACTTGTTCTGAGAACACTCGCTATGAGTTCCCTCCACAGTAGAGTCCCCTCAATGAGGGAAGTGCAAGTGAAGAATTTCCCCTAAGAATTGGGACATCACTAGTTTCAAAATTTCACCCCAGTCCAGTAGATGGCGGTAATAAACATTGCCTGTACACCTCAGTAACGTCACGTGTTCTCCTGTGTCATGCATAAACAAGAGTCACAAGCAGCGGTGTATTTTCATCGAGTGTTTGTACAGGTTTGGAAATGCCGGCTCCAGTAGTTATTTTACCCATTGCGTGGGCGTTGATGACCTTTCTTCGTGTGGCCAACAAACAGAGAAGAAATGGGCAAAACCGAAGACGACTTCGCCGCTATTTTGCCCTGATTAATCTGTTTACGGTACGTGGACTCATTTATTATGACGCTATCCGTATGCTGCTAGCGTACTACCTGTTATTGGTTTCGATAAAACGCCAACTTACTTATAATGTATGTTAATTTTTTCACAAATGGGTACAGCCTTTGGGTCATTAACCGGTTACGCGATGAGAAAGTAAACAAACAAACAGGAGAAAATTCCACCTCACACCTGAAGCTTACAAAACGTTCCCTGTATCCCCAAAACCCCATTTTTTTGTTTTTTTGAAGGAATGCCAACTCGCAGTTATGATCATATTTAAAAAAGAAAAAGACAACTGTGATGTATAATTGTCAGGATGCATAAAAAAACAGTAAAAGCTGTCTTTTATTTACTATGTTTATGTCTAAATGCTTGTTTTTTACCTATTGTGTTCCAGAGTGGCCGTGCACTAACCTACTGTAGGATGGACAGGAATGTACCCATCCTGCGCTTGTGGTTTGACGTGGAGTTGGAACTCATCCGGGACTTCAGACTGAGTAGGAAGGCCATGCATGCCCTGCAGTGTCTGCTGAGGAGAGAACAGGACCACGGCTGGGGCCATGAGCTAGAAGTTCTAATCTACGTTTACTGGCTTGCCCATGGTCTGTCCTACCGTGTGGTGTCACATGTTTTTAATATTCCCAGGTCCACCATCCATAGAATAGTCCACAAGGTTGCACAGTTTATTTGGGACAATTTGAACAGGGCAATATCATTTCCAAGCCCGGCAAATCTTGACACCGTGGGTCATGGATTTGAGCAACTTTCTGGGACACCCATCCTCAAAAAAGCTGTTGGTGCCATTGATGGTTGCCACATTCGGATCAAGCCCCCATCACTCCATAGACTGGACTATTTGAAATACAAAGGGTTCTACTCAATAAACATGCAGGCAATTTGTGACTCCTTGGGAAAGTTCCTTGATATTTTTGTGGGATATCCAGGGTCTGTTCATGACACACGCATTTTAAAGAGCAGCTCTTTTTACATTGCAAGAAGGTATCCTCCAACTGGGTACTTCATTCTGGGTGATGGAGGATACCCGTGTTTGGAAACCCCAGTCTGCCTCATTACTCCCTACAGGGAACCGGTGAATGGCAGAGCGCAACAGAGGTTCAACTACCACCAGTCAAAGGGGCGTTCAATTATTGAAAGAGCCTTTGGCATAATGAAAACTCGGTGGAGATCCACACTTTTCAAGGCCCTGGAAGTCAAGCCTACATTTGCACCCCAAGTAATAGCGTCCTGTGCCTTTCTGCATAATGTTTGCTTGGATAACGGAGACATCTTGGAGCCTGATCAGGATGTGGCCGGGGACAACATGGACCCAGAACTGCCGTTACAAGAACTCCCTGACCCAAATGTAACACCAGGGAATGCCACAAGGGACAGACTCGCTGGCCTGATTTGATAAACAAGGCCCTCACTGAAAAAAATCCTTGCAAAACTTGTAAATAGTTATGTTCAAGCACATATCTGACCTGTGTGTTATGTGGGTGTATATAGTTACTGTAAGTGTTGTATATTGTTGCTGTGGTTCATGTTTCTACATTTGATTAAACTTATTTTGTACAATACATTGGTAGTTTGTTTTATAATGACGTGACATACTGTATGAATGTGTATGATGCCCGGTCAAAAAACAACCACCAAGCACTTTGATTTATATAAATATTTGTATTCAGAAAGATGAACTCACATTTGACATAACTAAAACAATGTATAGAAAAATATCACAAATATAGAACAATATTTGAATTAAATAAAAAAAACATCAAAATAAGCTTAAAAGAAACGTATTGCACATGAACATGAACGAGGGAAAACCACCACAGCTCTCACTGCTCAGGCATTTTTCTCCACAAGCTTTTCGAACAAACTGAGGAACCTCTCTGTTTTGGACTCAGTTTCCTCGTGCCTTTTTTGCTCCTTCACAGACTCTTGTTTGAAGAACTCAAGGACAGCATTATTGACTCTTCTAGCCCTTTTTTTGGGAGATGGGGTGGTGGGTGCTTTAGGACCTGGTGGGGAAGAAGTAGACGGGCCTGCCCGTGTGGCTGGCATCGGTGTTGGCGGGGCTGTGTCTGCAGTAGTGGAAGATGGATCCGGCTCCTCCATGGGAGGTTCAACAATGGCCTAGAGATTTGAATAACAAAAATAAATTAATGCATGCTGAAGTCACAGCACAACAACAACTTTGTATAGACCTTTATGCTCTGTGATATACTAGTGTATTTTAAGAAAGTTATTGGTCAATTCAATTCCTCCTCCTGTAAACTTACCATTAGTAATTCTGTCGGACCAGGTTGGGTAAATGAAGCTACCAATACTGGTGGGTCAATAGATGGCCTGCCCCCCAGAACTGCATGCATGTCCTCGTAGAACTTCCAGTTGGATGCCGTTTGCTCCCCATCTGCTGTGCCTGATCCTGTCTTGGGCAATTTCAGCATCTGCAATAACAACCACCCCAAACACACAAACACAGTCACATAAAACAGTTATTAATTAATTATGTGACATCTGACGGGATGGGTTATTTAGCCTAGATATGATAACATGGGACATGGGATAACATTACCTTGTACTTCGTTTACAAGTTTTCCCACTTTTTTGCTGCTTGTTGGCCATTGATTTTACCCGTCAGGCCGATCTCAATGACTGCTGTCCTATAGGGATGAACATAAGGGTGGGTTAATGCATTATCAGAATGTGACTGTTAAACAGCAGGTTAGGCTACTCACTCCCAGAGTTGCTTTGTGGTATACTTCTTTTTTGTGAACTGCTCTTCATTGTCAGCCCTGAACTAAATTAGGGCTTTGGTCTGCTCCACAGTCCCTGAAACATTAGCCCACATGACCACATTAGACACAAGTTGCTTGCCAATAGGTTGCATTCATGTGCTAGAATTCTTTTTCAGGTGGAGGGCAGGGGCCAATTGGGAGACAGACAGTTTTTGAAGGAAATTTCCAAAAAGAAAATTTGCAAATTTAAATTACTTGTGAATTATTTGATAGTGAATGGATGCACAAACCTCACATATTATTCTAATGGCTGTAAGAGCTTTCTGTTGGCCAGCATCACACATATGCTTTTGAATACTGTCTCCACTTATTTATGAGAAGATAATTATAGCTTATTTCATATGTGCTGACACATGACATAAGACATTGGACTTTTCACTATATAACAATATTGCTCAAACAAGCTGAAAAATCATGCCTTTTGACAATAGTCAGCACGGAATGCTACCTTCCCTCCACCTCAATTTGATAGGCTTGTCCACAATCTATTGTGAATATTACAGGACGAAACAGTGTGCAGTAAACAAGCACGATGACAATTATGCATCCCAGCTATGCTAGTGACCGCGGATATAAACGCATGACTCCTTAAGATAGAAATGGGGATAATTTTGTTAAAAGCTGCCATGCATAATCATCCTACTTTACGTGTCTAGAAATAAAAATAGCTGTCTCGGTAGATTTGTGCAATGTGAAAATTAGCGATTTTGCAAAATTCATGTTTTAACACAGCGGTACAGAATTCAATTGTATTTACGTCTAACTAATATATCCCAACATATTTTTTGGAAAACGTGTGCTTAATTGTAAAACTATACTTACATTTGTGCGATTCTTTGCCACCGCCTGCCGCCATCTTTCTTTTCGCCGTATGAGTTTGCAAAGAATTCTGGGAAGCCACTTCGTCCCAAGTCAGGTCCGGACCTCCCTCCGTCTGAAGGGATCATTTCAAGGGTTGAAGTGCACTTCTCCCTAGGTCTTCAAAGTATTGGGACACACTACCCTTAAACGTGAACGCGCATAACCGAGTGCTAGGGTCTAAAACGAGTGCAAGTGAGAGAAATGGGACGGGGCCTAAGTGTCTTGCCCAAGGACACAACGAGAGCAGTCATCAGTGAGAGTCGGTGGAGAAGGTGCAGAGGTGGGAATTGAACCCACGACCTTCTGGCCTGAAGGCCAATGCTCTACCAACTGCAACTGAGTAGCTCAGTTGGTAGAGCTACCAATGTAAATGTAGGTCTGAATGTAAATATGAGAGAGTGAATGATGGTGTTGGGTCAGAGGCTTTGATGGTCCAGTGTGTTCTGGACTCGCTTCTGTCATCACCGTGTGTGGAAGGATTGGAACAATATCTGACTCTGTGCATGTTTTTAGTGGTAGGGGAAACCGGAGCACCCGGAGCAACCCTACGCAAACATAGGGAGAACATGCAAACCTCACTCAGAAAAGCCCTGTTCCAACCGGGATTCGAACCCAGGACCTTCTTGCTGAGAAGCGAGAGTGCTATCCACTCAGCCACCGTGCCGCTAAGCTAGCAGCAAGACGCTTTCTCGCTGCAGACTTTAGGAGATCACCATGGCAACACCAGGTGCACAGCGGTCTGCTGTCATGATGCTAATGTAAATTAAAAATGGGGGTATTGGTTGTTCGGGTCCTATGGTACGAGTGCAAGCCTCGACCTGATACCAGAACATCCATCCATCCATCCATCCATTTTCTTCCCCTTAATCCATTTCTATGTCGGGGGGGTGGCAGTCAGAGCACCAGCCCCTCACTGATCCTCCTGCAGGTGGTGAGTCCACAGGAGCTGAGATCTTTCAGTGGGAGCTTCAGGCAAAGTGGGGTTAAGTGTCTTGCCCAAGGACACAACGACAGCAGTCATCAGTGGGAGTCGTGAAGTAGGTCTTATGGTGGGCTTGAACCCACAACCTTCAGGCCCAAAGGCCAATGCTCTACCAACTGAGCTACTGTCGCCCCTGTGTTTTGTAATGTAATGTAATCTTTATTTATATACCGCCTTTTCACTGCGGAGTCGGAGTCTCAAAGCGGTTTACAATTGTTATTTTTGTGAGTGGGGGGCAGTACAGGAGGCACATGCCATACCTATTGTACATATTTTTAGTGGTAGGGGAAACCGGAGCACCCGGAGGAAACCTACGCAGACACGGGGAGAACATGCAAACTCCACTCAGAAAGGCCCTGGTCCGACCAGGATTCTGTCATTTGCATTGTCACACTATCTTCCACATGTCACTCACCTTTGAGAGCAGCCCACACTGACAGATCTGCCAGAGTGAGGGCGTGTCCCACCACGAAGGTCCGCAGAGACAGAGCCTTGTCCAACTCGTCGAGAGGAGCGGCCAAATCTGACTGACCATAGATTCGCCGAGCACTGAACTCCAGCCAATGATCAATCTGGTGCAGAATAATAACAAGATAGAAATAAGATAAACCGTGTGGGAACCAACTGTAGCCTGACAATTCACTAGAGTGCATCTCTTACAAACTGTATGTGTATTTTTATTCTTGTCCAATTTTGAATGCGCTAGAAATGGTAGCAAGTTCAAAGCAGCTCTGAAACAGTTGTCGTTTTGTGCCTTCATGGTTTAGCACTGATCCAGACCAGAGCAGAGAGGATCCAGGGACCGAACCAAGCGGATCAAGCACAAGTCCACAGGAGGAATGCTAATTTTTGGAAAAACGCTAACAAAGCATTCATAATTTTACCGCTTGGGGCTACTCCATCTAAAGAGCTACTATCAATGACTCTTCTGGCACCTGGAAAAGCCATGTTCCAGCTTCTTCCCTCTGGCAGAAGATCTTGTTTTGCTAACAGCTTCTTTCCGCAAACTGTTATGAGTTTAAAGCACTTTTTGTAGTTTGTTTTATTTCTGAACTTTTAACCTAGTTTATTTATGGACTTGTCAGGTGCACACTGAGGACTTTTGCAAATGTATTTTAATGTGGTTTTACTGCAAATGGCAAACAACATGAAACTGAGTCTGAAGAGTGATTATGAGACAGTTGACCCAGGGCATAGTTTGATCACTGTAAATGCTGGTTATTATTTTTGTAAATAATCAAATATCTTCAAAACAAGGAGCCCTCCAAATGAAATTAAACCGAATTGTCACTTACTTCAGTTTGCTCCATCATGTTAGCTCCATAGAGGCCCAGGGCAGGAGCTACACGGGCCAAGTAGCGACTAATGGAGTTGGCATCGTTGAACTGGATTGAGCTAAAGAGTGACGACATCGGAGCTGAGACAATGACATTAAACGGAACTAACAAATATACAGATTATAATAACTCACTCCGACACATGAAGCTTTGTGTCTTTGCCTTCTTCCACGGACAGCTGGACAGTCCCCTTCACATGTTCTGCCACCAGGAGAGCCCCTTGGGAGTAAGAAACTATTTATTTTTATTTGCCATGTGATGTTTTAAATTTTCATCCCCTCTATCATTCAATTTCTGGGTTTGGGGGGAGAGGCAATCAGAACTGCCACTCAATACTCATAGCACCAGTCTCTCGCTGATTCTTCTGCAGGAGGTGGGTCCATGGGAAGATTACTGCTGCTCCATCAACAAAGACAAAAACCTTGATCTTTCAGCGGGGGCTTCAGGAAAATTGGGCTTAAGTGTCTTGCCCAGGGACACAACGACAGCAGACATCAGTGGGAGCAGGTGACATGAGTCGGGCGGGGAATCGAACCCATGACCATTAGGCAGAAAGACCAATGCTCTACCAACCACTCTCTGTTGCCTCTTTTTAGAAATATTTGTATTTCTTTTATTGCAATTATATAATTAAGACATTCATGTTCTAAAATTCTAATTATTTAGAATTATACTAATTAGAATCTTTGCTAGGTATTGTGTATAAATAGTAATGTGATTTATATGCACTGTTTGAGAATGAATGAGAGCAGGATGACGGATGGAGTGTCTTTAACAATCAGCAAAAAATGGTTGAGAATTGTGTATAATGGTTGGTGTTAATGTCTTGAAGATATCTCAATAAAAACTCACAACTGACAACATGACATCAAATGCACAGTGTTTATTTGTCATGAAAGGAATGTCTATTTTGGCTCAACTTCAAGAGGCATTTAAGAGGCTCGATTACAGGGAGCTTGCATCAGCCTGTTGGCCCAGTTCAGCAAAAACAATAGCCAACAGGAAAGACTTGTTCACATGCAAAACTTACAAAACCCACACTGATTAAATAACTGAGGTTTGCTGTATTTATGGCAGTATGTCATCAAAACTATTCACAATATATCCGTAGGTTGAGGTCTATTCCAGTATTAGTATTTTTGTTTTATCGCTGTATGTCATCAAAACTCTTCACCATATTGAAAAAAATCAAACAAAAATAAAATAAAATAAAATAATAATTGTGGCCCTGGTTATAGCTTTGCCACGACTGCGTTCGGCCACTGCTTGAAGAATGCTAACAGTTAGCTTCCCATTAGCATTTAGGAACTAAAGCACGTTTATAATGCATTGTGTAGTTATTAAAGCCGTGGCAATAATGTAAATGCTATGCTCATATGGCAGTATTGTTTGTAGCTATCTATAATAATAAGGGATACAGTCTGATCTGAACATTACATCTGCTGAAGTTGGTGTATTTGTGGTTGACACGCTGTCATTCAGACAAACACACACAAGCTAACGCAAACTTCCTGTAAAAGACAAACTAAACTCACCTAAAGGAGGGTTGCGCGGATTGATAGTGAAGTTTAGCGCCATGCTGTGATGTTGTATTTCACAGGATACACGACAATAACCCGCAAGAAGTCCGCAAACTGCACACCCCACAGACAGGGCAGACCTGAAAGACCGCTGCCTGCAACAACGTGCTTCTGCCAGTGGGGGCGCGCCATCTACAGGCCACTTACGGAACTGTAGCTTTTTTTTATTTATTTTTTTATTATATATTTAAACATAATACAAACAAAATAGATGCCTCAAAATACCGATAACAATCATGATATACAAATACAAAAAAGACAAACTAAAAAATAAAACAAAAACCAGGGCATACACTTAGACGTTTGTTGTCATCTGTAAATGTAAAGGGCATGTGTCAATAAATGATAAAAGTTTAGTAGCATTCTTAGATTTTATGAGATTGAGTGAAGTATAGAATAGTTTGAACTCATTCCTCCAATGAATGTAGTTCGGGATGGTTTAAAAAAAAACGGCACTTGTGAATGTAATGTTTAGCTAACAATATAAGATTATTAACACCATATTCAGTTAAACTATTAGTAGAGGAAATACCAAACATTACATCATGAATAACTAAACTTGGCAGTAAAATTCCTTCGATCCGTAGACAGGGCAGACCTGAAAGACCGCTGCCTGCAACAACGTGCTTCTGCCAGTGGGGGCGCGCCATCTACAGGCCACTTACGGAACTGTAGCTTTTTTTTTTTATTATTATCTTTTTTTTTATTATATATTTAAACATAATACAAACAAAATAGATGCCTCAAAATACCGATAACAATCATGATATACAAATACAAAAAAGACAAACTAAAAAATAAAACAAAAACCAGGGCATACACTTAGACGAGAACTGTAGCTAATAAGGCTCGCTAAAGCTAGCAGCATCGGTATTCTCTTTTAAATCACTTCTTAAAACCCACTTTTATCGAACAGCTTTTAACTGTTGGTTTAAAACTTCACGTTGTATGTTATTGTTCCACGTTGTCTTTGTTTTGTCTTTCTTCTTGTGTTTCCTCTGTCTGCTTTGATTGCCTATATCTACTGTTTTAATTTTTTAATTATTATTTTGACATTGTATTTCAGTTATTATTTTTATGCATACACTGTTTGTTTTTTAAGTGTTACACAAATACAGATGTTTTATTATTATTGTTATTATTATTATTATTACGCAAAAACCTGCATGAAAAATAATGTACATGATAAATATACATTACATAAACAAATATGTAAAATAATATCACAATAAATATGTAAGATATGGTAAAGTGTGGTGAAAATTATAACGCTGTGTCCCCACCCCCACTCCGTAGCACGTGGCGGCGACAGTGCACCGACTCGTTTCCAGTTGCACTCCCAGAATAACAACAACACGAGGAAGCCTTATTGTTGTGCCCGGGATTCTGTGCACTAAACTTCATCGCTGATTTGATTCAACACTAGGTACATTTAGCAGACGCATAAACAAACGAATTGCAAGTGCATGCGTTTTGGGTCGAATCTCAACTTTGCATCTTGCATAAGGAATGAATGAAAAGTGTGGGTTGCAATGAGGTGCAAGACACACTGATTTGTCTGGCATTGGACATGAAGCATGACAGGACTTTTAGTAGTTTTTTTCCTCATATCTGTGTTTTTCTCCTCTTTAGTATGTCCCAGGACAGTAAACATGGCAAGTGGAGCATCTCTAGCAGTGAAGATGAAGCTGATGCCATTCCTCCATCTGGAAAAACTTCTACTAAAAATGAAATCACGTTTGTGCAGACTCCCTCACCTCCAAAAACAGAGGCTGTTTCGGTCAAAGTAGAAATGAAACCTGAACCTGGACATAAAACCTCCACCTCTTCACTGTTTATTGGCTCTGAGGCCAGAAAGTCTGCTGCTTCAAACCAGCTGAACCCTGTGAAGTTCGACAGTGGTCCATCTCCAGCTGCAAAGAGGAAGAAACCGGAGTCAGACGGTCCATCGGGGTGGGCTCTTTCTGATAGTGACGACGATGAAGCTCATCATGGAAAGAAAGTTGCCGCAAATAATAATAATATTCCTAAGAAAGAACCTCCAAAAAAGCAGAAAGTGATGAATGAGCGCCCGCCCAGTCCTCACGGTCGTACGTATGTAGACGACAAGGCCGATTTCTTTGAGTCTGCTTTCCCCTGTCTCAATGACACCTACGGCTTTTATCTCAATAAAGTCTCTGGGCTGGAGCGCAAGTACAACACCGGCGCACTGCACATCAAGGGTGCGTTCTATTTTAGCGTTAAAGCTGGAGAACCTCAATTCAATTTATTCTTGTATAGCCCTAAATCACAGCAGCAGTCATCTCGGGGGGACTTAACAAAACCATAGAATTCGCCAACACAGATCAGAGAATCAACAGATAAAGATGAAGTCAGTGATTTTTTTTCCAGACGCATTTTTTTTTAAATATTGTGGGAAAATGTCCCTAAACCCTAAAAGTAGTCAAAATCACGTGTTTTCAAATAGTAATGGAACTAACCAGATGTTTATAGTCTCAGAAAATTAATAAAACATTTTGGAGCAGATCGCTAAAAATAAACCAATGGGATTCGTTCATCCCCAACGAACCAATGGGATGTGTTTACCGCCTTCACCCTCTTCCTGTTTCTCAGACTGCACCGGAGTTATCGGATTTTCTAAAACCTAAAATGGCTGAACAGAAAATGCCAATTTCACATTTGCCGCCGACTCTCTCTGTTGTGACAGAGAAAAAAAAATGCTGGATGTTTGGTTTGATGGAGAGGGAGGGGGGAGTGGTTTCCAGTTGGTGCTACGGCTAAGCTAACAAAATCACTTACTGCGTCTTTAAAAATATAGACCACATGGTATTGGTCCATAGGGAGAGACCAATGTCCATGAATGCTGTAGACTGTAGAGTGTCCTGGATCACTTTTTGTGGGTTTTCTTAGTTCATTTTGTTTGTCACAACTACAACATGCTGACTATAACAAAATATGTTATAATTTGCATACTGAGAGCTGATTGGCTGAATGAGGGCTGGGGCCATAAATGCAGACATGGGAAAACTAGAGATGGAACAAAACCTTTTCTATAACTTTCATTTTTAGAACTAGAACTGGTTACAAGGTTAATGGTTTCAAAGTTAGGTACTCCAGCTTTAAATAAACAGTTAACAGCAATGATTAAGTAAGAAAGTAATGATTTCTTCTGTTTTTTTAGACATCCTTTCACCTTTGTTTGGAACTTTGAAAGAATCGGTTCAGGTGAAGTTGGAGATGCAGTGTAGTGATTGTGTTTCCGGCTGTTATTAAAACAATTCTACAGTCATTTCATGTTTAATGCAATTGGATTTCTGATGAATTCTGATTGAAATAAACTAAAAATATTAAATTTAACCCTAAATTGCAGTTCAACTACTGTTTTGATGTTGCCTGGATGGTTCAGCAATATCCAAAGGACTTCAGGTTAGTAGAAAAACAACACATGTCGCATACATTCATTATTATTATATTATTATTGTTATTATTAATGTGTGTTTTACAGAGACAGACCGGTTCTTCTGGTGCATGGAGACAAACGAGAGGCCAAAGCGAGACTAGTGCGAGATTCTCAGCCGTACCCACACGTGAAACTATGCCAGGTACAAACCCACAAACTAGTTTTAGACATTTAGCCCCAGTTTTATTTGTTTCTTCACCTTTCCTCAGGCTAAACTGGACATTGCATTTGGAACTCACCACACGTAAGTCTTTCAGAAAAACGTTATGTACAAAAAAAAATGCTAGTTCTTGCAATAAATGGGGTGCGTTCTTTAGACATTTTAAGAAAGAAAAGGTCAGTTATGATTTGTAGCTATAATCTGGCAACACAAACACAATGGAGCTGTTGGAAAAATCTTACCTACAGCACACTTTTTTGATGCTTTTTATTGTCCAAATGTTTCCCAGGTTCGACAACACAACCGTTTTGCGAATCCAACAATTATAACACAGACATTGGGGATTAAAAACACATTACGAGCCGTTGGTTCGTACAAAAGAGGAATTCATAAATGTCCCATCAGCAGAAAAAGTCAAAATCCCAGTGGGAACAAATCCAGAGAAGCCTCCTTCTCACACAGGCTTTTGAATACTCTAGAAAATCTTGTTTAATTGACTTTTGACGTTGGATATTCTTGTTTCTGTTGTGCCTTTTTATTGGTTGATGCCTGTAAGATTTTTGTTGGTTGCAGAAGACATTTTCTTTTGGCTGTAATTGTGGCATCTTTTTGTTTCGAGTTGTCAGACCTTGAAATAACAACAATTATATTACTTTATTTTATTTATTTTTTTTAGAGCTGACTGCAAGGCCTTTATCCCCACCGCTGTCAGACTGTACAACAAGTCACTAATGCGCTAGGACTAAAAAAACCTGCACTACTATTGCCACGTTTTTATTGTACATAATTATATCCTGCACAGACTATATTTTTAACCTTTAACATGTTTCACACTTCTGTCTTTTGCATAATCTTGAGTGATTTTACTGTATCTGTGCCAAATGAGACATGTACATTTCTCCATCAGAGATCAATAAAGTCTGTCTTATCTTAGCTTTTGACAGTTACCATAGTTACTTGGAACGATTTTTCAGCTTCCCTCCACCACAACTTTAAAACTACTGACTCTTTGGAATGTTAAGATGTCACATGGACACAATCTATTCAATTCAATCAATCAATCAATCACATTTTATTTATAGAGCCCTTTACAACACTCAAGGCGACCAAAGTGCTTTACAATAAAATCACATAAAATGCATTAAAAACATTCATTCAAACAAAAATAAAAATAGAACAGTAAGATAAAAATAAAAAATAAAAATGTAATTATTAATCTTTTTATTTTATTTTTTTATTACATGTATTTTTCTTTATGACATAGAAAGATGATGTTACTGTGGTATGAAGAAGGTTTCAGAGTCGTCATTTTGACATCCAACATGATTCGAGCCGACTGGTACCAGAAAACCCAAGGGTAAGTGTCACATGGCTATAAATAAAGTTTTTTTAACCTGCTTTAAAGAGCGACTAAACACCAAATCAACTTTTTTTAACTCATAAACTGCATAAATATGTTTATTGTGGTGCTGTCTACATATCCTGGTCATTTTTTTGACATTTTAGTTCAAATTAGATAAAATATCACTTTTGAGCCAAAAAACGCTGTGTGGCGCCCTCTCAACCTTTTTGGTGGTACTACATTTGAATTTGGTCCTGACCTCTCCATTGACTCTGAAGTTCTCTATGACATCAGTTGTTTTGTGTGACGTCATTCTGTCAGAGCCAGTGATGTGAACCCATTCAACTCTCACACACGCCCCAGCTGCAGTTTGGAGTATTCTGGCGCCATCTAGTGGATTAAAATTAAATTACACGAGTCATTCTGAGATTATTGAGTGTGATTAGGTTCAGGTGTGTAGCTTTACAATTATCTTAGTGTGTAATCAAGGGTGGAATGAGACTTTCTGGTGTAAACTATTGCTTTAAGCAGCAATGACAACTGTCTGTTTTTTTTGTGTGACAAGTGAGCTGTCAATCACAGCACAGACCACGCCCAACTCTAAGCCCTCCTTCTTGTCCCTTAGTCCTCCAGGCAACGCCCTTTTTAGAGAAAATGTTCAAATCTTCATGTGGGCGGAGTCAGGCTGGGCACAGGTGTTTAGTCGCTCTTTAAATACCTTCGTTTTCATCAACAGGATGTGGATGAGTCCTCTGTATCCACAGTTACCCAATGGCAGCAGTAAAACAGGGGACTCGCCCACTTTCTTCAAGAGGGATTTACTCGAGTACCTTTCGTCGTACAGAGCGGCTGAACTAGAAGAATGGATTCAGCGGATCAAAGAACATGACCTCTCTGAGACCAGGTACGTTTGCTCCACTTTATTCTTGGGTTTCATCTGACGTCAGGGCAGTGGCGAATAACAAACGTATGACAGGACGTGACGTGTCCTGGCGCTGCAGTCTGCCGGGTTTATACACGGAGATATAGTAGAAGAAGAAGTGGTTTATACACGGAGATATAGTAGAAGAAGAAGTGGTTTATACACGGAGATATAGTAGAAGAAGAAGGGGTTTATACACAGAGATATAGTAGAAGAAGAAGTGGTTTATACACGGAGATATAGTAGAAGAAGAAGTGGTTTATACACAGAGATATAGTAGAAGAAGAAGTGGTTTATACACGGAGATATAGTAGAAGAAGAAGTGGTTTATACACGGAGATATAGTAGAAGAAGAAGTGGTTTATACACGGAGATATAGTAGAAGAAGAAGTGGTTTATACACAGAGATATAGTAGAAGAAGAAGTGGTTTATACACGGAGATATAGTAGAAGAAGAAGTGGTTTATACACGGAGATATAGTAGAAGAAGAAGTGGTTTATACACGGAGATATAGTAGAAGAAGAAGTGGTTTATACACGGAGATATAGTAGAAGAAGAAGTGGTTTATACACAGAGATATAGTAGAAGAAGAAGTGGTTTATACACGGAGATATAGTAGAAGAAGAAGCGGTTTATACACGGAGATATAGTAGAAGAAGAAGTGGTTTATACACAGAGATATAGTAGAAGACGAAGTGGTTTATACACGGAGATATAGTAGAAGAAGAAGTGGTTTATACACAGAGATATAGTAGAAGAAGAAGCATCTTTTTGTGCGGTGTACGCTTGTAGCAACCGCACAAATAGAGAAAGACCAGAGTTTGTTCATGTTCCAACTGTGTCTCATATAAAGGAGGACACTTTAAAAAAATCACTGGAATGAGGCGGAGGTGGATCAAGGCTTTCCCAGAGAAGCGCCCCCTGCAGGCCACCCCAATGAAACGCAGCAATTTCTTCTGTTTTTCTTTCCCAAAAAAGCCCAAAATCAAGACTCTTTTGAGAAATATTTGTTAGTTCTCCCTTAGAATTGAGTGTCCTCGATTAAGACTGTTCCAACAAACGTACACTGCACAGGAGGAGAGCCTTTGACTCCAAAACAGACTTTACATGGTTTTCAATGGGAGCAACACTGTCCCACATCTGCTCATGCGCCCCCTACTGGCCAGTTTAATGAAACCCAAGAATAACCATTATTCTCTATTATGGTACTGTACAATTCAAACAACAACCTTTTTTTAGAGTGTATTTGATCGGCTCGAGTCCAGGGAGGTATGTTGGACCAGACATGGACCGATGGGGCCACCTCAGGCTCAGAAAGGTACAGATGATTTTAATATATAAGATTCAGATTCATTTATTTGCCATTTGCAGTAAAACCACATTGGAATACATGAGCAAAAGTCCCCAGTGGACCAGTCTGCCATTTTTGTCTTTTTGCACACCGCACACACTGACACCAAACTCATTCTCTTAGATGGTTTACTAATATATAATTTATACACTATTAAAGCTGGGTCACCTGTATTTCAAATTAAAAAAATTGGAACAATCATAAAATGCTTCTTCTCCGCTCTCAAAATTGGTTTCATCACTACACTGCAAAAAGATGATAAAATATGAGATAAAAGTTGTTTGAATCAGGTGCTTTTTTAAAATCTAATCTTTGAAATCTTTGTCTTAAAACAAGATTTCAAGATTCAAGAAGTTATTTGCCATTTGCAGTAAAACCACAGTGGAAAAACTGTGCAAGACTTCCCCAGTGTGACCCAGATTCTCCAACGAGACAAAACCATCTAGTCTCATTTCAAGAACTTTTTTTGTATTTCCTGGATATTTTTAAAACAAAATAATTTGTTTTGTCCCATTGACTAATCTTGTTTTACGGCAGTCACATTGTGCTCAAATTAAGATACATTCTCCATAGACTGTAAATTTTCCCAAATTTTGACTTATTTTTTTATCACTTTTTACATTATAAAGTAAGCACCAGCCTCGAAATAGATTGTTTTTATCACTACACTGCAAAAAGATGATAAAATATGAGGTAATAGTCTTTTTTAAATTTGTGTACATTCTGACTGTGTTAAAACTAAATCTAGTCTGATTTCAAGAACTTCATTTTCTCATTCCATAGGAGACATTTGGCTTGTCCCATTGACAAATCTTTTAAGGCAGTCACATTGTGCTCAAATTAAGATACATTTTCCCAAATTTGAGCAACTTAAGACCAGCCTCACTCAGACAATCAGCACTCAACCTTAAATGGTCAATTAATGACTCACAGGGCTCTTTCTTACACAAGTATGCAAAATATGAAACAATTTCTGACCTGTCATCATGGTGTGGTCTTATGTGTTTGCAAAAAGGACATTTTAAAGGACTGGGAAAACAAAAATGTTAGGTACCCCAGCTTTAAAGTGATTGTCTGGAGTTTGTCAGAAAGAGAGACAGAGAGGTGCTTGATTTGAAAAAAACGACGCAAGGGCGACAGTAGCTCAGTTGGTAGAGCATTGGCCTTTGGGCCTGAAGGTCGTGGGTTCGAGCCCACCGTAAGACCTACTTCACGACTCCCACTGATGACTGCTGTCGTTGTGTCCTTGGGCAAGACACTTAACCCTACTTTGCCCAAAGCCCCAACTGAAAGATCTCAGCTCCTGTGGACTCACCACCTGCAGAGGGTCAGTGAGGGGCTGGTGCTCTGACTGCCACCCCCCCGACCCAGAAATGGATTAAGGGGAAGAAAATGGATGGATGGATGGATGGACGCAAGCTCCTCCCCCTTCCTTTCTGATTGGTCTACACCTAAGTTTCCGTAACACTTTGAAATGTTAATCAGAGAACACATTAACACATATACATTATTAATACACATGCACGGAGGTTTTCAGAATTATTTGTGAACGTTTTAATGAAAAAAATTATGTTTTTATGCACAAAAAAAGCGATCGCGGCAAACCAGGAAGTGCTATTATCATGAATTGAACATTATAGGACACATCTGCAGAGGATCTGATTATGGATATAGGTTCAGTATATAAATGATTATGGATATAGGTTCATATATAAATGATTATGGATATAGGTTCAGTATATAAATGATTATGGATATAGGTTCAGTATATAAATGATTATGGATATAGGTTCATATATAAATGATTATGGATATAGGTTCAGAATATACATAAGTACCTCAGCGCGGATGTTCAGAATTCTTTGTTCAGTTTTCATGTAGTTCCAGAGCCTAATAGAGGCTCCGCGAAAACAAACAACTGAACATGAGCAGCTGCAGCATCAGCGCCGATGATTGACAGCCCTTGGCATGACTCGATTGGTTAACCTCGACGGCACCGTGGATTCTGGACTATAGCTAAGAGCAGGGAAGGCGGGACTTGCCCGTAATATTGGAATTAATAAAATGACTTATTTTATATCAACATTTAAGGCCAGGAGGTCAATTTAACACATTTCCTAAAATTTGTAATTAATTTAGAGTTACAGACTATCACTTTAAGTCAGGATTTGAGCAAATATGGAAACTTCTAGATAAGAGATGTCTAGAAAATATGTTTTCACTTGATTCTCATTTGTCCTCTGTTTCTCAGCATGAATGTGTAATTAGTGAGTCAGTAAGTAAGCGTTTATATTTATATTAACTCTTTCACAGACCAAGGCCACAAAGCCCTTCACAGTAAAAACAGAATTTAAAATGTGGGTGAGTGAGACAACACAGTGAAAGGTTTAAAACAGCTGCAAGAAAAGGATGTAAAATCTTTCCCAAATAAATAAGTTTTTAGCTGAAAATTCAACACAAAGTCAAATAATTTTCAATCAATCAATCAACGTTTATTTGTAGAGCACCTTTCCTACACACAGCAACACAAAGCGCCTCACGACCCACATCATATCCAGCCAATCACAGACATTAAAATCTACATATACTTTAAAAACACAAGAAATAATAAAAACAGAATAAAAACACAAGTAATTAAAAACCTTAAAACATTAAAAACACACACTAATAAATAGCCACAATGCACTAAAAAGAGTAAATGTAAAATATAAAATCCTTCAGTTGTCTGCAGCTAAACAGAACTGCTTTTAACCTGGATTTGAAAACTTCCAGAGTAGAGGCCTGTCTCACATCTTCAGGAAGATTGTTCCAGATTTTAGCAGCATGAATCTAGAACGCTGCCTCCCCATGTTTAGTTCTGACTCTTGGAACCAGCAGGAGTCCAGTCCCTGTGCTCCTCAGAGTCCCAGCAGGAGTCCAGTCCCTGTGCTCCTCAGAGTCCCAGCAGGAGTCCAGTCCCTGTGCTCCTCAGAGTCCCAGCAGGAGTCCGGTCCCTGTGCTCCGCAGAGTCCCAGCTGGAGTCCGGTCCCTGTGCTCCGCAGAGTCCCAGCAGGAGTCCGGTCCCTGTGCTCCTCAGAGTCCCAGCAGGAGTCCGGTCCCTGTGCTCCTCAGAGTCCCAGCAGGAGTCCGGTCCCTGTGCTCCTCAGAGTCCCAGCAGGAGTCCGGTCCCTGTGCTCCTCAGAGTCCCAGCAGGAGGCCCGGCCCTGTGCTCCTCAGAGTCCCAGCAGGAGTCCGGTCCCTGTGCTCCTCAGAGTCCCAGCAGGAGTCCGGTCCCTGTGCTCCTCAGAGTCCCAGCAGGAGGCCCGGCCCTGTGCTCCTCAGAGTCCCAGCAGGAGGCCCGGCCCTGTGCTCCTCAGAGTCCCAGCAGGAGTCCATTCCCTGTGCTCCTCAGAGTCCCAGCAGGAGTCCATTCCCTGTGCTCCTCAGAGTCCCAGCAGGAGTCCAGTCCCTGTGCTCCTCAGAGTCCCAGCAGGAGGCCAGTCCCTGTGCTCCTCAGAGTCCCGAGTTGGTTCATTTGGCACCAACATGTCACTTAAATACTTTTGTGCGAGGCCATGAAGAGACTTGTACAATAATTATGACCTTTTGTCTTTTGGAAGCTTTTGTACGACCATTCTGAGTCTATTCCCGATGAAGGTCGATGGCCGGTGGTTTGTCAGTTTTCCAGCATCGGATCAATGGGAATAGACAAAACCAAGTGGTTAGCGGCGGAGTTCCAGCGCACGCTAACGACTCTGGGGAAGTCCAGTGTGCGCTCAGACCCCCCTCTTCATCTGGTGAGTCCACGAAGGGAGCTGGAGCCGATATACGGTGAATCCGTGATTAGATTTACGAATGCGTTTCCTTTATGCAGCTGTATCCTTCAGTGGAAGATGTGCGGACAAGTTTGGAAGGGTATCCAGGTATGTTCACGCCCGGGGTCTCCAACCTGTAGCTCGGGAGATACCTGTAGCTCACCACACCCTTCCAAGTTGTATATAGTGTAGTATATAGAAATGTCTTGAATATGCAAAATATTCCAGAACGTGTGATGTGAATGAAATAGGGAGACACCGATTTGTGAAATTTTGGACAGATACAGAACAACTTAGTCGATGGCCGATGTTTTTTCTTTTTGTTATTGACATTCATTTCTTGGCGGCTTCAGTTTTCCGTTTTCCTTCAGCTTCATGCAGTCGCTGTCCCCGCCTCCTGCTTCTCAAACGTCCAATGAGATTCTTTGTAAAATGATTTCGTGCTAGCTCCTGAACACATACCGATGTTCAGACGATGCACCCCTAAAATGAAAACCTAAAGTGGGAATAGTTAAAAATAATGTCTATTGATAGAAACAGTACCTAATCCAAGCTCTCTCTCAGGGTTCAATCTAAATCTTTTTCCCGAGCGCTTGGAATGAGAACCTGAAGCAGTGACATTTTTAGTCCTGAGTATTAGAGTCCTGCACTTGAGCCTTTGGCCTGAGGGCCCCGACGGCCCGACAGCCCGAGGGCCGGGCTTCGGGCCGATGACCGCATAATGACCTCGGACACGGGCCGGGCTCTTCATTTTCAGAGCGGCAGAATACATTTAGGAACGCACCCACTGAATATAGCGTTCTATCACGCTGTAGTGTTTGTTGTTCTGTGTAGTGTTGTCATTGACGGCACATAGCATTACTTACAGGTGTGTTGCAGCATCTGTGTATCATACAGCTGTGTATCATACAGCTGTGTATCATACAGCTGTGTATCATACAGATGCGGCCGTTCACTCCGCACACACAGAACTCATTGCAACACATCACTACCATGTATAACTCCGCCCTCTAGCTAAGTCTGCGTTCATATCAGTGCGCGGCACTATATACTACGCTAAAACATTGTTACAAAAAAAAAAAAAAGTCGGGCTTGATGCGGGTTTCGGGCCTGAAAATTCAGAAACCATATCGGGCCGGGTCGGGCTGGGGCTCCACCCCTTCGGGCCAGGGCCGGGCTCGGGCCCAGATAATAGGCCCGTGCAGGGCTCTACTGAGTATGTAGCTCTCTGGGTGCATTAGGTTGGAGACCCATGGTTTTCTCTGTGATTGTAATTTCTGTTAAAAACTAAAATGTTCTGTGTCATTAACATTGTCTCTGTGGCGTTCAGCCGGAGGTTCACTTCCATACAGCGTCCAAACTGCTCAGAAACAGCTGTGGCTTCACTCTTTCTTTCAGTAAGTTTGAAATGTAAAGTATTGCATTATTCCCCGATGCTGTGATATATAAATAATGCAGCTCAAAATATACAATACGACAATAAGTGTAACGTGTCCAATCTCGTGTTTTCAGTCGGTGGAAGGCGGACACGACCGGGAGGACTCACGCCATGCCTCACATCAAGACTTTCTTGAGAGTTTCTCCAGATTTTTCTGAGCTTGCGTGGTATTGCATAACAAGGTATCAGATAGTTTGTATTAGCTTGAGTCTAATGCAGGGGTGTCCAAACTTTTTAGTAAGACGGCCACTTTAGTAAAGGTGCACTTTAATAATCCCCGTAGGGCAATTCCTCCTCTGCATTTGACCCATCCTGATGCCGCTAAGGCTTACATCAGGAGCAGTGGTTGCCGTAGTTACAGCGCCCAGGAACCCATCTCCAGATGTTGATGCTCGGCTTGGTCAGGACTTAATCTAGTGAGCATTTTTTTAGTGGAGTACCCAGAGGAAACCTACTCAGCCACTCAGAAAGACCCCGTTCAGACCGGGATTCAAACCCAGGACCTTCTTGCTTAGAGGCAAGAGTGCTCTCCACTCAGCCACCGTGCCGCCCTAGTTTCACCAAACTAGTCCAGGGGCCGACATCACGGACTGAAAAACTGTCTTGACTGACATCGGGCTGTTCTGAGCTTTATGATGATCTATGACAGAGCTGAAGTTGGCTGAATGACGCATGCTTAGTGACATAGTGAAAAAACATGTCAGTATGGTACTATATGCAAATAAATATACTGAATTTCAGACGTACTGGGCTTTAGCACGGAGAGAGAGAGAGATCCTTTATTCATGCCACAGCGGGGAAATGTCAGTGTTGCATCACAAGTTACAGAACAGAAGGAATGAGGAGAACAAAGCACAAGATAAATGAATAATTACTAAACTCATTAACGCATTGACTGAGACCGGTTATTTCTGTCAAACTAACGGCTGGCAGTAAAAAAACAAAATCTACAACTCTAGCATCAAAGAACCAATATAAAATCTCTATCTTGAACATAATAGTAATAATAAAGAAGTATAAGCATGTATGGCTGAGCTGAAGATGGATGGATGACACAGTGAAGTTATGTTTTTGATCTCAAAGACTACTGTGGGTTCGCAAGGCAGAGGGCCACATACAATGACACCAAGGGCCGCAATTTGCCCCCAGGCCTGAGTTTGGACATGCCTGGTCTAATACAAGGCTGAAATTTCCCCACTGTGGGACAAATAAATTCTGATTCTGAGTCTGAATCTGAATAAAGGATTTCTTAATCTCTTTGTCTTAATCTTAATGTTCTTCACTCTGCTTTATTGTGTTTGAAGTGCAAACCTGTCCAAAGCTGCATGGGGGGCTCTGGAGAAGAACAACACGCAGATAATGGTCCGCTCCTATGAGCTGGGGGTCCTGTTCCTGCCTTCAGCTTATGTAAGAGTCAGCCCAGGGTCAGCACTAGATCATATACGGAATCGGGACGGAAACGGAAGTAAAATTAACCAACTACGTATTTATGCCTAAACTTAACTAGCCATTTCCAAAAAATAACCCCAACCCACCCTTAACCCTAACCTATCTAACTCAGACCACCTTAACCCTAACCTTAACCATCTTACTCAGACCACCTTAACCCTAACCTTAACCATCTTACTCAGACCCACCTTAACCCTAACCTTAACTATCTTACTCAGACCACCTTAACCCTAACCTTAACCATCTTACTCAGACCCACCTTAACCCTAACCTTAACTATCTTACTCAGACCACCTTAACCCTAACCTTAACCATCTTACTCAGACCCACCTTAACCCTAACCTTAACCATCTTACACAGACCACCTTAACCCTAACCTTAACCATCTTACTCAGACCACCTTAACCCTAACCTTAACCATCTTACTCAGACCACCTTAACCCTAACCTTAACCATCTTACTCAGACCACCTTAACCCTAACCTTAACCATCTTACTCAGACCACCTTAACCCTAACCTTAACCATCTTACTCAGACCACCTTAACCCTAACCTTAACCATCTTACTCAGACCACCTTAACCCTAACCTTAACCATCTTACTCAGACCACCTTAACCCTAACCTTAACCATCTTACTCAGACCACCTTAACCCTAACCTTAACCATCTTACTCAGACCACCTTAACCCTAACCTTAACCATCTTACTCAGACCCACCTTAACCCTAACCTTAACCATCTTACTCAGACCACCTTAACCCTAACCTTAACCATCTAACTCAGACCACCTTAACCCTAACCTTAACCATCTTCCTCAGACCACCTTAACCCTAACCTTAACTATCTTACTCAGACCACCTTAACCCTAACCTTAACTATCTTACTCAGACCACCTTAACCCTAACCTTAACCATCTTACTCAGACACACCTTAACCCTAACCTTAACCATCTTACTCAGACCACCTTAACCCTAACCATCTTACTCAGACCACCTTAACCCTAACCTTAACCATCTTACTCAGACCACCTTAACCATCTAACTCAGACCACCTTAACCCTAACCTTAACCATCTTACTCAGACCACCTTAACCCTAACCTTAACCATCTTACTCAGACCACCTTAACCCTAACCTTAACCATCTTACTCAGACCACCTTAACCCTAACCTTAACCATCTTACTCAGACCACCTTAACCCTAACCTTAACCATCTTACTCAGACCACCTTAACCCTAACCTTAACCATCTTACTCAGACCCACCTTAACCCTAACCCTAACCATCTTACTCAGACCACCTTAACCCTAACCTTAACCATCTCACTCAGACCACCTTAACCCTAACCTTAACCATCTTCCTCAGACCACCTTAACCCTAACCTTAACCATCTTACTCAGACCACCTTAACCCTAACCTTAACTATCTTACTCAGACCACCTTAACCCTAACCTTAACCATCTTACTCAGACACACCTTAACCCTAACCTTAACCATCTTACTCAGACCACCTTAACCATCTAACTCAGACCACCTTAACCCTAACCTTAACCATCTTACTCAGACCACCTTAACCCTAACCTTAACCATCTTACTCAGACCACCTTAACCCTAACCTTAACCATCTTACTCAGACCACCTTAACCCTAACCTTAACCATCTCTTACTCAGACCACCTTAACCATCTAACTCAGACCACCTTAACCCTAACCTTAACCATCTTACTCAGACCACCTTAACCCTAACCTTAACCATCTTACTCAGACCACCTTAACCCTAACCTTAACCATCTTACTCAGACCACCTTAACCCTAACCTTAACCATCTTACTCAGACCACCTTAACCCTAACCTTAACCATCTTACTCAGACCCACCTTAACCCTAACCCTAACCATCTTACTCAGACCACCTTAACCCTAACCTTAACCATCTCACTCAGACCACCTTAACCCTAACCTTAACCATCTTACTCAGACCACCTTAACCCTAACCTTAACCATCTTACTCAGACCACCTTAACCCTAACCTTAACCATCTTACTCAGACCACCTTAACCCTAACCTTAACCATCTTACTCAGACCACCTTAACCCTAACCTTAACCATCTTACTCAGACCACCTTAACCCTAACCTTAACCATCTTACTCAGACCACCTTAACCCTAACCTTAACCATCTTACTCAGACACCTAAACTTAACCAGTCACCACTTACGGACTTGTTAGTCTAAAACGAATAGGATTGTTACTTCCGGTCTGGTCCTGATTCTGTTTATGATCTTGTGCCGACCTTCAGACCAGCGTTACTGCCACAAACCCAACGGATAATTACGGTCAATGCTATTTCTATAGAATATGAAGACATTCCCGATACAGAGACATCCATTTCCTGTTTCCTCGCCCTCCACTGGGTTCCCTGTTCCCTTTGATCTGCCTCCAACAAGTTATTCCTCCAAAGGTAAAGGTCTCAGACACACACAACAGTGACCTCTAGTGGGGGATATCGGTATTTCATTCAACTCTCGGACAGAAAACAGATGTGGTTCTCGACTGGTCCAGAGCGTTTATGAAATATGTATCTACCACACTGTAAAATAATAATAATTTCACATGCATTTATCCTTGATTTTGTAGTTTATTTGTTCCTAATTTTAGATATGTAGTATTATCCAATGTTTAAAGATGCAGTAAATGATTTTTCCAGATGCATTTCTTTAAAGTACTGTGAGGTCTCATGTGTTTTCAAATAGAAATGGACTCAACCAGATGTGGCCTAAATATTTTGGAGTGGGCCGATTGAAACCAATGGGATGCCTTCACCCTCCCCCCTTGAACCAATGGGATGAGACCATTTTACTCTTAAAGTGATAGTGTCATATTTTAATTTAAATTACAGCTGCTTCTTTTACGCGTGTTGCCAGATAATAGTTCAACAAGAACAAATCATAATTGACCTTTTCTGAACAAAAGTTATTCTTCATCAAAAATAAAAACACCATGTGCATAGATATTTAGAATTAGCAGAATGAGTTCCTTTAGGTTGCCAGTTTTTTAGGTCAAATGTAGCTAATTTTGGCTCTTAACTTTAAAAAGAAAAGAAGAAATATGCAAAATTCACCCACGAAAAATGATTAAGAAAAATATATATGACACAGAGTTGGTACCGTTACTAGCAAATGATTAAATGTTATTAGATGAACACAATGTTATTATTATTAATTATTTAAAATTAGCAAATTATCCGGAGAGCAGAATGAGTCTTTCATTTAGGTTGCCAGTTTGTTTGGTCAAATGTAGCTAGTTTTGGCTCTTAACTTAAAAAATATATAAATATGCAAAATTCACCTACAAAAAATGGGTAAGAAAAACATATATAAGACACAAAGTTGGTACCGTTTCTAGCAAATGATTAAATGTTATTAGATCAGTAATTATGTACATGACATACTATCCCTTCTTCTTCTCTCTGACAGATCAGCCGTGGATGTGGAACATGGCGTACACCCAGGCCCCGGATACGCACGGCAACGTCTGGGTCCCGTCTTAAGTGCAATAATTGTCATTAAAGCAGAACAAAACCCAGAAAACTCTAATCTTAGGTACCGTAGCTGTAGATAGAAACCTCTTTTATATTTTTTTTACTTGTAATCTTCTTATATGGTGTAAAATATCCCAAAAAACAACCACAACTTAAAATAAACTGTTATAAAAGCCATTAAAAAAAACGTGTACGGGACTTAAATTGTGTAATAACATATTTTAACCTGTGTTTGTCCCACAGTCGGGAAATGTCAGTGTTGCAGCGAAGAGTAAGGGGGACGCAAAGTTTCTACAGTCTGTTATTCCATACTGTGTAAAAAAATAATGCTATTCTATGGAAATATTGTATTCACTGTGACAAACTAAAAACATCAGTCGGGTTGAAGTTACTCATCGTGACGCCTTTAATTACAGCTGTTTTATCTTGTTTTGGGTGTTTTATTTATTTTTTATTTTAGACAACACATACAATGTAGATATAAACCATACAATACACAACATAACATCACACAATGACAAAATCCCACTCACCAGGCCATAGTCAAACAAAATACACGAGCTTGCAGGTGAGATAGATGCGTCGTAAAGATTCCTTCTGTCCTGTGAGTGCGATGCAACACTGACATTTCCCCACAGTGGAGTCAGTTCTTATGGAAAGCATCTGTGTTGAAAATCAAAGTAAAATCCAGCGGAGTCAACAATGCATTCAGGATTTGTCGAGCATCTAAATATGTGATCGTGTAGCGGTCATTGGGTTTACACATGGTTTACACATGGTTTACACATGGTTTACACATGGATCTATAATAATAACGGGTTTACTACAGACTCCAGTGTCATGGAGAGGGCTTCACATGTACAGAACATACAGAACAGAGGAATGTGGGAGCAGCCCAGAGCGGTGTGTCCTTCAGACCCTTTAGATCCATGCTCAGACCCTATAGATCCATGCTCAGACCCTTTAGATCCATGCTCAGACCTATAGATCCATGCTCAGACCCTTTAGATCCATGCTCAGACCCTTTAGATCCATGCTCAGACCTATAGATCCATGCTCAGACCCTATAGATCCATGCTCAGACCCTTAGATCCATGCTCAGACCTATAGATCCATGCTCAGACCCTTTAGATCCATGCTCAGACCCTATAGATCCATGCTCAGACCCCTTTAGATCCATGCTCAGACCCTTTAGATCCATGCTCAGACCCTATAGATCCATGCTCAGACCCTTTAGATCCATGCTCAGACCCTATAGATCCATGCTCAGACCCTATAGATCCATGCTCAGACCCTATAGATCCATGCTCAGACCCTATAGATCCATGCTCAGACCCTATAGATCACTCAACCCTATAGATCATGCTCAGACCCTATAGATCCATGCTCAGACCCTATAGATCCATGCTCAGACCCTATAGATCCATGCTCAAACCCAATAGATCCATGCTCAGACCCTATAGATCCATGCTCAGACCTATAGATCCATGCTCAGACCCTTTAGATCCATGCTCAGACCCTTTAGATCCATGCTCAGACCCTATAGATCCATGCTCAGACCCTTTAGATCCATGCTCAGACCTATAGATCCATGCTCAGACCCTTTAGATCCATGCTCAGACCCTTTAGATCCATGCTCAGACCCTTTAGATCCATGCTCAGACCCTATAGATCCATGCTCAGACCCTATAGATCCATGCTCAGACCCTATAGATCCATGCTCAGACCCTATAGATCCATGCTCAGACCCTTTAGATTCATGCTCAGACCCTTTAGATCCATGCTCAGACCCTTTAGATCCATGCTCAGACCCTTTAGATCCATGCTCAGACCCTTTAGATCCATGCTCAGACCTATAGATCCATCAGACCCTTTAGATCCATGCTCAGACCCTATAGATCCATGCTCAGACCCTATAGATCCATCAGACCCTTTAGATCCATGCTCAGACCCTATAGATCCATGCTCAGACCCTATAGATCCATGCTCAGACCCTTTAGATTCATGCTCAGACCTATAGATCCATGCTCAGACCCTTTAGATCCATGCTCAGACCCTATAGATCCATGCTCAGACCCTTTAGATCCATGCTCAGACCCTTTAGATCCATGCTCAGACCCTATAGATCCATGCTCAGACCTATAGATCCATGCTCAGACCCTTTAGATCCATGCTCAGACCTATAGATCCATGCTCAGACCCTTTAGATTCATGCTCAGACCTATAGATCCATGCTCAGACCCTTTAGATCCATGCTCAGACCCTTTAGATCCATGCTCAGACCCTATAGATCCATGCTCAGACCTATAGATCCATGCTCAGACCCTTTAGATTCATGCTCAGACCCTTTAGATCCATGCTCAGACCCTTTAGATCCATGCTCAGACCCTTTAGATCCATGCTCAGACCCTATAGATCCATGCTCAGACCCTATAGATCCATGCTCAGATCCTTTAGATCCATGCTCAGACCCTATAGATCCATGCTCAGACCCTTTAGATCCATGCTCAGACCCTTTAGATCCATGCTCAGACCCTTTAGATCCATGCTCAAACCCTATAGATCCATGCTCAGACCCTTTAGATCCATGCTCAGACCCTTTAGATCCATGCTCAGACCCTTTAGATCCATGCTCAAACCTCTGCAGCTGTAGTTTTTCATATAAATGTGTTTCTTTATCATTACTACACTTCCGTCGTCTCTCTACCACCGCCACAGCAGCTTTCAGACCAGTTCAGGCAGATTTCTCTCCAGATGACAAAAGGAACTGCAAATCCCATCGGTCTTTGCGGTATTATATCATGGCGCCTGTCTGCTGGACAAAAGGCGTCTGACGGAGGATTGAACCCAATTAGAAACAGAGACATTTTGGGGAAACTGTCCGTCTGGCCCGGTGCCCCGGAGGAGAGCACATATGATCCGAGAGCCGTCTCTAGAGGCCCCTGGACTGGAATAATAAGGTAGGTTTGTGGATCCGGTCCTTCTGTAGCGATGTTAGTCTGCTCTGGTCCGGAATGGAGGACGGGGAATGGAGAATGTGCAGAACTGAACCCAAAGTCCCAGATCTGCTCCGTACTTTGGGTCCTGGTCCCGGTGTGTGTGTCCGTGTCCGCAGGGTCCACACTGTTTTACATGTGCCACATTTACCCTGGATTATAGTCTGAGATATCCAAGTTTCCATGTGTAATCTGTGTAATCTGTGAAATCTGTGCAGCTGCAGATCCTGAGGCGGTGACACTGTAGCATTAGCTCTGCTTTAACAACCCACTCTTCTCTGTTTCACATTTAAACATTTAACAAAGTAAACATCTGAAACATTTAACATCTACAATAAACATCTGAACTCTTTCCTCTGCTTCTGTGTCACTGAATCCACGCAGCTGTGCTTCGTTTGTTTCCAAGTACAGTAAGTTTTATAACTTTGAACATCACGTCCAAACTATTGTTGATTGACGTAGAGCAGGACATTAAAGCCCATGGTGCCGTGCACATGGTGCCGTGCACATGGTGTGTACATGGTGTTGTGTACGGCCTGTTGTAAACACTGACCATGAACACCTGATTCAGACCTATACACTGTGTGTGTGTGTTACCACAGTGTGTGTGTCCACAGTGTGTGTCCACAGTGTGTGTGTCCACAGTGTGTGTGTGTGTCCACAGTGTGTGTCCACTGTGTGTGTGTGTGTCCACAGTGTGTGTGTCCACAGTGTGTGTGTGTGTGTGTGTCCAGATCAGAGGTCAGCCTGGAGCTGCTTGACACTTCTGTTCTTGTTTATGAAGAATGAGAGGATGACATTAAAGCTGAGTTGTAACTGTAGTGATTGTGAGTGAGTGTAAATCTGGTTTATATTTAGACACATTTTGAGGCTGCTTTTAGAACTGATCAGTTTTAGAACGAGAACACTGAGCTGTAATCTCCCGTAAAGTTAAACACATGTGTGTTTTGTCTTGTATAATTGGGACAAACATTGATGACACACACATGCATGAAACAGGAAATCTCTGATTTATGTGAAGACATAAAAGTATTGTAACATTTAAGGGGCGCAGTGAAAATAACGTTCTTCGTCCTCATTTCAGTGAAACTATATTGATCTTTAGTATCTGCATGAGTCATCCCTGCAGCACAGACACAAAGTATGGACTTCAGCTGCTGGAGATGTAAATGTTCCTTGGCATTTTTCCCAAGATACACACACACACACACTCGCACACATACACAGACACACAGACACACACACATACACACAGACACGCACACAGACACACACTCGCACGCACACATACACACAGACACACACATACACACACACACAGACACACACTCGCACGCACACATGCACACAGACACACACTCGCACAGTCTGGAGACTCCTCCATTTTGCCGCCTGCTTCATAAGTGTTTGACTTTAGCATTGCAGTGTGCACATTTTATTGCTCTGGCAGACTGCTTTTTTCTCTGGCTGTTTTCTCCGGCTGCTCCCAGGACACATGTGATGTGATGCTTATTACATTATATGCTTTTTATAGCATTCTTTACAGGGAATGGATGCATCACGAGATGCGTGTTAAAATTCCAGATGGATAAAAAGAAGGAAAGAAAAACCCAAATCTCTAAAAAACGCATTATGATTCCGGCTGCGCACGCTCAGATAATAACTCTATTTAGGCCAATGTTTTATCACAATGAAAGCTCTAGTTTCAGATGACGACGAGCTGAACATTTCTGAGATCTGAAAAAGGTTCTTCTGTTTGTTGCTTAATAATGTTTTGTGGTTTTATTTAAATGCCTCCTCGGTCATACTTTGGCACTACAGTACTTTTTCTTCAGCCGCATATTGTTCATGAGCAGCTGGTCTGAATTTGAAAAGCACCAAAATATATCAGTAGCAAAAAAACTCAATCTGGATTTGTTCAGCGACATCAGGTTTTTAGTAGAACCTCAATAAAAATGTACAGGACTATTTTGATAATGTGCGCAATCTAAGTATTTTCTCCTGCTCCTGTGTTATATATAAAAAAATATTGTCCACTCACCTTTGGCCCATTTCTGGACCCAGATGTCCGAGGTTATTCCGGGGATCCGCTGTAACCACTCTTCTAGCTTCGGGGTCTCTCCAGCTCCTCTCTGAGACCTTGGTATTTCTCAAGCTTTTCATGTTCTTTTTTCCGGATGTTACCGTTGCTTGGAATTGCCACGTCCACCACCACGGCTGTCCTCTGCCCTTTGTCCACCACCACGGCTGTCCTCTGCCCTTTGTCCACCACCACGGCTGTCCTCTGCCCTTTGTCCACCACCACGGCTGTCCTCTGCCCTTTGTCCACCACCACGATGTCAGGTTGGTTCATTACCATTCGGTCGGTCTGTATCTGGAAGTCCCACAGGATCTTTGCACGCTCATTCTCCACCACCTTTGGAGGAGTTTCCCACTTAGACCTTGGGGTTTCCAGCCCATACTCTCCACAGATGTTTCTGTACACTATGCCAGCCACTTGGTTATGGCGTTCCATGTAGGCCTTCCCTGCAGCATCTTGCACCCTGCAGTTATGTGTTGGATCGTCTCAGGTGCCTCTTTGCACAACCGACACCTTGGGTCTTGTCTGGTGTGGTATTTCTGGGCCTCTATCGCTCTGGTGCTCAGGGCCTGCTCCTGTGCAGCCATGATGAGTGCCTCTGTGCTGTCCTGTAGGCCAGCCCTTTCTAGCCATTGGTAGGACTTCTTGAGATCAGCCACTTCTGTTATGCTCCGGTGGTACATGCCGTGTAGGGGCTTGTTCTCCCATGATGGGCTCTCCTCCAGCACCTCCTCATCTCGCCACTGCCTGAGACATTCACTGAGTATGTCATCCGTTTTGGCCTTCTCCATGATGTAGTTATGGAGTTTGGATGTTTGGTCCTGGACAGTGGCTCTCACACTCACTAGTCCTCGGCCTCCTTCTTTACGGCTTACGTACAGTCTCAGGGTGCTGGATTTGGGATGGAACCCGCCATGCATGGTAAGGAGCTTTAGAGTTTTAACATCTGTGGTCTGAATCTCTTCCTTTGGCCACCTGATTATTCCTGCAGGGTATCTGATCACTGGCAGGGCGTAGCTGTTAATTGCCCGGGCCTTGTTCTTGCCATTGAGCCGGCTTCTTAGGACCTGCCTTACTCGCTGGAGGTATTTGGCAGTTGCCGTTTTCCTCGTCACCTGTTCGACGTTGCCATTTGCCTGTGGTATACCGAGATACTTGTAAAGCCTAGTTTATACTTGCGCGGCGCGGAGCTTACGGAGGTGACGTGACGTCACTTGCGCAACGCGTTGGTCACCGCAAGGCCCTTAAGCCTAGTTTATACTCGCGCGGAGCTTACGGAGGTGACGTGACGTCACTTGCGCAACGCGTTGGTCACCGCAAGGCCCTTACGTTGCCTGTCCTGCAGCATCGAAATTTTCTAACTACGTAAGGGTCGCCGCAAGGAATCTCCGCTGTGATTGGTCCGTGTGTGTGTATTGGAAGGTAGCACGGAGCGGCTACAGCAGGAACATGGACGAGGCACTATGGAGCAGAGAGCTTTGTGCTTCGAAGGAAAAGCAGTTTGGGCTCAGAGCCTGATATACAGGAGACTGTGGACTATCTAACATATATATAACATATATATAACACATATATCTAACATATATCTAACTTATAAACTGTGCAGTCGTTTGTTTTGCACTGTTCCTGTCTTGTTTGAATCGTAGCTGCGTTTGTTGCTTTCCTCCTGCACTCGAAAATCGTTCATGTTTGTCTCAGATATTTACCACTATTATTGTTTTGCTGTTTGTGCTGAAAACTATTTAATAATAACTATGTTTCCAACAGAACTGTATCTTTATTCACAGCATCACAGTTGAAATGACTTATAAAATAATGAATCCATAAAACTCTCACATAAACCTACAGTAGAAACACGTGTAATGAGCTCAAACAGCTTTGTTTGTTATTGTTGTTCTGAAGAGGACAAAGTAGCAGCGTAAATGGGACCGCTCCTGTGTGATCGCCCTCATGTGGTTTGTTGTGGGATTACAACATTCTCCTCAAAACTCCGTAAGGAGAACGCGCCAGTATAACATCAATTGTGCTTACGTAGGTCCACCGCAACCGCTAACGTAAGCCACGCCGCGCAAGTATACACTTGGCTTTACGTCGCCTGCCGCGCAGCATCGAAATTTTCTAACTACGTAAGGGTCGCCGCAAGGAAGCTCCGCTGTGATTGGTCCGTGTGTGTGTATTGGAAGGAAGCACGGAGCGGCTGCAGCAGGAGCATGGACGAGGCACTATGGAGCAGAGAGCTTTGTGCTTTGAAGGAAAAGCAGTTTGGGCTCAGAGCCTGATATACAGGAGACTGTGGACTATCTAACATATATATAACTTATATCTAACATATATATAACTTATATCTAACATATATATAACTTATATCTAACATATATATAACTTATATCTAACATATATATAACTTATATCTAACATATATATAACTTATATCTAACATATATATAACTTATATCTAACATATATATAACTTATATATATGTTAGATATATATAACATATATATAAGTTATATCTAACATATATATAACTTATAAACTGTGCAGTCGTTTGTTTTGCACTGTTCCTGTCTTTGTTTGAATCGTAGCTGCGTTTTTTGCTTTCCTCCTGCACTCGTAAATCGTTCATGTTTGTCTCAGATATTTGCCACTATTATTGTTTTGCTGTTTGTGCTGAAAACTATTTAATAATAACTATGTTTCCAACAAGAACTGTGTCTTTATTCACAGCATCACAGTTGAAATGACTTATAAAATAATGAATCCATAAAACTCTCACATAAACCTACAGTAGAAACACGTGTAATGAGCTCAAACAGCTTTGTTTGTTATTGTTGTTCTGAAGAGGACAAAGTAGCAGCGTAAATGGGACCGCTCCTGTGTGATCGCCCTCATGTGGTTTGTTGTGGGATTACAACATTCTCCTCAAAACTCCGTAAGGAGAACGCGCCAGTATAACATCAATTGTGCTTACGTAGGTCCACCGCAACCGCTAACGTAAGCCACGCCGCGCAAGTATACTCTAGGCTTAACTGTCCTCAACGTCTGCTATTGTTCCCTCTGGGAGTGAGATCCCTTCTGTGTGGACTACCTTGCCTCTCCGAGTCACCATCCTGCTACATTTCTCGAGTCTGAATGACATCCCGATGTCATGGCTGTAGATCCTGGTTGTTTGGATCAGAGAGTCGATGTCTCTCTCGCTCTTGGCGTACAGCTTGATGTCATCCATGTAGGGAGGTGACTGACCTTTGCTCCGTTCCTGAGGTGGTATCCATAGCCAGTCTGGTCAATTACTTAATTACTTGGCTTAGAGGGTTGAGGCCTATGCAGAACAGTAGTGGGGACAGAGCATCTCCTTGGTAGATACCACATTTGATGGTCACTTGTGCGAGCGGCCATTTGCCTCAAGGGTGGTCTTCCACATCCCCATCGAGTTTGCAACGAAGTCCCTTAGAGCCCTGTTGATATTGTACAACTTCAAGCATTCCATGATCCATGTGTGTGGCATTGAGTCGTAGGCTTTCTGGTAATCAATCCAGGCTGTGCACAGGTGTGTTGTGACCGTCAGTCTTGGGCGACATATATAAACAAATCAGATAGATGTATGTTAGTGACAAATAATGATCAAATAAAAAAAGATTGATTACACTGAGGGAAAAAAATACCAAGATCGCCCAGTCCTAAATCTCTAATTCTAAACTTCTAAAGCTGTCTCTTTTTACTTTGAATGAAGCCGACGTCCCTCTTTCACCGTTAGACTTGATTATTACTGTTCGATTAAAAAAAGCTCTTGGTCCAACGCTACGTTCCAGAAGCTGTCGATTGCTGAGGGAGGATTTGTTTTGGACCAGTCTAGTTCAGCCGCTGTGGACTTTTGGATGCACTCGTTATCAAGCATGTCCAAACTCGGGCCCGCGGGCCAAGTACGGCCCTCTGCTGCTAACACAAAGTCGCCATCGAGGCACTTTGACAGTGTCATCCAACCAACTTCAGCTTCACCAACACAGTCCTGCTACACATTGTTGTAAATCTCAGACCGTCTGGAATCCAGTCGTTGACTCTATTGTTATTTACTGACATTTGTTTTATGATTGTGTCACAACATTCCACATAAAAAGCAGCTGTGAAACACCGGACGTATCATATTAACATTTTAAAATCCAGTCAGTCCAGTGTGGTGTCTGCTTTTATAAGTTCTATTATATTTATTAGGGCTGTTAAATGTAATTAACGTGAGTTTACGCAAGAATTTTATCATAAACGCGTTTAAAAAAAATTAACGCATGTCCGAATGACCGTGACATGCGTGAGTTAACTCACCATTTCTGTGCGATTAATCAACAAAAATTTTTTTTATCGTTTGACAGCCCTAATATTTATGTATCTTCATAGGTGTAGAATGTGATGTCAGACCTCGATGTCTAAGACTGCTGACCCTTTTTTAAATCATAAGGCCATAAGGATGTATGTTTGTTATAATTGTGTCTTATGACATATGGGCAATAGCAGAGACAGCTGACTCGACCCTTCTCTGGGGTCAATGGGGCTGTGGACGTCTGGAAGGACCAATAAGAGCCTGTAGAGAGACCCTCAGGCTCAGAGATCAGGAGTTTAACCAGGACTAGTCTACAGGATTATTGAATGACATGTGTATCTACGACATCCTGTGACTTGACCAACCCATGACGCTCCTCTGCTACTTAAGGAAGCAGAGTCTGCGTCATTCTTTGTCATTCTGCAATTTCATCTTATCATCCCAGGCTATAGGCTTAGTCTGTAATTTGTGTTATTCTGCTTATTTACATTAAACCTTCTTTTTTATCTAAGCAGAGTCTGTAGTTTCCATTCACTACCTCTAGTTTGTGTGGGAGGAAAACCCATTTAGGGCCATAGATTATTTACCACACCTGCTCCAAGTCACTTTTTTAAATCCAGGTTTTCGGCCCGAGGGTCAGGTCTGATGAACTAAAGTGGCCCTTTTACTAAAAGGTTTGGACACCCCTGCGTTAAATGAATGTGGCTAGTGCCGGCTAACGCGTGTGCAAATGCGTCTTTTTCACATTTTCCTTCTCCACGGCCATTTTGAAAAAGCCACAGAAGGCAAAAGTGGGGGCACATTAGTTTCAGCGGCGGAGACAGGCCTGACTACATCTGTGATATTTACAGTCTATGGTTTTGTTGCAGATGTTCCAGCAGTGTGAGGAGCCTCGCTTCACCATCGAGCAGATCGATCTGCTCCAGAGGCTGCGGAGGACGGGCATCAGCCAGGCCGAGGTGCTGCACGCCCTGGACACTCTGGAGCACCTGGACCGGCAGCATGGCCACACGGCGGGCCACAAAGCCTCGTACATGCCTCCTCCAGCGGCCTCATGCGCCATGTCCACTGCCACCCAGACCGGCTCCAGCAGCGCAGCCTTCGAGAGCTCCTCTCCCCCGATGCCAGTGCCTGTGTCCTCCCCCATCATGGCCACTCACAACGGCCTGGTGGCAGTGACCAATGGGAAGCTTTCTCCTCCGCGGTTTCCTCTGGGCGTGGTCAACGCTGCCGTGGTACCACCAGTCTACAGCTTTGAAGTGAACGAAGAGGAGATGGACATTGAGGACAAAGTGGAGGATCTCATGAGGTCAGAGCAGGACCATGTGTCTCTTTAGATTCCTGGTTCACCTGGTCTAGGTTAGACCTGGTGAACTGCTGAGGCTACTGTTATGACTGTCAACATGTTTAGATACATTTTTTTAAAAAGTGTTTTTATTTATTGATTACATTAATTCAATAGAATTACACACATTTATATATATTATAACACATTACAGCATTACATGAATTATAACAGAACTAATTACAATTACATAGAAAATAAAAACAAATACATACACTGACATTTATACATTTATACTCATACTGGGGCAGGGTTGAAAAGGACTAATAATAAGAGCAATATTTTTTTCTATGACATTGGTCTTAAATGTTGATTAAAATATAATTTGTTTACACATTTCAAGCTGCTGGAAGTCAATATTTTGTAGAGTGACTTCTTTTTAACCGTGTAACGTAGATCAAACCTGCTGCATGTGACGTGTCCCTGGATCTAAATATGATTATGGCTCACACTCATTTGTATTCTGAGTCAGACGGCTGCAATCACAGAGTATGGATTTGAGAGTGTGTGGAGATTAATTCATTCCAGATACAGAACTGAACACATTCTTCTCTTTCAGTCTCGTTCTTGTCATTTCTCGTTCGTCTGTAAATGTCTGCTCCCAGCGTTCTGTGAATCTGTTCTAATCTCCATTCTTTTGTCAAGAAGGGACAGTGCCATGATCAAAGATGAGATTAAGTCGTTCTTGGCCAGCAGGCGGATCTCCCAGGCTGTGGTCGCCCAAGTGACCGGTGAGTGTGGCGTCCGGCTGTTGTGTGTGGCGTCCGGCTGTTGTGTGTGGCGTCCGGCTGTTGTGTGTGGCGTCCGGCTGTTGTGCGTTCGGCTGTTGTGCGTGGCGTCCGGCTGTTGTGTGTGGCGTCCGGCTGTTGTGTGTGGCGTCCGGCTGTTGTGTGTGGCGTCCGGCTGTTGTGTGTGGCGTCCGGCTGTTGTGCGTCCGGCTTGCGTGGCGTCCGGCTGTTGTGTGTGGCGTCGGGCTGTTGTGTGTGGCGTCCGGCTGTTGTGCGTGGCGTCCGGCTGTTGTGCGTGGCGTCCGGCTGTTGTGCGTGGCGTTGGGACTGTTGTGTGTGTGGCGTCGGGACTGTTGTGTGTGGCGTCGGGACTGTTGTGTGTGGCGTCGGGACTGTTGTGTGTGGCGTCGGGACTGTTGTGTGTGGCGTCCGGCTGTTGTGTGTGGCGTCCGGCTGTTGTGTGTGGCGTCCGGCTGTTGTGTGTGGCGTCCGGCTGTTGTGTGTGGCGTCCGGCTGTTGTGTGTGGCGTCGCGCTGTTGTCGGCTGTTGTGCGTTCGGCTGTTGTGCGTGGCGTCCGGCTGTTGTGTGTGGCGTCGGGACTGTTGTGTGTGGCGTCGGGACTGTTGTGTGTGGCGTCGGGACTGTTGTGTGTGGCGTCGGGACTGTTGTGTGTGGCGTCGGGACTGTTGTGTGTGGCGTCGGGACTGTTGTGTGTGGCGTCGGGACTGTTGTGTGTGGCGTCCGGCTGTTGTGTGTGGCGTCCGGCTGTTGTGTGTGTGGCGTCCGGCTGTTGTGTGTGGCGTCCGGCTGTTGTGTGTGGCGTCCGGCTGTTGTGTGTGGCGTCGGCCGTTGTGTGTGTGGCGTCCGGCTGTTGTGTGTGGCGTCCGGCTGTTGTGTGTGGCGTCCGGCCGTTGTGTGTGTGGCGTCCGGCTGTTGTGTGTGTGGCGTCCGGCTGTTGTGTGTGGCGTCCGGCTGTTGTGTGTGGCGTCCGGTGTTGTGTGTGTGGCGTCCGGCTGTTGTGTGTGTTGCGTCCGGCTGTTGTGTGTGTTGCGTCCGGCTGTTGTGTGTGTTGCGTCCGGCTGTTGTGTGTGTTGCGTCCGGCTGTTGTGTGTGTTGCGTCCGGCTGTTGTGTGTGTTGCGTCCGGCTGTTGTGTGTGTTGCGTCCGGCTGTTGTGTGTGGCGTCCGGCTGTTGTGTGTGGCGTCCGGCTGTTGTGTGTGGCGTCCGGCCGTTGTGTGTGTGGCGTCCGGCTGTTGTGTGTGTGGCGTCCGGCTGTTGTGTGTGGCGTCCGGCTGTTGTGTGTGGCGTCCGGCTGTGTGTGTGTTGCGTCCGGCTGTTGTGTGTGTTGCGTCCGGCTGTTGTGTGTGTTGCGTCCGGCTGTTGTGTGTGTTGCGTCCGGCTGTTGTGTGTGTTGCGTCCGGCTGTTGTGTGTGTTGCGTCCGGCTGTTGTGTGTGTTGCGTCCGGCTGTTGTGTGTGTTGCGTCCGGCTGTTGTGTGTGTTGCGTCCGGCTGTTGTGTGTGTTGCGTCCGGCTGTTGTGTGTGGCGTCCGGCTGTTGTGTGTGGCGTCCGGCTGTTGTGTGTGCGTGGCGTTGTTGTGGCTCGGTGTTGTGTGTGGCGTCGCGCTGTTGTGCGTTCGGCTGTTGTGTGTGGCGTCCGGCTGTTGTGTGTGGCGTCCGGCTGTTGTGTGTGTTGCGTCCGGCTGTTGTGTGTGTTGCGTCCGGCTGTTGTGTGTGTTGCGTCCGGCTGTTGTGTGTGTTGCGTCCGGCTGTTGTGTGTGTTGCGTCCGGCTGTTGTGTTGCGTGCTGTGTGTTGCGTCCGGCTGTGTGTGTGTGCGTCGGCTGTTGTGTGTGGCGTCCGGCTGTTGTGTGTGGCGTCCGGCTGTGTGTGTGGCGTCCGGCTGTGTGTGTGTGGCGTCCGGCTGTTGTGTGTGGCGTCCGGCTGTTGTGTGTGGCGTCCGGCTGTTGTGTGTGGCGTCCGGCTGTTGTGCGTTCGGCTGTTGTGTGTGGCGTCCGGCTGTTGTGTGTGGCGTCCGGCTGTTGTGTGTGGCGTCCGGCTGTTGTGTGTGGCGTCCGGCTGTTGTGCGTTCGGCTGTTGTGTGTGCAGGCTGTGGCAGGCTCATTAGCACTCACCCAGTCTTCCCTGACCCTTTCCTCAGGCATCAGTCAGAGCCGGATCTCCCACTGGCTTCTGCAGCAGGGATCTGATCTCAGCGAGCAGAAGAAGAGAGCCTTCTTCCGCTGGTACCAGCTGGAAAAGACCAACCCTGGTAACATTTACTTCATCCGGATGTTTACTAAAGCCTGAGTACCTAATGTGCAATATGGAACCTGTCACTTTACTTTACTTTACTTACTTTACTTACTCAACAAGATAGAAACAATACAGAGGCTGTTACATTAAAAAGATACAAATATTGTATTCTCAGGATTTGGAGTATCAGAGAAGAAGCCTGTCTCATATTTTCAGGAAGACTGTTTCAGATTTTAGTTGCATCATAAATCGTAAATGCTGCCTCCCCATGTTTAGTTCTGACTCTGGGACCAGCAGGAGTCCAGTCCCTGTGCTCCTCAGAGTCCCAGCAGGAGTCCAGTCCCTGTGCTCCTCAGAGTCCCAGCAGGAGGCCAGTCCCTGTGCTCCTCAGAGTCCCAGCAGGAGTCCAGTCCCTGTGCTCCTCAGAGTCCCAGCAGGAGGCCAGTCCCTGTGCTCCTCAAGTCCCAGCAGGAGGCCAGTCCCTGTGCTCCTCAGAGTCCCAGCAGGAGGCCAGTCCCTGTGCTCCTCAGAGTCCCAGCAGGAGTCCAGTCCCTGTGCTCCTCAGAGTCCGAGTTGGTTCATATAGGGCCAAGATGTCACAGATGTACTTTGGTGTCAAGTCATAATTAAATGGCTCTAAAAAAGGCATTAATAAGTCATGGTCTTTTTGAATACTTCTTTAACCAATAACAGTAGTGGTCTATTCTCTGAGCCACAGGAAGCCAGCACAGAGACCTGAGAACTGGACTAATGTGGTCATACTTCCTGGTTCTAGGGTTTTAACACTGAGCGCTGTCTTTAAAGGTGCTACTTTGGCCATGCGCGCTGCTCCGTTAGCTCTGGATGATGTGATGGACTGGCACCAGACTCCGCCGCCCTTTGTGCCCTCTCCTGGAGGGTTCCGACTGCGCAGAGGGAGCCGCTTCACCTGGAGGAAGGAGTGTCTGGCTGTGATGGAGAGGTGAGCCGTGAACGAGGGATGACCAATGGGAGCTTTTAATAACGTCATTCTTTTGCTCAGTTACTTCTGTGATAACCAATATCCTGACGAGGCCAAGAGAGAAGAGATTGCCACCGCGTGTAATGCAGTCATTCAGAGACCGGGTGAAGTTCAATGCATCATTTTCTCCAACTGAAGCATAAGAACATAGTATTAAATGCCATGATATGTACATTACAGGAAAAAAGCTGTCAGACTTGGAGAGGGTCACGTCTTTGAAAGTGTACAACTGGTTTGCCAATCGCCGCAAAGATTTGAAGAGGCGCGCTAACATCGGTAATGTCCTGATTGTGTGTTTTGGCTTTTAAAACAAAGACATTGTTATACATTTATAATGCGCTATGGGTAACTGTGTGTTTTTGAAGAAGCATCCATCTTGGAGAGTCACGGCATCGATGTCCAGAGTCCAGGAGGTCAGTCCAACAGCGACGAGGTGGATGGGAATGACTTTCCAGACCAGGTACACTATCGCTCTTTCACTCCAGTGCAGACGGGGCGGGTCCTGGTTCCAGACGGTCCATGAGTGAGTGTGAGTGCGCTGACATGATACAATCTCACTCCTTGCAGCTGTGGGGGTGTACCCGGAAAGAGAAGTACCCAGTGCTTTTGTATGGTCTCTTCTGTCCTTTTGAAAACGTCTTTACAGGATGGTCCAAAAGTTGCCCATCGCTACGTTCCAGATGCTGAAAGGAGTATTATTATTCTTTGGACCATCCTGTGCCACAGGGACATAACACCCAACTGCCCTGACCATAACATTGTCTATCTACGGTCTGTGTATACTCCCATCGTACAGACAACGGGGCTCACGGGGGTCGTGTTTTAAAGTTCCTCTGCCCCCTACTGGCCGGGCACTAGAACTACATCGTTCTTCATCCTCGTATGAACGCTGTGACATTTTCATAAGGAGCCTGGTCGTTTCTGTTCATAGCTTGGAAATGTCTGCACAGCGCCTACGTATAAACGGGGCCTAAGACCTGGAAGGCAGCAGGACCAGACCACGTTAGCTCCAGGCTCCTTCGCTCCTGCGCAGACGAACTCTGTGGAGTGATGGAGCACGTCTTCAACCTGAGCCTCAGGCTGAGGTTGGTACCACAGCTCTGGAAGACCTCCTGTGTGGTACCAGTGGTACCAGTGCCCAAAACACCACGGGCCAAAGACCTCTGAGACTTCAGGTTAGTGGCTCTAACATCCCACTGCATGAAGACACTGGAGAGACTGGTCCTGGGACATCTCCGCTCCACTCTGAGCCCAGCGATGGACCCGCTGCAGTTCGTGTACCGGCCAGGCATCGGAGTTAGGGCGCCATCATCATCCGATTTCCGCAGACGTCACTCTGCCGCCCCAGCCCCAGTGAACATCCAGGGAAAGGACATCGAGAGAGTGGACTCTTACAAGTACCTGGGTGTTGTAAGACGCCCTCTTCAAGAAGGGTCAGAGTCGCCTCTACCTGCTGAGGAGGCTCAGGTCTTTTGGAGTGCAGGGGCCACTCCTGAAGACCTTCTATGACTCTGTGGTGGCATCAGCCTCTTGTACGGTGTGGTCTGCTGGAACAGCAGCATCACAGAGAGGGACAGGAAGAAGCTGGAACATCAGGAAGTCCAGCTCAGTCCTGGGCTGTTCCTTGGACACAGTGCAGCAGGTGGGGGACAGGAGGGTCCTGAGCAAACTAACATCTATGCTGGACCATGACTGTCACCCCCTGCAGGACACTCTCTCTGCTCTGGAGAGCAGCTTCAGTGACAGACTAATTCACCCTCGATGTGTGAAGGAGAGGTTCCGTAGGTCTTTCCTTCCTGCTGCTGTCAGACTGTACAACGAGAATATGTAACAAGAACTGTTGAGTCTGCACAAGTGTCACTGATAATTCACTAGTCACTTTACTTGTTATCAGTACTACTGCATTATTATGTATTTATCTGATATTTCTGCCTTTCACCGTCACTTTCCCTGTTGCTGATTTTATTACTGATGTTTATTCTGCTCATATTCTCCGCTGCTAAAGAACAACACACACATCTGTAAATACTCCTGAACCAAGTGCAATTATAGCTCCAGAGTTTATTATATTTTATTCTTTGTCTGATTTTAATTATATTGTTTATTATCTTCAATATTAGACTATTTAATGTGTGCGTCTGAGTCTTTCTTTCTTTCTCAGCTGTAATTTGCAACAATTACATTTCTCCACTTAGACGAATAAAGGAATATCTTATCTAGTTTAGCCGCTGGGGACTTTTGAATGCACTCGTTCAAAATTGCTATTACCAGTACTTAAAAAAATAGAATATAAAAAAGGATTATGTAGACAACATTTCTTTACTTAATTCAGCTCTGATCGAGTTGTGTCACGTCGAAGTTTCACTTTGGCGTGTAAAATAATAAGTAGCAACTATTGGAGGATGATTTCTGATTGAGCATGTGTTAGCTGCACCAGCCCCATTCATGTAAACTAGACTGGTCCCAAAGAAGTATACTCCCCTCAGCATCAACAGCATCTGGAACGTAGCTTTGAGCCATGAGCGACTTTTGGACCATCCTGTAAAGACTTTTTGAGAGGAAAGAAGACGCCGTACAAAAGCATCTCACTCCTTGACGGTGTACCCGTCAAGGAGTGAGATTGCAGCATTAATGGACAGAGTCAGGCCTATCTCCGCCGTTCTAACTAATGGGCCAAAAAATGTGCTCTACTGGAGCAATCCAAAATGGCTGCGAGTGGTCCCGCCCACAAGAAAATTGTGAAAAAACGCATCTGCGCATGCGTCAGCCGGCGCAACTCCATTCATTTGAACGAGAGACTTCAAAAATTCACAGCAAGTAAACTAGAGTGGACCAAAAAATTCTGCTATATGTTAGCATTGGGTTAAATCTTTTTCTGGGTCCACCCCCACAGGCCCAGGGTGGTATTGCAAGCATGTCAGCGCACGTCATTTTGGCCACTTTTGAGCCAGGACCCGCCCACACTGTTTTAAACCTGAAGGCAGAGTCACTCCATAGCGCCCTCTGCTGTATTTGGCCCATAAGTATTTCCTTTCATGTTGTTGCAGGTTTGCGAAGTCCCTCTGTTTGATAAACGAGCCTCAGTGCGTCCGTTCATGTACGGCCGAGCAGATCTGTCCTCTCCGACACAGGTACTGATCCCACACGCAGCTCATTAGTGTGATAAATGTGTGACGTGTGCTTTTCTTCAAGGTCCCCACTCTGGTCCCGAGCTGGTTCTCAGCGCTGGGCAGGGGCGCTCTGGCGGGGCATCGGAACTCTCTGATTGGCCGCTCTCTGCTCTCAGGACTGGCCTCTCACTCTGAAGGGGGCAGGCTGTCTGGGGTGTCCTGGTCACCACCCTCCCCTTCTCTCCAGGATGAAGCCACCATTCACACTGTGTTAGCAGGTCAGGAGGCGGTCAACATGGAGAAGGCCGCCGACGAGGAAGCTCAGGCCGCAGAGCTTCCCGACCAGAACGTCCAGGAGGAGGACATCAAGCCCGACGGTTTGGAGGACGACTGAACAGAGCGGGGCAGATCAGTGCTATTATGCAAGCAGAGTTTCATAGGAATGTATCAAGTGATGAAATGACCAAAAGTGGTGTAAAGTATAACCCTGAAATACCTCCCAACCCTACCTCCAGCCACCAACCTGCTCCGCTAAGCTCCAATAGAAATCACCTTCTTCTTCTCTGTAGTTCAAAGCTGTGCGCCTGACTCGGTGCGGTGCATGGACAGACCAGGACAACACTGTAAAACTGTAAAACCCATGTTCAGGGTCCCTTCACTGCTACCCCAACACAACTAAACCGCCTCAAGCATTCTTTTGTTATGCGTAGACAATGGATTTTAAGATTATGTTGCACATTTCTTCATAGTCTTCAGACTTCAGTTTTAATGTTCAGCAAAATAAGCTTAAGTTTTCCTTAAGACAGAATGTCGGTTTGGTGACTGCCACTGCTCCCACGGCATCAAAGCTTAAACTAATAACGTTTCTTCATAAACCGGAGCTCGACGGTAGCTGAACTGTTGGCAGACTTGTATAAACTGTTAACTCTGGTGTTTTAGGTGAAGCTGAAGACTGGGATCACTGTCCAGACTAATGCAGTGTGTGAGGATTTACTCAAAGTATCCAGATGTTTGCTTTAAGTGACATCACAGGGGCTTGTTGCTAAAATGCAACAATCCATCAGCCAAAGTATTAATAACATTTGTTTTTGTATTAGTCCTTTTGAGAGTAGAAATACATGCTAAATATACTCAGACACATCAAATGTGTCATGATGCTTTATTTGTGTTCCAAACACGTTTTATCTTTAAATATTTGAATATTACACTATTGTATTGACTGCTGCTCCGCTGGCTGCGTGTGCAATTACCAGAGCGGGTTCTTTGCCGAACAATGTTCAAATGCAGCCATTGTGGAAGTCCTGCCATTTCATGTTCATTCCACAAATACTTTGTCTGTTTAGGAATAATATGGATCCATCTGGAAGTTCATTTAATGAACCAACGGATGATTTAAAGCAGAAGTTTTAAAATCATGTGCCAAATGTATCCAATAAAACCTAATCAGGAAATATGATATATATATATATATATATATATAACGTTATTATTATAAACTTTCAGACACATAAAACATTTAAATATAGATATTGTAGATGTTACATTTAAACCAGAGTGCATAGGTTCGAGTCTCAGATGAATATAATCTACAGTGAGGTATGAAACTGTAGATGTTTTCATACATAAGATGTACTGTACGTCTTTAAGTTAAGTGCCTTCATGTTTCTCATTTGCATAAGGACTTCTGCAGTAGTTGTTCTTGTTTCAAAGCCATTGACGGCTTTTACATAATGTTCTGTTGTTGGGTGCTTCATGCCGAGCTGTTAGCTGAAGATTCAAACAAATACCTCACCTTTCCTCCGTCGTAAGCTACACCAGGTTCCTCTGCGGCCGTTCAATGTGAAGCCACACTGTTGTTTCAACTCTGCTCTGAAAGGGAAGTCGTATTTAAAGCCAACCACTGAAAAATAACCAAACTTTGTCCTCCGTCGAATCTGGAATGAAAAACTAAAATGTGACGTACGGCAGCGGAGCTGCTCATGTCTGGGCACTGCTGCTGCAGACTTTTACTTTCATTAAATTCACTTTGGGGTAAAGATCCCACTAATTGCACTCTGCCAAGCAGAAACCTTCAGAAGGGAATTAGATTTGAGATCGAGACTTAGTCAAATGTAAAAGTAAAGCCCAGTGTTTGAAAAAGGATGTGTGTAAATGGTTCTGCTCCGACTGAAGCTTCAAAGAGCTCCACGTCACAGGAAGCAGTTTGTTTCTAGCCCCACACTTCTGTTGGTTCTAATGTTCTCCCGGGGTCTGCCTGGGTCTGCCTGGGTCTGCCTGGGTCCACCTGGGTCCACCTGGGTCCGCCTGACCTCAGCTCCTCCTCTTGTCACATGGTCCTGGGGTTCAGGGGCTGTGAACCCAGGGCGTCTGAGGCCACGGAGTGTGGGCTCTAACTCGAGTGCTAAAACATACTTTCCAAACGTGTAAATAGATCACTTTGGTCAGATTTATCTAAACTGTAGATACATCAGCGCGTCTCAAAGGTTTTTTATTTGTTTTGGGCAATAAACTTTTCAATAATATTTCCCAGCAGGATTGCGTTATTTTACTTGATTGAAATAATTGTTTGACATTCAAGATTTAGTGCCTTTTTTGGACAGTAGACTGTTCAGTAATCAATATGTGGACTTTCTACATGTGCTTTTTGTTACTTTTCATCTGTTTGATAAAATATTATTAAGGTGCATTTTTATTAATGATTCTATAAACAAGGGAATAAAAGTGATCTGACCTGATCGGGACTCGGCCTTTTTTATTGATGCTCGTTAAGTACGTCACAGACACAGAAGTAACACATTTCTCTGGTCACACTTTAAACTTGTAAATGTCTTTGGATTGCAGAACTTTATTACATACATTTTAACTTGTGCTCAGTATGAACCAATCGGCACAACGAGGAAGATTCAATGTGAAACCGAATGATCTGAGATTAGAACCAAGCACCAGATAGTTTCCCGAGCAGAAGAGGGCGAGGTAGAACGTGGACACTCACTTACGACTGCACACTGCAAAAAATGATCAAATATGAGATCATAATTGCTAGAATCGAGTTTTTTTTTACTTGACTGAAGTTCATTCTGACTGTCTTAAAATGAGATTTGCCAATGAGACAAGCAATTTTGACTTGATTCAAGAACTATTGCTTTATCTTCTCATTCCAAGAGAAAAATATCTTGTATCTTTTTAAAACAAGACAATTTATCTTGTTCCACTGGCAAATCTTGTTTTAAGGCAGTCAAAATGTGCTCAAATTTAGATAGATTTAGCCAAATTTGAGCATTTTTTTGTCTTTAATTCTGTCATCTTTTGCAGTGCTGCGTACGTGCTCGGAGGACACTTTCATTCTGAGTATCTGTCGACAGTCATGAAAGAAAAGGCTGAGCATAGACTGTAGAGAGAGTGGACTGACTGGGTACGACAGCGTTAGCCAAAGGAAGAAGCTAATCGTGTCATATTAGTTTGTTTTATCTATGTACTTGTTTTGTGCACACTGGGGACTTGAGATATTCACAGTAAAACCCCATTGGAATGCATTGGCCAGTGTGAGATTAATAAACTTATCTCAAATAGCAAATGACACTAGCTAAAGCAGTCTTTTTGAGAAGGCATGCGGAGCCAATCAGGAGCGGCCCTGGTCTGTCTCCAGTCGCTCTCCATGCTAGCTCATAATACATCCATGTGCTAGCTAAAGTTGCATACGGCTCAAAATGTATTAAAAACCACTAAGATTGAAGGGATATATATATGAGGATTTTCCACTTTTTGAACAAAACTCTCTGGTGTTATTTGACGAGTGTCACCAGAATGATTTAATTGGGAGGACCAATTAATGTTTGTTACACCCGGATGCGGAAAATTCTCATAACTTAGCACAAATGAGCAAGTGGGTTAGCATCATGGAGCTATAGGTTAGCATCATGGATCTATAGGTTAGCATTGAGCTAGGGGATTAGCATCATGGATCTATAGGTTAGCATTGAGCAAGTGGGTTAGCATCATGGAGCTATAGGTTAGCATCATGGATCTATAGGTTAGCATTGAGCTAGTGGGTTAGCATCATGGATCTATAGGTTAGCATTGAGCTAGGGGATTAGCATCATGGATCTATAGGTTAGCATTGAGCTAGTGGGTTAGCATCATGGAGCTATAGGTTAGCATTGAGCTAGTGGGTTAGCATCATGGATCTATAGGTTAGCATTGAGCTAGGGGATTAGCATCATGGATCTATAGGTTAGCATTGAGCTAGTGGGTTAGCATCATGGAGCTATAGGTTAGCATTGAGCTAGTGGGTTAGCATCATGGATCTACAGGTTAGCATTGAGCTAGTGGGTTAGCATCATGGATCTATAGGTTAGCATCATGGATCTATAGGTTAGCATTGAGCTAGTGGGTTAGCATCATGGATCTACAGGTTAGCATTGAGCTAGTGGGTTAGCATCATGGATCTACAGGTTAGCATTGAGCTAGTGGGTTAGCATCATGGATCTACAGGTTAGCATTGAGCTAGTGGGTTAGCATCATGGATCTATAGGTTAGCATTGAGCTAGGGGATTAGCATCATGGATCTACAGGTTAGCATTGAGCTAGTGGGTTAGCATCATGGATCTACAGGTTAGCATTGAGCTAGGGGATTAGTATCATGGTTAGCATTGAGCTAGTGGGTTAGTATCATGGTTAGCATTGAGCTAGTGGGTTAGCATCATGGATCTACAGGTTAGCATTGAGCTAGTGGGTTAGCATCATGGATCTACAGGTTAGCATTGAGCTAGTGGGTTAGCATCATGGATCTACAGGTTAGCATTGAGCTAGTGGGTTAGCATCATGGATCTACAGGTTAGCATTGAGCTAGTGGGTTAGCATCATGGATCTACAGGTTAGCATTGAGCTAGTGGGTTAGCATCATGGATCTACAGGTTAGCATTGAGCTAGTGGGTTAGCATCATGGATCTACAGGTTAGCATTGAGCTAGTGGGTTAGCATCATGGATCTACAGGTTAGCATTGAGCTAGTGGGTTAGCATCATGGATCTACAGGTTAGCATTATGTGAATCGTAGATATTTAGTTTTTCATAACTCCAGACGCTTGGATGGTGCGGCAAACTTTTTAACACATTGATTGCACATACATTTAAATATGTAAAAGTCTCAGTTGAAAAGCATAACTCTTCTCCCACTGTACATGACATTAACAGGTGTCAACTTGGACATTATAAGAACACTGAATCTTGTTTTTCAATCACAACACATTTCTGTTTACAGTTTCACATCTATATTTTTAATTCCTTCTGAAGAATTGTGCAAATGTAATGAAGTACTGATAGACCCATGAAACTGTGGACGATACATATGTTTTTAGAGGCACAAAAAACAAAATAAAAATGGCCAAAAATGGGACTTTCTTCCAGCTTCAGACGCGCTTGTCTTTCCTGATCCCCCTCCACAGGAAAATGTCCCGTTTCCATTAACTTCACCTCCGCAACTTAAAGAATCTGCTTCCTTTGAATAAAACAAAGATAAAAACGAGCAGAAGGTTCTAGCAGTCTTTGCCTCGAGGCCAACGTGACAAAGTGCTTTCTCGATGCACTGCTCCATAAAAATAGTTTGCTGCCGACTTCAGCTCAAAGGCAAAGGTGTATCATGGAACAGAAAGATGACCATTTTAATCTAGCAAAACAGAAATACACACGACTGATTTATGATGATCCCAAACGAGCCACTCATGTTACATTTACAATAGCAGCGATCTCCTCAAATCATTTGTGCAACGTTGATTAAATAAGCAATTTTTCATGCAATAAAAGCATGTGTAAAAGCATTTACAAATAAATTAAAAATGTGTCCCCTGTGACAGAGGACACGTTAATAAAAGGAATGCAAACTATGCATTAATGTCGACTACATGGTGTGTGCTTATGTGCATGACCCGCCCCCGACGACAACTGCACCTGCGTCTGTGTTGCATCTGAGCATTGCTTCCACGTGGATTAGTTTGAGATATGTCAGAATATTAATGTTTTCCAAGGTCACAGAAAACTGATGTCAATTTGGAATGTGACGTTCAATAAAAACCTGTACGGATTTGCACTCATAAAACTGCAGAGAGAGAAAAATGAATGCTTCCTTCAATATGAATTCCCCATCATCAGTACTCCACGTGCCACTTCCCCCTTTGAATCACATACTGCTTCCTCTCCACACTTACACCATCAAAGAGACATACATGGCGCCACCTGGTGTCCAAAACCAAACATTACCTTTAATACTATGGCTGCTTCATTCACTCGTTCTTCCTTTGCCTCAGTTCAGTGCAAAAACATTTCCTCCCATAACAAACTGCAGACTTTCTTAGTGGCTTTGTCCAAAAGGTCGTAGAGGAGGAACCTTTGCTCTAGAACAGACATGGGCAAACTTTTCCTCCTGAGGGCCACATTGGAAATTAGGTCCGGATTCCAACAGCGGTCTGATATTTCAATGTTTTTCTCAAGCTTCATTTTAAAACATAAATGAAATGATTTATATGAAAAAAATAGCTCTGCACACAGCACAGAGGGGGATTGTATGATGTTTAAACTGAAATTACCCCACTGTGGGATGAATAAATGTTCTTCATCCGTATCTCTCTTGGTCTTAATCTTAATCTATAGAAATTGAGGAGGGCTCAGGGGCCTGATAGAAGCATCCAATGGGCCGGGGTTTGCCCACCACTGCTCTAGAACGTCCCGGGTCTTGGCTTTTTCCCCTTCTGTCCCTGAGATCACCTCTGCCTCTGCACACGTGTCCTTCTACAGACCACAGTGCAGATCTTAAATAAACGACACACAAACTCAACGCGGTAAAGGCACATTCTGGGAGGAGAGTCCTGGCGGGAGAGAGGAGGACCACACCTCGCTGCTTCAGGAACAATGAATTACGGGAATATTCAAAACGACAGCCAACCAATGCAAACATGTTCCCGACACTCCAGAAATCTGCCCAAAAAATGCTGCTTACATTCATAGACAAAAGTACAAAGGGGTGGGGACGGATTGAAACCATTGAAACAGCACATTTTGACCGAGTCTTCCCTATAACTGCCATTACGCTGATCTCCAAAGTTAAAAATAAATATATTCTTGTTTAAAATTCCCTTGAACGGTTGCATCGGTCGTCCTTCTCTCCCACATGTTTATCGTTTCATTTGCAGTGTCCGTAGAAGACCCCCAGCTGGCAGGAAACTGTTGCATAGAAATTGGAAGGGTTTTAGGTCCCGGTCTCTCCCTCAGTCCCCCCCGCGGTGGTCTCAGCTGGTCCAGGACTTGCAGGTGTCCCCTCTGCGGCCCACCAGAGCGTCTCCTCTTAGCACAGGGACGTGGGGGGCGGAGCTACAGTCTCCGGAGGGTTTGCTGGTCTTCCCTCGACTGGACACGCGGTCTGGACGAACCAGAACGCCATAACCGGGTTTACAGTGGAAGTAGCGACGGCCTCCGACTGAACCGTCATTCTTACCTGAAGAGCGAGAAAATATGAGACATGGTTCAAGACCTACACCGTATTTTAATACACCAATAATCTGAGGTTTAGGGTAAGACCAATGGATGTTTTTAATGTTCATAATGTTCATAAACTAGACTTTTTACACCAACTGATCATGCACTTGTTTTGCCTTGACAGGGATAGGAGTGGTTAGCACTCTCGCCTCTCAGCAAGAAGGTGCTGGGTTTGAATCCCGAACGGAACAGGGGCTTTCTGAGTGGAGTTTGCATGTTCTCCCCGTGCTTGTGTAGGTTTCCTCCGGGTACTCCAGTTTCCCCCACCACTAAAAACATGCTCACTAGGTTAAATCCTTCAGCTCTGGTCCTGACCGAGCATCAACATCTGGAGATGGGTTCCCGGGCGCTGTTACTACGGCAACCACTGCTCCTGACGTAAGCCTTAGCGGCATCAGGATGGGTCAAATGCAGAGGATGAATTGCCCTACGGGGATTAATAATGTGCACCTTTAAACACTCAAAGCTATTTCAGAGTAATTTACAGTATTTATATTTTAAAACATCTGACAGGAAAAAGTACACCTGCAGACAGACAGAATTTTCATATTTTTTAATTCAATTAAACTTGGTTTATAGAGCACTAAAAACACAATCTATTAAAAAGGTGTTGTTGTTTTTGGTGTGGACAGTGCACGGTGATGAATGCACCTCTGGATGGAAGTCTTTGGGCTAATTTCCATCCATTTTCTTTTTTTACAGTCACAACAAACTCGGCCTGAACTATTTCATATGTTTTTAGTGGAAGGACAAACTGGAGAACTTCACACAGAACGGCCCCATCTGGCCCCATTTGGCCCCAGAATCAAACCCAGGCCCCTCTTGCTGTGAAGCAGGAGCATGAATCACTGACCCACCGTACGGCCTTTTGACGTCACTTTTAAGTTTATGTAATAATAAAAATAATGCATTGGTTTTATATAGCACGTTTTTGAACACTCACATGTCATTATTGTTTTACTCCATACAGTACTACTGTAGCCACAGCTGCCCTGGGGCACACTGACAGCAGCGAGGCAACCAGTCTGTGCCATCGGCCCCTCCCACCACCACCAACCATTCACACACACACCAGACTCATACTAATGTGGGGGAAGTGTCTTGGCTAAGGACACAACCACAGTTTGGTACTTTACAGCCGCCCCACTGTGGCACCTGCTGTTCCCAGAGGTCTCCCATCAGAGTACTAACCAGGCCCTGACCTGCTCCACCCAGCGGCTGCTCCATCTCTGCAGCTGTGACCTAAACTGCTGTTGCATTTTAATACTGAGTGGCGGCACGGTGGCTGAGTGGATAGCACTCTCGCCTCTCAGCAAGAAGGTCCTGGGTTCGAATCCCGGTCGGACCAGGGCCTTTCTGAGTGGAGTTTGCATGTTCTCCCCGTGTCTGCGTAGGTTTCCTCCGGGTGCTCCGGTTTCCCCTACCACTAAAAATATGTCCAATAGTTCTGGCATGTGCCTCCTGTACTGGCCCCGCCCATCTCTGTGTGGAGTGAGAGACAAATGCCCAAAATTAACAATTGTAAAACCGCTTTGAGACTCAGATCTGCAGTGAAAAGGCGGTATATAAATAAAGATTACTTACTTACTTACTTTTGTTATCTATTTTTAGAATGATCTATTTATTTGTGTTTCTGCTCCTACGGGGATCAATAAAGTATCTCTGTACCCAGGCCCTGCCCTGCTTAGCTTCAGCGGTCTGACGGGACCTGGCTTTTGTATGCAGGTATGGCCATTTCTAATATTAATAAGTCAGAGATGAACTTACCAACAGGCGTGTCCAGCTCGACTCCCACCCACACTCCTTCGGCGAACTGAGTGAGTCCCACGAACCGCACAGCGCCCGTCTTATTGCTCCCGACCGTGACACAGGCGCCTTCCGTGAGCCAATCGGGGAGCACCGCGTCGTGGTTACGGTCATCGTCGTCTACACATATCTCCAGCTTCTCTAAGTGTTCGGACGAGGTAAGCTGCTGTTTTAGTCTGGATGGTCTGGAGTGTTCTGCAGTCCCGTTCTTGTGATTGGCTGAGCTATGAGAAGTGGGCGGGGCAGTGGCGGCCATATTGGATTGGCACTGGGGAGGAGAGTTCATAACATCGCACTGGTCAGTAGTGCTTTGTTGCTGGGAAACCGCAGGTAATGTGGTGCTCTCGGCAGCCGCGAGGGAGGAAGACGAGGAGGAAGGGTGGAGGACCTCGGACAGGGTTACCGTGGAAACGCTACTAGAGAAATAGCCGCTGGAAGATTGACTCAGGGGGCTCAGGGGTGTGGTGTCATGCGGGTCATGCACAGGAAGAGGAGGAACATCCGGGAGGTCTGCCCGCCTGTCTTTGGAGGACGCCTGGAGGATATTGGTCTACCAGCAGGAGGCGCATGCAGACAGACAAAATCAAAATGAGCAACAGAAAGAAAGTCAGACAGAACTAGAATAATGTACAGATTATATTAGAAAAGTATGTAATGCATTCTGTAAAGTAAACACACTCACCACATCGACTTTGACATCCTTTTCCTCTGGCCCAGCTGGAGCAACAATACGAGGCGTGTGCTGCTGGAAAGAAATGGTCTGAATGTTAAAATGTACAACAAAGAAACGCAGAGAGATGCTGCTCCCATCATCTCTATGAACTATCCATGACCGAACAACACAGAGAACTGTAAACTAACAGATGTCAGATTATGTTTGTTTCCCAGGAAAGACAAAATAATCTAAATAATTCACTGAACGTTGCAACTGAATTGTCTCGATTCACACAAACGTGAAGCTGTGGCTTAAATATGACGAGAAAACCCTGTGGAAATGTCTCTGAGGTGTATTGACTGTGGTCAGCTTTCCTAAACAGGAGCGAGGAGGGGCCCCTCATTGATCAGGAGTCTATATCGTTTAAAATGTTTAAAGTAGCAATGTGTAAGATTTTCATGTCAAGTTATCATTAAAGGGCCCTAATCTGTCATAATAATAAACTGTTCTTTTCCACTACTTCTTTAACCGATTCTCAAATCATTAACGACAAAACCAGGATTGCTATCTGTGAAAAAGATGTTGGTTATAGATTTGTTGTTGACAAAACTCTTGTCTATTCAGCTGTTATGGTCCCAGCTGGATTCGTCTGCATATCTGGCAACCTGAGTCAGGGAGAGTGGGAGAGGCTGCAGTACCACTTTTGGCCACATTTGTACACACTCCTTTAAACAATCAACAACCTTTGAATTTTGGCTTTGTGTGTGTGTGTGTGAACGTGCGTGTGTGCATGTGTGTGCGTGCATGTGTGTGTTTGTGTGTGTGCGTGTGTTCACCTGGTGATTGTGCGGAGATGGCCTCAGCTCCTTTTTCTCATCTCTTGCAGGAAACAGAGACTTGAGCAGTTTGGGCATCTGAGGAACCAGCGCCTTCACTGAAAGATAAGAGGCAGCAAGTCCTGAACGACCTGGAGGGGGACGGGGGAGGGGGGGGACGGGGGAGGGGGGAGGAGGGACACAGAGCAACAGAAGAAATGGAAGGAAAAGGATGGCGTGGGAGGGAAAGGAGGCATGAAAGATTAAGAGAGTTGAAAGCCAAATTCCCAAACACAGTCACAGCTGAAATGCAGATGGCTAAAACATTACTACAGCAAACATCAAAGCAGATATTCATTTTGTTCATTAACCAAACAAAATCAATAAAAAGACAAGACAAAGAATGATTACAAACCCAAAATATTACCAGAAAAGAAAAAATATCGAGTTCAAGACGGAGGATTTAGAGAAATGTAAAGTGTACAAGGTTCGTACAGGTTTTGAAATGTAAAATTTGAACTTTTTCAAGGAGCCAACACTTTAAAGTAGAAATATGTAAGATTTTCATGTCAAGTCATCATTAAAGGGCCCTAATCTGTCAAAGTCATTACTAAAACCTGTTATTTTCCAATCCTTCTTTAACTGATAACAGTAGTTCAGAGATATTTGAATTTCTAAATTACTTTTCCAGCCCCTAAATCTTGTTATTGTTTTCATTTCGATGTCCCGCCCTCCACCGTTTCACCAATCAGAAAGTCTGATCCGGGCGCCAGAACTCACCGCGTGGAGCTAATCTCACTGGTAAAGTACCATGTGGCGCAGAACTAAAAAAGGTCTCGTTATGATTCTCAAATCATTAACGACAAAACAAGGAATAAAACCAGGATTTCTATCTTTGTGAAAAAGGTGTTGGTTATAGATTTGTTGTTGACAAAACTCTTGTCTATTCAGCTATTATGGTCCCAGCTGGATTCGTCTGCATATCTGGCAACCTGAGTCAGGGAGAGTGGGAGAGGCTGCAGTACCACTTGTAAGTGCCACCCATCGTAAGTACACTGATGTCCCTTTTGTAGACCGTGCAGTACCTCGCCATAACCAAACTTTGTACTAATCATTTCCAAGTCAACGAGCAATGAAGCGGCAAACTAGCATGTTCATTTCGGCAGGGATATGTTCATACACACTGTCATTGAGCAGCTGAGTTTTTTTTAAATAAGTTCTAGATGCTATCTCTCGTAGCCTATAGTCCTGATGTTATACTAAAACACTATAGAGTTTGAGAAAATCAAGCATTTTCAAGCTTACTGTTCAAATTCAAACACATTCCAGACCTTGAAAACAGGTTATTGAAAATCAAGCATTTTCCCGACTTTCAAGGATCTGTACGAACCCTGAGTGTGGAGCGAGATGTGCGAGACTGCAGAGATTCATTATAACAGGAACAATGAAACAAGAGACAGTGGAATGAGCACATGGGCTGCATCCCTCAAAAGCAGAGCTGATTGGAAGGTTGGCAGTGCAGGAGGAAGACAGCTGTGGAGAAACCAGATACAGGAGGAAGACAGCTGTGGAGAAACCAGATACAGGAGGAGAAGCAGAGGATGGAAACGGAGGAGCTTCACCTTGCTCTTGTTCCGGGTTCTGTGGAGAAGATGGAGAAACGGGAGCTGGGAATGGGGAGGGTGTTGGAGAGTAGGTGGAGGGTGAAGAGGCCGGGCGCGGGAGAGGACGCTGGACAGGTATAAAGATATCCTGCTGACTTTCCCATCGAACCTACAGAAGAGAATCGAGTCAGAACCTTGCGTTTAACCACCGGTTTTCCCCTCATTATAACAGTCAACGTCACCTTGTCGTCCAGTAGACAGCTTGTGGACAGGTCTAGCTTACTTCCAGACAGCTGAACACAAAACAAGAACAATTAGCAATAGTATGGAACTTTAAATAGTTGATTATCTCTTTCAGTCGGCTCTTTACTCTGTTCACTGAAGGAGAGCTTAAGCTGCGTCGGCCGCTCTTTGCTCTTGAGCTCAGTTGCTCCTTCACTGCGACCTCCTGGTGACAAAGTTTAAGTCAATCAAAACAAGACACCGAATAGCTAGAGTGTTGTATGGTCAAACGTGCGCCACACCTGTCTGAGTCTGTCCAAGGTGAGGATGTTTTCCAAACTGAGCACACTCCGGAGATATTTCTCGATGGCAGCTTCTTCTTCGCCTGACTGGTTTGTGTGTGCGTTCGCTGCAAGCCGGGCCAGCATTTCCCGGTCCTCTGTACCAGGAGCATCCTTATAAAAAAAAAAAAAAACATTACAGTTTCTGAGGAACTAAAATGAACGACCTCTGCAGGACAGTCCTCTTACTCCAGGTATGTTGGAGACCACTTCAAATGTGAGCCCACAGCCAGGGATGGTGCTGCGAGCGGACATTCTCTTAAGGAAGTTGTGGGCAAAGCCCTGGCGACCAGGATTGACATTGACACAGATCCTCTTTCTGAGCACGAGCTGCATATCTGCAGGATGACTGAGCTGAACAACTACACGGACGGTCAGGTAGACCCTCTGCTCTGGCCACGCCCCCCCACGGCTGAGCTGCGGACACTCGTGGACGGTGGAGTCCCATGATGCTTCTGCTTTTACCTGAACAGGTCCATCAACAGAACACATAAGGCAGAGGAACTTTTCAGATAATAATACTTTAATGTAGATGACTCACCTCTCCGTCATAGTGCTTCACGATCTGAAGGTCAAAGAAATCATCTTCATCCTCTCCACTCAGAGTGGCATCCCAACCACCCGCTTCAGTGACCTCAAACTGATCCTGAGAGCTCAAATCATCAGCTGGAAGAGAAATAATGTACCTTAGCATGTGATCAAACATTACGTATGAAGTAAACAAATAACAATCATGATCAATAGATTTCAGACAGATTTGAGAAAAACCTACAGCGGAGATTCAAGAAGACGACAGGGACGTGAGTTTCCATGCCTGGAAGAGGGATCCTAGAAGACAAAAATGTGAACTCAGTCCTCTCTATTCTCATCATGCACACAGACAAATGGACCAATACCATTCAGCAGGTGCTCCAGGAATGCCACTACCAGCAGAGGGCACCATTACTGCATTTCTTTCCTCAGTCAGAGTCAAGCGCCACTCCAGCAGCTGAGCCTCTCTTTCCATGTCGTCTTCGGTCTTTTCTGTGTCCACAAAACACAACCCAAAGCTTCACTCATACGAGGCCAAAGCGTTTTATATACAGTAGAATTTTACATACTGAATTATTATTATTCAGTATGTAAAATTATTATTTAGATTATTAAAATTATTTTGCATTCAAGGTCAGAAGTTGAATTTCAGGCAGTGAGAAAAAAAACACGTATTTTTCATAGTATTTGTGTTTGCATTGCACATTTTTGTCTGTATTTTACCAAAGGTTTACCTGCTTTGCTGACCAGATTCTGCAGATGTTGATCCAGGTATTCTTGCCTCTTGGTCAGAGCAGCTAACCACTGCCGCCTCAAGCGTTCAAGATCTCTTTCCTACAAGAAAAGTCGGTAGTTACTCTTTGTTCTACTCGTGATATCTCAGTCCACGTGGAACATGCATACTTGATAGCTGTCCATCTCATCTCCCTCTGGGTCGGTGGTTGATCTGATCTCCACACAGCCGACCGACACAGCCAGAATAACCTCAGAGATCAAAGGCATGGTGCCCGAGTCCTGGACTGAACGCACATCGATTTGGATTCTTCTAGACTGACCCTAGAAGTGAGAATAAAGAACAATATGTATCTATATTTTTGAGATTTCTGAACTGCAGCTTAATTTCTGATGTTTATTCTGCTCATATTCTCCGCTGCTAATGTATAATATAGACATCTGTAAATACTCCGAACCAAGTGCAATTGTAGCCCAGATTTTCTTATTTTATTTTATTTGATTTTATCTTAAATTTATTGTCTATTATCTTAAATAATAGACTTTGATGTGTGCAATCTGAGTGCTCTTATTTCCTCTCTCTGCTGTAATGTGCAACGATGACACTGACATTTCTCCACTGTGAGACTAATAAAGGTTTATCTTATCTTATCTTAAACAAAAACCGAACAATTACGACTTGATATGAATAAATGTGACCCACCTGACGAAGCTGAAATATTCCTCCTGTTCGGATGTCTCTAGCAGGAATCACCTCCACAGGAACAAAGTCTCCATTTTCATTTATCTCCAAGATCTGAATCCACAACTCCAAGCGACGAGTTACTTCACTCCATCTGCAAAAAACAATCACACGTTTTATGCAGCAAATGTTTCTGTAATGTAATGGTTATGTTTGGCCATTTTCAAAGTAGTACCGGTCTCGTAAAGTGCGTGTTTTGGCCTGGATGATGCTGAGGTCCCACAGAGCAGGGTTTCTGCCAGCGTCGGCCTGTCTGTGCCCATAAACTTCAATGGCAACTGCGCCCTCGGTAAGATATTCAATGAAATCCTCCGAAACAGACACGGCATGCTCCTAAAGTGGACCAGAAGGATTCATTAAACATATTCATGCTCCTAAAGTGGACCAGAAGGATTCATTAAACATATTTATGCTTCCTAAAGTGGACCTGAAGGATTCATTAAAACATGATTTATGCTCCTAAAGTGGTCCAGAGATGATTCATTAAACATATTTCTGCCTCCAACGGTGGACCAGAAGGATTCATTAAACATATTTATGCTCCTAAAGTGGACCAGAAGGATTCATTAAACATATTCATCTGCCTAAGTGACCAGAGAGGATTCATTAAACATATTCATGCTCTCAACAAGTGGACCAGAAGGATTCATTAAACATATTTATGGCTCCTAAAGGTGGACAGAAGGATTCATTAAACATATCCATGGCTCTAAAGTGGACCAGAATGAACATTCAACATATTTATGCTCCCCTAAAAGGGTGGGGAAACCAAGAAGGATTCATTAAACATATCCATATGCTCCTAAAGGGGACCAGAAGGATTCCATTAAAACATATTTCATGCTCCTAAAGTGGGACCATAAGGATGCCCTATAAGTGTGGAAGGATTCAAACATAATATTTGGACCAGAAGGATTCATTAACATATTACAGTGCTCCTAAAGTGGACCAGAAGGATTCATTAAACATATTTTATGCTCCTAAAGTGGACCAAAGGATCAATTAAACATATTTATGCGTCCTAAAGTGGACCAGAAGGATTCATTAAACATATTTATGCTCCTAAAGTGGACCAGAAGGATTCATTAAACATATTTATGCTCCTAAAGTGGACCAGAAAGGACATATTTGATGCTTCCTAAAGTGGACCAGGAAAGGATTCATTAAACATATTTATGCTCCTAAAGTGGACCATGAAGGATTCATTAAACATATTTATGCTCCTAAAGTGGACCAGAAGGATTCATTAAACATATTTATGCTCCTAAAGTGGACCAGAAGGATTCATTAAACATATTCATGCTCCTAAAGTGGACCAGAAGGATTCATTAAACATATTTATGCTCCTAAAGTGGACCAGAAGGATTCATTAAACATATTTATGCTCCTAAAGTGGACCAGAAGGATTCATTAAACATATTTATGCTCCTAAAGTGGACCAGAAGGATTCATTAAACATATTCATGCTCCTAAAGTGGACCAGAAGGATTCATTAAACATATTCATGCTCCTAAAGTGGACCAGAAGGATTCATTAAACATATTCATGCTCCTAAAGTGGACCAGAAGGATTCATTAAACATATTCATGCTCCTAAAGTGGACCAGAAGGATTCATTAAACATATTTATGCTCCTAAAGTGGACCAGAAGGATTCATTAAACATATTCATGCTCCTAAAGTGGACCAGAAGGATTCATTAAACATATTCATGCTCCTAAAGTGGACCAGAAGGATTCATTAAACATATTTATGCTCCTAAAGTGGACCAGAAGGATTCATTAAACATATTTATGCTCCTAAAGTGGACCAGAAGGATTCATTAAACATATTCATGCTCCTAAAGTGGACCAGAAGGATTCATTAAACATATTTATGCTCCTAAAGTGGACCAGAAGGATTCATTAAACATATTTATGCTCCTAAAGTGGACCAGAAGGATTCATTAAACATATTTATGCTCCTAAAGTGGACCAGAAGGATTCATTAAACATATTTATCACACGGCTCCTCACAGCAGCAGGAGAACGCTCCATTGATTTGAATGTCATTTCAAAACGTGTTCATGGGAGAACACATTATACATATACATTCTTAACACACGTGCACAGAGGTTTTCAGAATGATCTGTTAACGTTTTTATGAAAAAGATAATGTGTGTGATGGCGGTAAACCCGGAAGTAACCATTAACAATAGTAAAATTATTTAGGAACATTTGCAGAGGATGGAATTATGGATTTAGGTTAAGTTTATGTTTGGGTCACTCACCGCTGATGTTCAGGATTCTGTGTTCAGTTTTCATGCAGTTCAAGAGAGTTCTAGTTTGGAAGTTACTAGTCTAATTGTTACTAGCCTAACTGTTACTAGCCTAACTGTTACTAGCCTAACTGTCACTAGCCTGTCACTAGCCTAACTGTCACTAGCCTAACTGTTACTAGCCTAGCTGTTACTAGCCTAACTGTTACTAGCCTAACTGTCACTAGCCTGTTACTAGCCTAACTGTTACTAGCCTAACTGTCACTAGCCTGTTACTAGCCTAACTGTTACTAGCCTAACTGTTACTAGCCTAACTGTTACTAGCCTAACTGTTACTAGCCTAACTGTTACTAGCCTAACTGTCACTAGCCTAACTGTCACTAGCCTGTTACTAGCCTAACTGTCACTAGCCTGTCACTAGCCTAACTGTCACTAGCCTGTTACTAGCCTAACTGTCACTAGCCTGTCACTAGCCTAACTGTCACTAGCCTGTTACTAGCCTAACTGTCACTAGCCTGTCACTAGCCTAACTGTCACTAGCCTGTTACTAGCCTAACTGTCACTAGCCTGTCACTAGCCTAACTGTCACTAGCCTGTTACTAGCCTAACTGTTACTAGCCTAACTGTTACTAGCCTAGCTGTTACTAGCCTAACTGTTACTAGCCTAACTGTCACTAGCCTGTTACTAGCCTAACTGTTACTAGCCTAACTGTTACTAGCCTAACTGTTACTAGCCTAACTGTTACTAGCCTAACTGTCACTAGCCTAAATGTTACTAGCCTAGCTGTTACTAGCCTAACTGTTACTAGCCTAACTGTCACTAGCCTAACTGTCACTAGCCTAACTGTTGCTAGCCTAACTGTTACTAGCCTAACTGTCACTAGCCTAACTGTCACTAGCCTAACTGTCACTAGCCTAACTGTTGCTAGCCTAACTGTTACTAGCCTAACTGTCACTAGCCTAACTGTCACTAGCCTAACTGTTGCTAGCCTAACTGTTACTAGCCTAACTGTCACTAGCCTAACTGTCACTAGCCTAACTGTCACTAGCCTAACTGTTGCTAGCCTAACTGTTACTAGCCTAACTGTTACTAGCCTAACTGTCACTAGCCTAACTGTTACTAGCCTAGCTGTTACTAGCCTAACTGTCACTAGCCTAACTGTCACTAGCCTAACTGTTGCTAGCCTAACTGTCACTAGCCTAACTGTTACTAGCCTAACTGTTACTAGCCTAACTGTCACTAGCCTAAATGTTACTAGCCTAACTGTTACTAGCCTAACTGTTACTAGCCTAACTGTTACTAGCCTAACTGTTGCTAGCCTAACTGTTACTAGCCTAACTGTCACTAGCCTAACTGTCACTAGCCTAACTGTCACTAGCCTAACTGTTGCTAGCCTAACTGTCACTAGCCTAACTGTCACTAGCCTAACTGTCACTAGCCTAACTGTCACTAGCCTAACTGTTACTAGCCTAGCTGTTACTAGCCTAGCTGTTACTAGCCTAGCTGTTACTTTCATAGCCACAGGAAAACCTTTGGGAACTATTTTATTTTCTGTCATTAATTAAACCTTTTGGCATTCCTTAAATTGGACTGAAGTTTATTTTGTGTGTTCTGTCGGTACAAAGCCTTATAATAAGAGGGATAATGTATAGTAGGCAGGTCATTATCTGAAAAGAAGTACCGACAGGGCGAAGGTCCGTTACTTAGGACCTGCCTACTATACAAAGATTCCCTTACATATTCTTTTTGTGTGGTATGACTTTACCAGACTAAAAAGTGTGTTAATGCTTCACCTTGCAGCTGTCGAACACCACCATGCAGTGAGGGTCTTTGCTGCTGGGCGAGGAGGAGGATGGATCCACTTCGGGGGCGACAACGAAGGGCTCAGGTTGGTCCCAGAATGAGTACTGGCAGAAGACAAAGTTTGACAGGAACTGAGGAAGACCTGTGGCCTGCAGGATTTTGATCTGTAAAAAAACATGGTTAAAAATCCTTAAAAGATCCACTCAACATGGGATAGTTTTCTGGAGTACTTTACTAATTATGTAAACTAGATATTGATAGGTTTGCTGGACCCCCCCCTTCCCTTTGTGTGTGTGCGTGTGCAAGGGTGACTGAGTTTATTATTAATTTCTTTTTTTTTCTTTTTTTTTAAGGGGTCTTATATTTTATTTTGAACCAAACTCGTTCAGTGTATGTGCAATATGTGTACATAGATATGTGTAGATATACATATACTTTATTTGTATTTATTATTATTATTATTGTCACATACTGATATGCATACTGACACCTTTGTTTTTTTTTTGTGTTTTTTTGTGTTTTGTCTGTATACAAAAAACATGTTAAAACTTAATAAACTGATTTAAAAAAAAAAAAAAAAACATTCCTTAAAAGAGGGCGATGAGTGCATTTCTTTCCTCATTAAAGGAATAGTTCACCGTTTTTACATACTGACATATGTTCTTACCTTACCTTAGACTAGTTAATATGTACCTGTCTGGTCCTAGTCCGTGCGCTCTGTCATGCAAACGGAGCAAAAGCGGGAGCACAAACGCAGCCTCCTCTGTATACTGTATAGGACCCAAAAGGTAGCTCCCGCTAGAAGCTACCAAACTCTTCCAAGTGTTCCCTATTAAATGTATATAGTTACGTGACGTGTTACACTGCAAAGTATAGTAACACAGAAATGTAACAGTCGATTTTCTCAGCGGATAAAACGGGTACTATATTGTGAGGCGTAGTAATCTGAGGAGCGCTACGTCCGCGCACTAACTTCTCTCCGTACTACAAGTCACGCTGCTTCTATTGACGGAAGTGAGCGAGAGAGAAGTCTCCGGAGAGAAGTTAGTGCGCGGACGTAGCGCACGGACTAAGACCAGACAGGTACGTATTAACTAGTCTAAGGTAAGGTAAGAACATATGTCAGTATGTAAAAACGGTGAACTATTCCTTTAAAATAACATTGCTTACCATACAGACAAATTTCCGGTCCTGGATTTCAATAGCCTCATTATCTTGGATGTTGTCTAGATCGTCACCGCCAGCTACGCCGTCTTCAAGACCGCCTCCTACTCTCACTACCTCTACATGGAGACGTCCGGTCACCTGAGATATGCAGGGAAGGCGTTCATTTTGATAAACCTAACACGATCTCACACATGATGAAAAAGAAAGGTTAAAATAGTGTTGCTACCTCCCCCTTCTGGTTGATAATAGGCACTGCGTACTGGAGCTTTACATCATAGAACAGACATGACAAAAATACATTGGCGACTCCGATGAGGCTGTGGTTTTCTTGCTCATCAAAAAACGGGTCAGCTCGGCGAAAATATGTCCGCATTCCCTGTGCAGATTCATAGATGCAACATTAATACATTACATATTCACATTCTACTAGGTCCTTTTCATTCATACTCACGGGGTTGTCCTGATCCTGCTGTTGATACTCTTGCCACTCCTGATACAGCTCCCGCATATCCACAAGACGATTCTCCATTTTATCTATACTCCAGATTTGCTTGCCACGAGCCCTTCGTCGAACCTGAATTGCTGGTTCACTGAGCACGGCGTCCCTCTGTGCGGCAAGACAGAAAAGGCTTGTTGAAATCTCTTATGGACAAAACACAGGCTTGAACAGATAAGAATAAAAACCTTGCGATTAGCGTTGAGGTTGTCGGCTGGAATCTGTAAAGTAACTCTGTATTCGGTGTGTCTTTCCAGTTCGTCAGAAATAAAACAGGCCTCTTGCACGAAAAGATTTGCTTTCACAATCTGTTCTCTTAATCTTCGAAGACTCCTCACCAACACTGCCTCCCTGTATGTTGAAAAACGACAACTCTTAAGTCTTCATACTGAACATTTTGACCAGTTTCTCTTTGATTTCGGTTTACCTGTCTTCATTCCACTGCCTCAGCCTGCTCTGGGCGCTGGTGGAGTGGCTCATCCCGCCCATGCTGAGCCTCTCCATGCTGCGGTAGTGGGACTGCTGGCCTTGCTGACTGGGTGCTGGAGTTATGGACAGACGGTCAGGGTTGAGTTTTCGCCGGAGCTGCTGAAGTTCCTGTTCGTACATCTGCCTCTGCCGCTCTAGAGCCGAGCGCTTCTCTTCTTCATGCTGCTGCTCCAAAGACTGCAGCACGGCCTGCATGGGGTCTAAACGGCAAAGACATACTCACAACTCCATTTAGGTTATGGTATTTTCTTCAGATTCATGCTGCTAAAATCTGGAACAGTCTTCCTGAAGATGTGAGACAGGCCTCCTCAATGACAATGTTTAAAACCAGGTTAAAGACAGTTCTGTTTAGCTGTGCTACAACAGATTCAGATTCATTTATTTCGCCATTTGCAGTAACACTACATTGGAATACATTAGTAAAAGTTCCCAGTGTGCACAGGACAAGTACAGACATAAAACAACATTAAAAGACAAAAATAAAACACATTTTAAAAACAGTAAACAAATGTCACTGTGAAGTTGACCAACTAAAACAGATCTGTACAAGTGCAAAAACACTAAAGTGCTCTATTCAAACTGATAACAGCTCGTGGAAAAAAACTATTAGCATAACGAGATGTCCTGCATCTCAGAGAACAGTATCTTCTGCCAGAGGGAAGAAGCTGGAACAAGGCTTTTCCTGGGTGGCCAGAAGAGTCATTGATAATTCTCAGGGCACTGTTAAAAAGTCTGGATTGATAAAGAGCCTCCAGGACAGGAAGCTCACAGCCTACAGTACTCTTAGCAGAGCGGAGCACCTTGTTTAAAGCTCTCTTTTCTTTATCTGTGATGTTACCGAACCACACAGACACAGAACCAACAAGTAAGTACAACTGAGGGATTTTAAATTTGTATCTTTCTTTTTAATGTTCTGTGATTATTCATGATTTTAATGCTTTCTTGTTTTGTTCAGCACTTTGAATTGCCTTGTGTATGAATTGTGCTATATAAATAAACTTGCCTTGCCTTGCCTATTTTCTTGAGTGTTCCCTTACCATTGCTGCCCAAGGCCTTCATCATGACTTCCGTTTGGGCGAACTCGTAAGAGAAGCTGACGTCACTGGACACTTCACTGGCCGTGTCACCGTCTGGGTCCAGCTGGTCACTGCTGCTGCTATTCTTCATGACTCCTCCTTCACCGTCCTCATCATCAGCAGACCAGACACGCTTTTTAGGCAAGTTGATTCTGCAGATACAAATGATGATGTTAACAGATGCAGTCAGTGGTTTTTTCCAGACGCATTCTTTTTTTTATATTATGTGAAAACGTCCTTAAATCCTTAAAGTATCAAGTTATCATGTGTTTTCAAACAGTAATGGAATTGACCAGATGTTTATAGTCTCCAAAAATAAAAAAATAAAACATATTTTGGAGCGGACCGTTCACGTTTGCCGCTCACTCTCCCTGTTTTGACAAAGAAAAGAAAATGTTGGATGTTTGGTTTTGGTGGAGAGGGAGGGGAGGGGGGAGCGGTTTCCAGTTGGTGCTACGGCTAAGCTAACAACATCGCTAACTGCACCTTTAAGCCAAGACAGTTTTGTGCCCTTTCTAAGTGTGTGGTGAGGTCACCTAAAGAAGTGGTTGTTCCCCCAGAGGATGCGATCCCCATGGTGGAGCTGTAGAGCACTGGATACTGGAGAACCATTGACACACGTTCTGTAGCAGAAAAAACATACTTTAAAACAAATCCTCAAGAGGCCAAGCTTCTCCAATCATTTGCTGTAATTCCTGACTGTCAAGAAATGTTATGTGTATTATCATGTTAATAAATGTGTGTAGGTTAGTAGGCTCTAGTCTAGTTAACCAACTAATGCATTGAGGGTGGCGAGAATGCAGAATTCTCCCAGCCTCCAGGCAAGAGTGAAAGAGCATAAGTAAACAAGAGCAGAGTAAACAAGCATGAACCAGAAAACATCTGTGTTGAGACAAGACGACACTTCTTCTGACGGATGAGAAGATTGTTTTGTCACATGTGTTTTAGAACTTTGGTATAAGAAGGCAGGCCTAACTTTCAGCGTGGTCTGTCGTCCGCAGCAGACCCAGGCTCTTCTCTCTCTGCCTGTCTTTTATATGTATTCTGTTTTGTATATTAAACCTTCTTTTATATCTATCTAAGTTTGTAATTTCCTTCCTTTCATCGGGAGACTGTTTAAGGAAACCTGGCTGAACTAGCACAACACTGACCTAGCATTGCGATGAGGCGTTAAGATCACGGCTCCGTCTGAAGTGATGTCAATAACACAGTGCTCTGCTTGGATCCCCATTCCACACAGTTGTATGTCCTGAGAGTCTGCGGACCCCACCTTTGTGTGCTCCTACCAAGAAAACAATGAATACGTGTTTGCAGTATTTATACAGAGGCAATCTCAAGCAGAAGTTTACCTTTAAGTAATAAACCAGAAGTTCATTGAGAGCTGGGTCGGCGTTTAGATTGACCAGAAAACTCTTGTCGTCTCCAACTTTTATTCCCGAAGACTGGAGAGAAATGCCCAGGGACTCCAACTGCTTCTGTCGCTCCTACACACACACACAAAGACTGATGTGAAATGACAAACATAAATCCTACTTTAGTCCGATCATCTTGTATGCAGGGCTGAAGTTTAAGCATTCTTTTTCAAATTAAAAAAACATGTCAACCAATAACAAATGTGTGGACTCTACACGTCAACGCTCCATCTTGAAATACAGTGGTTGATAAGGGACAAGAAGGACTGTCCTGCGAAGCTACCGTAGTGCTGTTAATTACAATATACGATTTCAACACTAGATGAGAGTAAAAACTACACAGTGTACCTTTAATTTGTATTTTAGGCTGTATTTAGCCCTATTTTGAACCTGAAAAGGGTCTGTTTGCACAATGGAAACCAATTATTATATGGTAAAAAATATCAGCAAAATCAGAGGGTACCACTGGGTTAGACAGATTAGATGTGTCTTTTTTTAAGTAATATAAAAAATAAAAATAATATAATTTTAAGTAATATTTATTTATATACCGCCGTCACAAAGGCGGTTTACAATTGTTATTTTTGGGCATTTATCTCTCACTCCACACAGAACGGGGCCAGTACAGGAGGCGCATGCCAGACCTATTGTGCATGTTTTACACCGCAGCACCCGGAGGAAACCTACGCGGACACGGGGAGAACATGCAAACTCCACTCAGAAAGGCCCCGTTCCGACCGGGATTCGAAACCCAGGACCTTCTTGCTGACCTGTGCTATCTCCTCAGTTTTTCTTAGCTTCTCCTCCCAGGTTACAGTCATTTCTTGAATCAACTTCTCAGACTCTTCAAGGCGATCCTTTAACTCCGGAGCTTTCATAGACTGGAGAATACAAAGTCAGTGAGAATGCAATTTAAACAACCAAATGTCTCATGCTAATCTAACCTCGGCCTGGGTCAGCTGAACACGAAGTTTCTCCACCTCTTCTCTGAGTTCCCTGATGATCCGAGCGTTGGGGTCCTCATTAACGACAGCGTGGTTCACGATATTCTTTGCTCGGTCGGCGTATCTCAAAGTGGACAGAGTTTCTTCGTAGTTGTCTGCTGCGGGACTAATGGTTGCAACCATGGCTGTGCGGCTGTTACCCCCAAGACAGTCCTAAAGAGAAGAAGAACCACAGAAAACAATGTGGATTATTGTGTGGTTTCCTGGTTTCATGTCCCAGGTTTCAGATGACGGGTGGATTAGTCGAACACATCACCCCTGTACTCTTGTCTTTGCACTGGCTCCCTGTTCATTTTAGAATTGATTTTTAAATTTTACTGTTTGTTTTTAAATCTTTGCATTTTTTTTTTTTTGTGAATATATGTCTAAATCTTCGAGTGTGATATGTATGTATTCTCATTGTCACCTGTATGTATGTATATAGGTTTACATATGTTTATTTTTTACCTTTTATCTTAGTTTATTTTATTTTTATTTTATTTTTCCTTTGCTCTTTGTTATCTTATTATTTATTATTATTATTTTTTTTTTTTTTTATTATTATTATTATTGTATTTTTTTTTTTATTTATTTTTTTTTTTTTTATCCCCGATCCCCTCCCCTCCCCCCCCCATGATAAAACACAATAAATATCTCAGTCATAAAAATAAAAAAAATCTTTGCATGGACAGGCCCTGATTACATCTCGGACCTCATCCAAATTTACACTCCTGCGCGCCCTGAGGTCCGAGAGCCAGCTCCAGCTCGTGGTCCCTAACGCCAGACTTAAAACCCGGGGGGACAGAGCCTTCTCTGTGGTCGGCCCTAGGCTCTGGAACGCTCTGCCCCTCCATGTCCGGACGGCCCCCACAGTAGAGTGTTTTAAGTCTCGTCTTAAGACCCACTTTTACTCTTTGGCTTTTAACACTGCGTGAGTTGTGTGGTCCTCTGTGTTTTTATTTTATTTTATTTTATTTCTATTTATGGTTTTAATCTGTTTTATATATTTTTATTCTTTTTTACTTGGTGAAGCTGAGGATAAGTTGTTATTTATTTTATACTTTCTTGTGCAGCACTTTGGAAACGTAACTGTTGTTTAAATGTGCTATATAAATAAAGTGGATTGGATTGGATTAGTCAAACAGGAGCGTGTATGGTTAGAAAGACACATCGCAGTAGACTGAATACCATTATTGTCCCACAGATATGAAGTAATCTGAATACTCCTTGTTGACTTGAAGAGCAAAGAAGGGGACCAGGCCAAGATTGAACTGACTTTTCTATTATTAGGGATGCAATGATACCACTTTACCTTCATTTGAGTTCTTGCTGATACCAAATACTGAAATTAGTACAATGTGTTACTCTCTGCAAATTCTTTTATTTCTCATTTCAACAATAAGAAAATGCTTTAACAATTAAACATTTTAGTAATTGTTTTAAAGTCAATAATAAGAGCCACTGTCATAACTCATACAAATGGTACAAAGAAATGGCTCCGGTGCTAGCAAAGGTGCTATTAGAGGTGCTAGCAAAGGTGCTATACTCAGGGCGGTAGTGTGTTTTCAGATGTTTGATCAAGTTTTGCCTTTTACACAACGTACAGTCCGCTTTACTCGTCACTCTCGTTTACTGACTGCCATACGGCCAACATCCGCTTCCAGATAGCTTGCTTGCCGCTAGCTTGCTACCTTTGGGAGATCGCCATGGCAACACGTGACGCACAGCTGCCTGTTGTTGTGACGCTAACGTAAATTAAAAATGTGGGTATTGGTTCCAGGATACGAGTACCAGTAAAACTCTATGGTATTGACCCGATACCCAATACCAGAATCATGGTCAAGTTTATTTATATAGCACATTTTAAAAACAGACAGGACTGTCACAAAGTGCTCACCAGACATTGTAAAAATACAAGACACAAATAACATTCAGCATAAAAAATAAAATGCAGGACACCATCATAAATGTTGTGTTCAAAAGCCAAGGCAAAGAAATGTGTCTTTAGCTGCGATTTAAAACTCTCCACAGAGGAGGCAGCTCTGATGGAGTCAGGGAGAGCGTTCCAGAGTTTAGGCCCTGCCACAGCAAAGGCTCGGCCTCCTCTGGTTTTTAATCTAGACCTGGGACAGTGCAGAAGAAGCATCCCTAATTTCTACATTTCCTTCGATTGCACGATGTCTGTACCTTTAAGAGCCATGTCAGAACGGAGTCTCTGTAGGGAACAAACTTGTTCTTGTTCTTAGCAGTTCCCTGTTCAGCCAGAGCAGATATCACTAGGCCTAAAGTAGTTAATGACCTGAAAGCACAGGGACACAACATAGATACATTTGTTATACATACTATGGCCTGAAAAGTACTAAAAAAACTGAAGTGAAAGCAAAATTATACAAACAAAGGTGAGTAAATATTTTGAGGAACCCTATTTGTTACAATCACAGCAGCTTTGGGGTAAGACTCATCAATCTTTGCACATTTAGAGTAGGGTTATCACAGCTCGAACATTTTATTATAGTCCCGGTAGTAAGATTCATTTAAAGAAATCACTCAAAAAAGCTTCACATGGCATTATTCATTATTATTATTATTATTATTATCATGTGTTTATTTGATAGGGACAGAACAAAACGCATTGTTACAGGAACCGATGCTATGTTCATTCACTTTGTACACCTTGGTGATAAGCTTGGGGCAGACTGACACTTTACTGTGGCACCTGGTGTTCCCAGAGGTCTCCCATCACAGTACTAACCAACCCCTGCCCTGCTTAGCTTCTGACGACAGAGACCAGTATGTAAATGATAACATATTTTCTAATAAGATAAAGACTGCATAACGTGGCCTGACTTGTTCTCAAATATTTACAAGACTCTTTCTGTTGGGACAAACAAAGTGAATCTATGAAACCAAGGTAAAGTTAGGTACAGCAGCTTTAATGCGTCTGGCCACAGTGGCTGCCGTCATTAATTTAAGACACAACTCCAGCCCGGTCTCAGGACTCTTGCAGACTCCAACAGATGTACCGCACAAACTTATTTTTATGTTGTTTGTGACGAAGAACGGCCCTCTTCGGCATTTCGGTTGATTGACAGGTGGATTAGCCAATAGCAAGTGTTTCTGTTCCAGGTATAATTGACAGCTAATTCGGACCAATCAGAAGTTTGTATTTTCAAGGTGCATTGAGAGCACTGAGTTTGTTAAGTTTATCATTTGCAGAGTGTTTTTCGGACCTCGTGCTTGTTCTCCGTGTGCGTTATAAAGAAGTGAGTAGTGGTTGGACTGAAGTCACAAAAATGAGCCCTGCTTTCTTGTATACTGTTTATAAGGCTTTTATAACATAAGTGAACTGCAGATATATTTTAGGAACAATTGAATGTATACTTGTTTTAGTGCTGCTAAGAGCCAATATGCTAACTACTGTGTGCTAAATGTTATTGATATAGCCTGGCCATAGCCATCCGTACACTCCGCTCAATCATCATGTCCTGCATGTAACGTCTGGGTCTGGTCCCTGTGTTTGAGATTACAGTCGGTTGAATTCCATCCGACCAATCAGAGAGCGCAGGAGGCGGGTGTTGTAGTTAGATGTGTGTGACGTCAAGAGTTTGCCCCAAATGAGCAGGTTGTAGTTTGGCGATGAATGCAATAGTAAAGTAATCCGGTCTGGTTCTATCAAGAAACTGAAGCCGGAGCAAGAGGAATGTTTAGCAAATGTAATCGCTGGAAAAGATTGTGGCGCTGCTCCCCACGTGCTCCGTTAGCGGCACAGGAGATGGCTAAAGCTAGGCTAAATGCTAACAACTCACTCGGGCTCATTACATACGTCACAGTAAACTCAGATCCAATGGTTTCAATCTGCAAAAGGAGTTAGCCCCACCATAGTACATGTAATTTGTACTATGGTGTGGTAAGACCAGGCTAATTCTAACATAGACTTTCTTTGTTATTTGCAGGACCACACACACACACACAAATACAGAACCACGCAGATATAGATACCTGCTGTCAATCAGTGTGCAAGGAAGAACTTTTAATAAGCTCAAAACTGGATCATCTCTACTGTGCATTCTTACCGATGCCCCCTGGTGGTCACAACCCCAATTACAAATCAGACAAACTTGACTCTCCCCACAACATTGTTCTTACTTGTTTATGTTGCTTCCCTCCTTCAGTCTTTCACCGGCGGCGCCCGTTTTGGCAGCTCTTTCACTCCCAGCGAGATCGACCAAACTCAGACGACTCACTTTCTCTCCACTCGTCTACATCACAAGAAATATAATTCTTATTTACAGATTATTTACACATTTCATTTGGAGTTTTGGTTCATAAAAGCAAAACGTTTAACCACATTCTCCCATTTTACATAGAACAGATCAATAAAATATCTGTGTTGCGAGAAAAAAAGGGCAAACTCTACCATTTTCTACCGTAATGTGTTTTTAAATGAGATAGTACATAATATTTCACAAGATATTTGACACAGAAACCTTGAGGAAAATTGGGTGAAGTTCTATCTCAGAGATTTATCATAGAATTCAGAGTCACCTCTAATCACAGACATGTTTTATGAGCCGTTACAGAACATACAGGGAGGGTCAATATCTGCTCAGAATGCTGTTTGTAAGAGATATATATAGATATAGAGAGATATTTAGAGATAGAGAGGGAGAGATATAGAGATAGAAGTGTCCCAGTCACGGCTGAATGGAAGAAGCAAACTATAATGTAAACGGTCATGACTCAATTATTTACTCTACACACAAAGCACCAGGATTAGAAGGTTGAAGATATGAAAAGGCCGTAGCCCGGAGCTAACAGGATAACATCACCCACAAAACCACAAAACCAAATAAACATAGTGCACGTTGTTAACAGGCATCAAGGGACAACTACAGCTCAATGGTCCCCTCACTATTTAGTATTTTATAAAACACAGACTTCTACGACGGACAAAAATACATTTGTAAAGCCCAGATTTCATCCCTAAACTACATTTGTCACTTTGTCAGCCTGGGCCTTAGCTTCTGAATGAAGATTTATCCATTGAAAAGTCACAAAAAAGCTAATAAGTATGACATATAAAATCAAAATGAAGTCAAAAACTGTTTGTCATTAGGGCACTGTCCGGTTTCCGAAATGTGCTAAAAATAGCTCAGATGACTGCGCATGCGCGTATGTTTCGGACAAACATTGAGTACGACTCGTTGAATACTACTGTGTTCTCCACATACGCGTGTGTATTTATTTGGGCTAAATCATTGAATCATGGTGACAACAAAACACTGCAGTTATGGTGCTTGTCGGAGCGATTTCAGATACTCTGAAAAGGACTATATGAAAGCAGTAACATTCAACCCGTTCGTTAAACCATACCATCAGACCACACCAGGACCAGACCAGGACAAGATCAGACCAGGACAAGTGCAAGAGGTGGGTGCTTGTGGTCGGCAGAATTTCTCTCATGAAAATGTTAAAAACGACACATGTTTTTTCAAAACACTTGGTCTGTGAAGCTGGACCAACTGTGGAGCATCCAGATCCAGTCCTAGCTACGTTTAGCTGGGACTGGATCTGGACCGTCTGGACCGTCTGGACCGTCTGGACCGCTGTATCAGGTCCGTCTGAGCTCTTCTGAATGTAGTTAGCGCAAACTTTCTCTTTATACCCTTCACCCCATCAATCCATATTAGTATTGTTTGTCCTAATCCAGAATGTTTACAATTCTCACACCTGAAGAAAGATGAGAGGGATCTTTTCAACTTCGTGACTATCGGAAAATAAGTTCAGACGAAGCGCGTCGGGGTCCGTTTATTATACTGCTTTGTACAAACTGAACACACAGAATAAACTTCAGTCACTATTCATGTAGAAAGGTTTATTTAATGAGTGCAAAGAAAATAGTTCCCAAAGGTTTTCCCGTGGCAGGCGAGTAACAGTGAGGCTGGTTAACCTACTGTAAAAAAGGATCGCTTTAGTCGCATTAAAAAAGTATTGTTGTCATGAAAACCTGAACAGATACTTCTGAAAACCTCCGTGCACGTGTGTTACTAATGTGTGTGTATAATATATTCTCCCATTAACATTTACATGTGTTGATTGATTGTCATTTGTGTTTATTGAGTGTGGCTCTGATAGTTTCTCTCAGAGACAGTAGTGGCGTAGCCCGTGTGACCCATGGATCTATTATAATATCAGCTGACAGACTAACTAATGATCAAACTAATTACAAAGTGGACAGTACAAAAAACAACTTGATAAATGAAGTTAATCACAGCAAAACAAACAAAGAAGGCGCTAGCATTGTAATTTAAATGACAAAATAATGTTAGCATAATCCTCACCATTACCTTTTTATCAACTCAAACTTTCTACCATTACAGACCACGACATTCAAGCCAACGTTTTAACTGGTCTACACTATGATCCCTGATGGTTTGATGGTGGAATTTTGCTCCTGGTATTTCATTTTCGTCTAAAGTGACAAGCGGTATTTGATTCATTTCGGCAGTGTTTTGTTTGTCCGAAACATGTGGGCGGGAGTTGACAGGCGGTGGGGGCGGGTCTTAGTGACGTCATTCAGATAGTTCGCTATAAACCCAGGCTAACTCCAGCCTGAGGTGCGCCCCCAAGTGGACATTAAAGGCAGTGCACTAAACCAAAACCTTCCACACACACTAGCTAAATAAGTGAATATAGCAATAATAATAGTAACAATTAAACTTACAATTTGCCCCAAAAAATAGGACAAGAGTAGGTAACTAAATTGGCCACAACAACATTGTACCCCCTTTGTTTTAAATCAGGTTTTATTGAAACTTGCAGCAGGAACTGATGATTGATGAGTGTTAATTTAAGGCAAATGATTTTTGATGAATGTATGAACGACTCAGAATGGGCGCGACTTGAAAGCTGAGATGGCAGTATCATCTGACTAACTGACAGTCATACCTATAAATTATTAACAAGAATTGCTGGTGGCAAGTTTCTCTGGAAACATGAGCAAGGAGCAGGGAACACTGTAGGTCAGAAAGGAAGGAGAAGAAAGTCTGACCAGAGGAATTGTTCCATTTATCAAATGCTGTTCACGTGTGTTTGTTTCCCGGACGGTTGCATTGCTTTTTATGAATTACACGACACATATACATACGATAAAGCAGTCAAACAAGCAGATAATGGTTTGTTCTTACCCCAGACTTCACGTCTTTGAGCGTATGTGTCAAGATGATGTTGAAAACAGCATGTGACCGACTGCTTTCCTCGTTCATGTTCGTGGCAGCAACAGTCCGAGACTTGTTCCCTTCTGACATTAGAGACTCGATGTCCTGTCGAGAAAGACAAAGATCTAGAATATCCACTATGTAATGCTCCGGTATAATAGTCCAAACATCCACAAAACTCCTGTTCAGTGACTCACAATCACAGCCGATATTTACCTTATAACTGGCCACAGCGAGTCGGGAGAGTCCATCTACATATGGTCCTAGTACTTTATGTTCTCGGACCTTTAGTGTTTGTCGCCCCCTGCAACCAAAAAAAACAAATATGGAAAACCATCATGAAAAGCCTGTTTTTATACTCTCAGAGGAAGTTCAACAACAGGTCAAAAGTGTTGCCAAAGTATAAAATTAATAAGTCTAGAGATATAAGTATATATTCTATATTTACCGGCTCTCGGGAAGTACTAATACACCTTCAACTTTTACACATTTGTCATATTTACAACAATGATCAGATTTCATATTTAATATTAATTTTACTTTTTCTTGAAGTGAAAGCAAAATCATAAATATTCTGTTATTTTTCTGAAAATATAAACCTGAAAAGTAGTGTGTGCACAAGTGTTCATACAGCATGAGTAAACACTAGCATTTACAGTATAAACTATAAGAAAATATATTTAAATACAAATATACACATTAACAAACCCTCTCATGTGCATTGGTAAAGAGACGTAATCATGTACTCGGATCTGGAGAAGATCAGATATTCCTTACAAGGTCGTGAAGATACATTTACCAGGACATCCTTAATTATTCTGTTTAAAATGGGAACTTGAACTACACTTTTTGTTTTAATAGTATTTGTATGTTGGTATAAATCCACTTTAATTGTCAGCGTGTTTTCTCATTATAATCTGTGTGAATGTTTATTTTTCTCTGTATAACGTAAAATGATCTATATATATCTAACAGAATATATACGTCTGATACTGTGCATTTAAGTGTTCTGTACTTTCTGTTGCCAAACTGTATACATTTGTGAAAACCCAATAAACAGAATGTTAAAAAAAGGAGGTGCAAGTTAAGTCTTTAAACATCTTGCTATCAGACTGCAGCTGCCCTTTGGAGGACTTCATCATCCCCTGCATCAAACACTCTCCATATGGAAGTCAGATGGTTCTAGCACCATGTGAACACAGAAGGTCAAGGGTCGTTCAGCCAACTCTGGGTTTGGGACAGATTTACTGCAGACGGGACCTGAGGCCGATCATTGGCCCGGGGCACAGGGCTGTGTTTATTTACAGAGTTTTACAGGATTTCCCACTAACAACCCTCATCCTTGGTTTGTGAATGAAAAAAAGCACCAGGTCGTACCCTTTGGGGTCAAGCAGATCTCGAACCTTCTCATTGTAGATCTCCATAAACGACACCTCAACAGTAAAACTTTCCTCTTCACGCTGCTCCTTCTGTGTTCGCTCAAACAAAGCGCTGCATAACCGGGGAATCAGGCCAGGCTGGTCCCCCGACCCCATCATCGTGTAGGACTTCCCTGAACCTAGGACACCACGGGATAAAAGCACAATATAATTAAAACCATGGGCAAGAAATACAGTATTATAGAAGAGAGTAAACAAGCCAAAGAGAAAACCGTCTCCTTCCTGTATCACTGGTGCTGCTTTTACTTATAACCTATTTTTGAAAAAGTTGGACGTATATATACTCTGTAGTACAATAGTGACATGGAGCAGATTAATGACGCCGCGGTGGAAATCTGCACTGCACCCTTTGTGACTATATGCAGCAGAACAGTATAGCTCACCCGTTTGTCCATATGCGAAGATACAAGCGTTGTAGCCCAGGAAGGCATTGTTGAGAAGGTTTTCCCCAAGGCACTGGAAGACCACCTCCTGACCTGAAGATACAAAAAGTTACTTTTCTGCTGTGTTATAACTCATTCTCCTGTACTTTGGACTCTCAGACCGACCTGCAAACTTGTCTGTCTCCGACTCATCCATGGACCAGAAACAGTAATCGTACGCAAACACCTAATACAAAAAAATATGAAGTAATCACTTATTCATTTCTTATAGTAATGGAAATTAGTAGGTCACTGTTCATTTGTGTTGGTACCTTGGACTGGCATCTAGAGTTGTTGGGGCGATGGAGATCCACAGAAGTATGCAAACAGAGAGAAAATACATAAAAGATGAAGTCAGCGAAATATTGTGGGAAAACATCTCTAAACCGTAAAAGTAGTCAAGATATAATGTGTTTTCAAATAGTAATGGTAATACCAGATTCCTATTGTCTTCAAAAATGTATAAACAATGTTTTGGAGCGGACCGATAAAAATAAACCAATGGGATTCGTTCTTCTCCAACGAACCAATGGGATGTGTTTACCGCCTTCACCCTCTTCCTGTTTCTCGAGTGCACTGGAGTTATTGGATTTTCTAAAACCTGAAAGGGCTGAACAGAAAATGCCAATTTCACGTTTGCCGCTCACTCTCCCTGTGACAAAGTAAAGAAAATGCTGGATGTTTGGTTTGGTGGAGAGGCGAGGGGAGTGGTTTCCAGTTGGTGCTACGGCTTAGCTAACAACATCACTTACTGCGTCTTTAAAGACCTTATGCCGGTTTTTTTTATTTTAAATTGTGAATATCAAAATTGCATGACAATGTCGATCTGAATGAGATTCCGGCAAAAAAAATCCTATATTTTATAAAAAGAAGGTGTTTTTCATGAATTTAAGTTGTCTATGCTCTAACCTGTGTGTGACGTCACAGCGGGTAACGCCCATGCATTGAAAACCATGGATCTATGCCACAGGACTGCCTTTTCTCTCTTCTCTCCACTGATGCCCAACACAATACTGCCCTCTACAGGTGACAATTGCTCACTACACATAAATTGACGTTTTGAGTGTGAAAAAGTGTCTGAGGTGGGATTTGAACCCAAGTATCTGGATTGACAGTCCATCGACACAACCACTGGACTATCTCAGTGACAACAAAATGTTATATTCTAGTATTTATGTCACACTCGCTGTACACGGCCTTGTCATCTTGAATATCCGCGAAAAAAGAACGAATACCAAATTGTAAACAACTTACAGCGTTGAAACGTACCCACTCTGACGTCACCAAGGGCTGTGAAGTTTTTTCGTCTCTAAGGGCGTTGCTATGGGGTTATTTCAATTTGAGGGGATCAGACAAAAAAAACAACTGATTTTGAAACCTTTAGTAGTTCTCTTCTAATATAAAATGGTATTAAAACTGTATTTCTAAATAAATCAAACCCGGCATAAGGTCTTTAAGGCTGGAATAGTCAACAGCGGTTTTAAAATAGTGTAGTGCCTTCTTCCACATGTTAGTAATAATTTATAGCCACTGTTCAAAAAGAGGTCATTGACATTTCTTTGTTGTCAACAGTCAAAGAACCTCGTCTGCATGTTTCCAATGATGCTGCTGGCACTAAAAGAATCTTATGAATTGATAAAAATAGCCTGAATGTGTGGATCCATGTGGGGCTGGTGAAGGGAGGCAGAGATGGGGCCTGGTGCATGTGTGGGCCGGGATCAGATGGTGCCATGGAGGGTTACTGGGTCAACGCTGGGCTTGGAATCAACACCACCACACGGGAGTAATGAGTCCGCAAATAGACAACAATGACATTTATCCAGGGGAGGGGTGCTGCTGATAGAACGGTGACTTAATAAAGAAAGTATGCACACTGATCGCTGCTAAAATGTACAGGAAATTGAAACCTTATCTTTTAGTATTTGCATGTAAGTAAGTAATCTTTCACCTTTCACAGACCAGAGTCACAAAGCACTTTACATGTTTAGTTTTTTGGGGTCTCTCACTCCGCAGAGAAGGGAACGGGTCGCCATACAGGAGGTGCATGCCAGACCTATAGTGGTAGGGGACAGCGGAGCACCCGGAGGAAACCCACAGGCACGGGAAGAACATGCAAAGTCCACGCAGAAAGGGCTGAAGGTGGAATAAATAGGTTTGAATGTTTATGTAGGTCACGTTTATTCATCCCCATCTAGTGTTAATTTAATCATCATTACTGATTTCTATTGTTTTAGATAAGGTTTGTGTTGGCCCTAAATGAACCAACTCAGACTCTGAGGAGCACAGGGACTGGACTCCTGCTGGGACTCTCAGGAGCACAGGGACTGGACTCCTGCTGGGACTATGAGGAGCACAGGGACTGGACTCCTGCTGGGACTCTCAGGAGCACAGGGACTGGACTCCTGCTGGGACTCTCAGGAGCACAGGGACTGGACTCCTGCTGGGACTCGGAGGAGCACAGGGACTGGACTCCTGCTGGGACTCGGAGGAGCACAGGGACTGGACTCCTGCTGGGACTATGAGGAGCACAGGGACTGGACTCCTGCTGGGACTATGAGGAGCACAGGGACTGGACTCCTGCTGGGACTATGAGGAGCACAGGGACTGGACTCCTGCTGGGACTCTCAGGAGCACAGGGACTGGACTCCTGCTGGGACTCTCAGGAGCACAGGGACTGGACTCCTGCTGGGACTCTCAGGAGCACAGGGACTGGACTCCTGCTGGGACTCTCAGGAGCACAGGGACTGGACTCCTGCTGGGACTCTCAGGAGCACAGGGACTGGACTCCTGCTGGGACTCTCAGGAGCACAGGGACTGGACTCCTGCTGGGACTCTCAGGAGCACAGGGACTGGACTCCTGCTGGGACTCTCAGGAGCACAGGGACTGGACTCCTGCTGGGACTCTCAGGAGCACAGGGACTGGACTCCTGCTGGGACTCTCAGGAGCACAGGGACTGGACTCCTGCTGGGACTCTCAGGAGCACAGGGACTGGACTCCTGCTGGGACTCTCAGGAGCACAGGGACTGGACTCCTGCTGGGACTCTCAGGAGCACAGGGACTGGACTCCTGCTGGGACTCTCAGGAGCACAGGGACTGGACTCCTGCTGGGACTCGGAGGAGCACAGGGACTGGACTCCTGCTGGTGCCCAGAGTCAGGACTACAATCTTCCTGAAAACGTGAGACAGACTTCTTCTCTGATAATGTTTAAATCCAGGTTAAAAACTGTTTATTTTAAATATATTGTGATTATATAAGAATTTAATGCTATCTTGTTTTGTTCAGCACATTTGTGTATACATTGTGCTATACAAAAAAACTTGCCTTTACTACATTTAACTCTGTCGTCGCATCCTGAGCAGAATTTACAGCCATATTTCTCACACCTGTTTCTATTTGGAAATGCACATTCCTCTGAAACCAAAACTGCAGCCGTTGTACATTTCAATCCAATCACTTTTCTTTTCCATTTTTACTTTCTCGTGTTCATGAGTTTAGCTTGGTTTAGTCCAACATATTTTTGCCTGAGGCTTCTGCGAGCATCCCACTTTCGCCCATAGGGGTGGAAATCGGCTTGGCAGCTGTCTGGGTGAAAAGGTCCATCACAGCAGCTCTAGCCGCAGACTGACCAATGACAGGCCAGCCCTCCCCCTTCTCCTCACCTCCTCCCCCCCCTTCTCCCCCAACCCCACACCACTGCCCCTTCCCTCTGCTCAGATCATCGGTGTTTAAAAAAATAACTTGATGCATGGATGCTTTCTCCCTCCCACTCTTTCTCTTCTGCTGTTAGTGCTCAGGAATGCTTTACCCTTCTCTGGACTGTACCATCTCAGACTGAACCACCTCAGACTGAACCACCTCAGACTGTACCATCTCAGACTGTACCATCTCAGACTGTACCATCTCGGACTGAACCATCTCAGACTGTACCATCTCAGACTGTACCATCTCAGACTGAACCACCTCGGACTGTACCATCTCAGACTGTACCATCTCAGACTGTACCATCTCAGACTGTACCATCTCAGACTGTACCATCTCAGACTGTACCATCTCAGACTGAACCACCTCGGACTGTACCATCTCAGACTGAACCATCTCAGACTGTACCATCTCAGACTGTACCATCTCAGACTGTACCATCTCGGACTGAACCATCTCAGACTGTACCATCTCAGACTGTACCATCTCAGACTGAACCACCTCGGACTGTACCATCTCAGACTGTACCATCTCAGACTGTACCATCTCAGACTGTACCATCTCAGACTGAACCACCTCGGACTGTACCATCTCAGACTGTACCATCTCAGACTGTACCATCTCAGACTGTACCATCTCAGACTGAACCACCTCGGACTGTACCATCTCAGACTGAACCATCTCAGACTGTACCATCTCAGACTGTACCATCTCGGACTGTACCATCTCAGACTGTACCATCTCAGACTGTACCATCTCAGACTGTACCATCTCAGACTGTACCATCTCAGACTGTACCATCTCGGACTGTACCATCTCGGACTGTACCATCTCAGACTGTACCATCTCGGACTGTACCATCTCGGACTGAACCATCTCAGACTGTACCATCTCAGACTGTACCATCTCAGACTGAACCACCTCAGACTGAACCACCTCGGACTGTACCATCTCAGACTGTACCATCTCAGACTGTACCATCTCAGACTGTACCATCTCAGACTGTACCATCTCAGACTGTACCATCTCAGACTGTACCATCTCAGACTGTACATCTCAGACTGTACCATCTCAGACTGTACCATCTCAGACTGTACCATCTCGGACTGAACCATCTCAGACTGTACCATCTCAGACTGTACCATCTCAGACTGAACCACCTCGGACTGAACCACCTCGGACTGAACCACCTCGGACTGTACCATCTCAGACTGTACCATCTCAGACTGTACCATCTCAGACTCTAGCTTAATAGTCCATCAGCCAATGAGGTCTTAGACATGTTTTGAGTCACCACACGATCAAACTCATAGGATTACACACCCAACACCATTCATTATCTCTTTTTAGTATTCTCTTTTAAGCTCAAGTGGTGTCAAAAAGGTTTTTAATAGCTATAAATATAATATTGACAATTACCAAAGTAACTTATTAACCATAGGAATCAACTGGGACTGTGGAGCACAGGGACTGGACTCCTGCTGGTCCCAGAGTCAGACTAAACATGGGGAGCCAGCATTTCAGATTCATGCTGCAGAAATATAGAACAATCTTCCTGAAAATGTGAGACAGGCCTCTGCTCTGAATGTTTAAACCCAGGTTACAAACAACTGCGGGATTTTTTAGTTTCCTCTTTTTTTTTATGTACAGTAGCTGCGTTTCCATTGAGCATCAAATTTCGAAATTTGAATTTGCGCATCATAAAATGTCTAATGGAAACGCGCAAATTTCGAATAAACCACGGTTTTTCGATAAAAAGTTAATGCGCTTAAAATCGGTGGTTTTTTTGGACGTATCGAAATTAAGTTTTTCGCAAAACGGCAATGGAAACACTTATTTCGATATAGCGGAGGAAGCCGGGTGTTGATAAACCCAAAACATACATCTCTGATCATCAGCAGATCGTCCACAACAGCCTGCAGGGTAATTGACGGACACCCTTTCCTGTTAACGTAATCCCTGTAGCCATCCTTCGGGGCACGAATAGGGATGTGTGATCCATCTATTGCTCCATAGATTTGTGGCAAGCCCTGCGCTGCGTAATTACGCATGGCAATGTCTTTTGCCTCATTCACATCTGGCAATGCGATGTATTTCTTCATTAGTTTTTTACATAACGCCTTACACACCCCATAAACACACCGATGGACTGTGGTCTTGCTCAGTCTAAATGTCTCAGCCACTTCTCTATACTCCGCGCAAGTAGCCAGTTTATAGATATAGCAATGGCAATGCTCTTCTCTGTGGGAACTGCCTCTCTAGGGCAGTGTGCAGCGGGAGCCACAAGCTGCCCCACCGCTTCGCACAGCTCCTCAAATGTTGTGCGCGTCATTCTGAAGTTTTGGATCCATAGTTCCTCTGTGAAATCATGTACCACGACTTCCCAAAAGGTTCTCATCCGCATCCTCTCCAAGTATACGGAGATCGCCGCTCCATTACACTCAGAAGGAGATGCCGCCGACGCTTAATCCGGTTAAGGATGAGAGCCGCAGCAGAAGTCAAGACATTAATATATCTCATGTAAATCAAAGTGTTGTTTACTTCTGTTGCCATGTTGACGTACTAGAAACTAGTGAATAAACGCGCGAAAATAGTGTATACTTATTCGAATATGTCTTAATGGAAACGGTCGCTTTTGCGAATTACAGGTTTTTTGAATTTTGAAATGTATCGAAAAAGTTTTTGCGCATTATTCAATGGAAACGCAGCTACTGATTAATTGAGGAAAAAGCTCTTCGTATATCGTCTGAAAAATGGTCCGTCTGTCGAGGTAATGAGCACAATGTATATTTGTGTTTCTTAATTCACTTGACTGTTACTGGATAATTTACAGTTTGAGAGCTTTTGCCAGATCCATAAACTTTCCGAGGTCCGTTCTTGGCGAGATTAAACTGAAGCTGTGACGTCTCAGAGAAAAGGGCAGACAGAGGAATGAGTCTTTTAATAGCTTCAAAGGAATGGTTTTCTGTGTATGTGAATGAATGTTTCTGCCATTGCCTCATTTGAACAACACTCCATCCATCCATTTCTTCCCCTTAATCCATTTCTGGGTCGGGGGGGTGGCAGTCAGAGCTGCACCCAGTCACAGAGCACCAGCCCCTCACTGATCCTCCTGCAGGTGCTGAGCTCTTTCAGTGGGGGCTTCAGGCAAAGTGGGGTTAAGTGTCTTGCACAAGGACACAACGGCAGCAGCCATCAGTGGGAGTCGGTGGAGAAGGTCCCATGGTGGGCTCGAACCCACGACCTTCAGGCTCAAAGGCCAATGCTCTACCAACTGAGCCCCTGATCAACAGTATTAAAGGTATGTAGGATTTTCTACTTGCGGGTGGATCATCAAGACTATTGGTCCAACTAATTATCAATCATTCTGATAATACATGCTCGTCAAATAAGACCAGAGAGTTTTGTTAAAAAAGTAGAGGGCTGGTTTTAAACACGAACTGAAGCATTTATTTTTGAAACATAACAGTGAATATTATAATGTAAAATTCCATTCCATTTTCTTTCGCTTCATCCGTTGCCGGGTCGCGGGGGCAGCAGTCTAAGCAGAGACGCCCAGACTTCCCTATCCACACATACTTCCTCCAGCTCGTCCGGGGGGACCCCAAGGCGTTCCCAGGCCAGCTGAGAGACATAGTCCGACACGCGCACGGTCCGACACGCGCACGGTCCGACACGCGCACGGTCCAACACGCGCACGGTCCGACACGCGCACGGTCCGACACGCGCACGGTCCGACACGCGCACGGTCCGACACGCGCACGGTCCGACACGCGCACGGTCCGACACGCGCACGGTCCGACACGCGCACGGTCCGACACGCGCACGGTCCGACACGCGCACGGTCCGACACGCGCACGGTCCGACACGCGCACGGTCCGACACGCGCACGGTCCGACACGCGCACGGTCCGACACGCACACGGTCCGACACGCACACGGTCCGACCACGCACACGGTCCGACACGCACACGGTCCGACACGCACACGGTCCGACACGCACACGGTCCGACACGCACACGGTCCGACACGCACACGGTCCGACACGCACACGGTCCGACACGCACACGGTCCGACACGCACACGGTCCGACACGCACACGGTCCGACACGCACACGGTCCGACACGCACACGGTCCGACACGCACACGGTCCGACACGCACACGGTCCGACACGCACACGGTCCGACACGCACACGGTCCGACACGCACACGGTCCGACACGCACACGGTCCGACACGCACACGGTCCGACACGCACACGGTCCGACACGCACACGGTCCGACACGCACACGGTCCGACACGCACACGGTCCGACACGCACACGGTCCGACACGCACACGGTCCGACACGCACACGGTCCGACACACACACGGTCCGACACACACACGGTCCGACACACACACGGTCCGACACACACACGGTCCGACACACACACAGTCCGACACAGCCTCTTTGAGACTGAGCTTCCCGTGTTTGCCGCAGTGACATCTACAGGAGACAGATTGTTGTCAGATTGTGTCAACATTGAATGTGCCCGTCCAACGCAAACAGCCTTTGGTCACCAGGCAAGCTGTAGTGTCCACACGTCTGTGGGAGAGTTCATCATTCAAGGACGTGGTGCCCTGGAAAGTTACTATGAACTTTTATATCCCAGTGTTAAGGCTTCAAAATATCACATTACCTCATTTTATCCATTATGCATGACTCCTTTGTTAGTTTAAAATCTGGATTTCAATGTAAAATCCTGTAGTAAAGTAGAGTAATGCACAAAACAAACTAAAACAACTAAAAATCACATTAACCAATTCAAATACACATTATCTTTCGAGGAAAACATAAAAAAAACAGCTATTTAATATTTTTGTTGGATAATTGTGGAAGTATTTGTCAGGAAGAGGAAAAACCATTAGTATTTGTGTATTTTTTTACCTTGGAAGTCTTAATTAATTTGCTAAAAGGGAAAGCCACAGTATTATTTGACTTCCTCCAACGCCCTTCCGGACATGATTTTTAGCCTTTACGATTTTGTTGATGCAGCAACTTCTTTTTTGTATTGTACAAGAACAAGTTTCCTTTGCGTTTTTTCCGTGGCACCCGATTGGGAAACATCGCATAATTATGGTCCAAATTCACCATCCCTGTGAGTCATGGTCCGAAGACATTTGAGGAAATAAAAATCCAAGCCAACTTCATGAGCTCTGTAACTGCAGGCGGAAAAACGACTCGCACACACACGGATCACGGCCGTACATGTCAAGAACAACAACCATGTCTGTGTCAGGAGAAGTTTACTATGGAGAGCACAGAGGTGGAGCTAATCTGAAACGCAGAGTGGCCTCAAAACATTGCACATTACATTAGATCAGCAGCATCACTTAATGGCACCCTTTCAGCCATTTACAGCAGATCCATACATTCATCAATACAGAGCGCGGAGAGTTTAATGGGCTCAGAGACTGAAACAAAAGGCAGGGGTTAATCCACTGCATCAATGGATTCTCTCGGTCAACCCCAGCTGGATTTAGCCTCTTCAAATGTAATGTAAATACTGTAAATTCTGGACCATAAGCTGCAGCTTTTTTTAATTATTAACTCATTGACTGCCATTGACGTATTTGTCTGAGACCCTCTCTTCGACTGGGGATTACAGGACAATACAAATAGCTAAAGACAAACTTATTTTTGCTGAGGAAAGTAGACAATCCAGTCTTTCAGAATCTGGTTTCATATTTCACATAGGTTTAGGAGATTATATTCTGTGGGTCTTGAGAATCAGGGAAATCATCAAAAACGGCTTGCTTGCAATACGGAAATAACAGACAAAAACAAAACAAAAAACAGACAGAGAAAAATCAATCAATAAAAAGATTTTTCCTGCATTTTAAAGTCTACGGCTTATATCAAGGTGTGGCTTAAACTTTATATTTTATTTTTATTTTCTGTGGCAGTAGACCAACAGAAGCGATGAGTAGTACACACAGGTCAAATTGAATTGTAAGTTTTGTCCGTCAGGCAGATTAAATACAGTTTAAAAGTCCTCACTCATATCTTTGTGTAAATATCTCATAATAATAAATAGTTTTCTGGTTCTCTGTAAAGAAATGAAAGTGGGATTTGGATTTCTTCTTCACACTGGATAGAACAGTCCGTGACTCACTTCTCACTGTTATTACTCACAGTAAACAGACGTGATGAATGTTTTTGAGCAACATTTTTCAATATTAAAATGTGGGACAGTTGCGGTTTATAATCCAGTGAGGCTTGTATAAACAACAACAAGTCAAAGGTTGAGGATTAGGTTTTGGCTTGATGCAACTTGTGGAGGCAGCGTTACACGTTTAACCAGTCAGGAAGATGACAAGCTCTGCTGATTTGCATCCATGACTCCAAACAAAAGGTTTCCTGATACCCTTGTTAGATAAGCAAATAGCATGCACCTGCAGCATGAGCTAACCCGGTCACTGCTAGCCTTCTTGATTTAGCTCTGACAATTCAGCCACATAAAAGTACAATAAGGAAGCATCTCAAAAGAAACAAATATGGGAGCAGTATCAACAAACTCGATGAAGCCGTGTGCACGAGCAACTTTCTTCTTTTGTCCCACTGAGATGGAGAGAAAAGCGATAGTCCGGCTCTTGTTCAGCGTACCATAAAAGTCAACAGACAAAGTTTATGAGCGACAGATGCTGGAGAAGTACGCCCCTTTCCCCTTCTTGCTCCGTCTCGCGGACTGAAGAGCAGGCGCTTCACGGTCACCTACGTCGACCCCGAGCTAACCTCCCCCTGTGTTGCCACGGAAACGGAAGAGCCGTGAATGAGGGAGGAAGCCGGAGCGGCGGTGGGAAGTTAAAGCCCCACTGTGTTTTATGCCTGATTGTGTGTTTTTCATTCCAGCATGAGCGTCACGTCGGCGCTGGCACAGCTACAGAGACAGTTTATGTTGTCTGCTGGAAAATCTCACATGGTCCAAGCCGGCATTATTTACTGCAAAGGCTCGGCCAGTATGCAGCCAGCTCGCATGCCACAAAGGTATCTTTCTTCCGACGCAGCTGGCTCGCTCCAAGATGGCTGCATGGAGCATTCCAGGGCATACTGCATGACTTTAAATTGTGGTATAGCAACTTGCCTGGAAAGGAGGTTAATGTTTGTTTACCATAGACTAAATATTAACGGATGTAGTCGCGCCCATCTCCGTCGTTGAAACCAATGTGCCACCACTTTTGCTGTGTGTGGGGCTTTTTCAAAATGGCCATGGGCAGGAAAATGTGAAAAACGAATTTGCCCATGTGTTAGCTACACTAGCGTCATTAATTTAATGAGTTCTTTCTGAAGTCCGTAGCAACAAAACTAGTCTGGTCCGAAAAAATACACTCCCCTCAGCATTGACAGCATTTGGAACGTATCTTTGAACCAAGAGCCACTTTTGGACCATACTGTTTAGACGTTTTCAAGAGGAAAGATGACGCCATACAAAAGCATTGGATAATTCTCTTTCTGGGTACACCCCCACAGGCCTGAGGTGGTATTGCAAGCATATCAGCGCACATGCTTATGGATGTTTTTGAGCCGGGACCCGCTCCCGTTTATTTTACTTTTATACAACTTTGGTAATTTGAGGGCTTTTAAGAATGAGTTGTGCTAGACAAACACACTTATCTTGCCTTCTCTGTGTTCAAGAAGACAGAAAATTGTTCGGAGAAATCTGGGAAAATAAGGCTTTGACATAAACTATGCACAAAACACCTGTCAGTGAAATCCAGCTGCTCTGCTTGCTTCCTGCCAAAATTTGTATAATGCCGGGAGAGGAACATTCCTTACAAATTTGGCACAGTTATTAAGTTAGGGACAAGGGCGATGATCCAGGGCATTCAGCGACATTTATGGAATCAGAATCAACTTTATTGCCATGCCAACAGGAAGTCAGACATCTACTAACGTTTATAGACATTGGTCATCCGCCCCGTTTTTATCATTGTATTTCCTGTGATTTAACTGTTGGATTTGGTTCTCTGATCTGTGTTGGCCAATCAGAGTGCTCAGAGAAAACAACTGTTGTGATTCAGGGCTATACAAAAACAAAATGAATTATTAATTATTAAGCAGCTCCTTATAAGTGTGAGAGTATATGGCCCAACGGTAAAACACAAATATATTCACACGGCCGTATTCAAGCAGCAGCCTCGGGAATCAAAGGTGAGTGTGTAACGTAACAATGAAACTACCTGGAGTCTTTCGTTCCCGCTGGATGAAGCACGGTCTGGTTCTTCATCATCTCCACCACACATTTCGTGTTCAGTTCTTTCTCTGCATCAGATAAAACACAAGTCAACTCCAGCCGACAAAGAACAGAGCACTTCAGAGCTGTGTTTGAGCCGATGTGTCGCAGAGGTCAGTATTTGACTTCAGTTACTTTGATTATAACTCTTTTAACGATATATTAACTCTAACATGAAACTCATAGGATAAACTTATTACACAAAAAGTGAATAATATTTCATTTTTTCATTTCATTTTCAAGCCCTTTATTAGTCCATTTCTGGGTCAGGACTGCCACCCCATGCTCATAGCACCTGTCCCTCACTGATCCTCTGCAGGGGGTGAGTCCACAGGAAGATGGCTGCTCTGTCAGTGGTGAAACAGCCTTGGTCTTTCAGCGGGGGCTTCAGGCAACGTGGGGATAAGTGTCTTGCCCAAGGACACACCGACAGTAGACATCAGTGGGAGCAGTCAGGAATCAAACTCACAACCTCAAGGCTCAAAGGCCACTGCTTTACCAACTGAGCTACTGTCGCCCCCGAATAATAATATCAAGCCTTTTATTTGTTCAAATGTTGCTAACACATTTTATTTGGTCTGTAAAATACTTTGAAAATTAACTGAGCCATAATCATCATAATAAGTATAAATGATGAATATTACCAATGTTTACTTTTGCAATGACAAGTCAGATGAGGAATGTACAGAAGCCAGAAAAACCAATGTGCTTCCAGCTCTTAGTAACATGACTCAAATGTTCTCGTCACACAGTAGATGGAATTATGTCCAAATATGCATTAAATAAATGGTCAGTTTTATGATTAATAAAGTAAAACCTCACTGTTTCAAAGGTGCGGTCAAATTACAGTTGAGTTTTGTTACATGCAAATGGCCGACTGAAAAACTTACAACAAAACTGCACAATTTTGACAAAATCTCATCTCATTTCATTCTGGCAACATTATGAATACAATGAGAATTTGGATAAATGTTTAAACTGAAAGTATTACATTTGAATCAAACAATTGGCAGCTTCCCACACACTTCAGACAAAATCTGTGTTCATGATAGAAATGGATTAAGTGAAAAAGATTTAACCAAAATACAAGATATTTTCTTTGACTTCTTCCTGTTCACTTTTAGCAGTAAATTTTCTAATTGTGACCTCTAAAATTGCAATTTATTGTTCATTAATTTAAGGATACCTGCATTGAAAGCAGTCTCTTTTGGATTCCACTGTAACAGTTACCTTTTTACTGGGACTGAGGACAAGACTCAGTCACTTCGTTTGCAGAGTTTCTCTGTACTCGATTCGCTGTTAGTATTTTTGTTAATTCTTTACTTTTGGTACAATATATTAAAGACAAAACAGATTCTTTTGCTGATGGGAGAAAACATACCCCTCCTCCCCCTCAAATAAAGACCATAGTTCACTTCAGTGTTTGTTCAAGGCAGCAGCCAGAACCTCACCATAAAACATGTCTGAGCTTCAGTGAGCTCCTACGTCTCAATAGAAATGATGATTGAATCTGAAATGCACTTTCCAGATGTTTCCTGCTTAATTATTTTCCAGTTTTTTAGGACTAATTAAAGCTGTCAACCTGCTTACAGAATGATTGTATCATATATCTAACTATTATTCTTTAGAGTAAAAAATATGTTGTATTATTGTTATTGTATTATTTGAAATGCATGTAATGCTCGGTTTAAGTCTTAGATCATGTGGAGGTGAAATAGTTAAAATTCAAATTCAAAATTACTATTTTGTCAATGAATAAAGCTAAAGCTCCAGATTTACTTTACCAAAAATGATTCCAGTGTAAACTACATCACTCATGTGTCCCTTTTCCGACAACCACTTCCTGGTGAAGAGAGGGGAAAGTGTGATGAAGTCGTGAGGATAAATGAAACCATTGTTATTATTTGCTGCTTCATGCTCTGTTGCAGCTCCTAGTATCCACTGGGCATCGTTTCCAACGCTCAGGTCTGGCATCATGGAAGGAAAATGACTCCTGTATTGCCATTGATGTGCCAGTGTTTGCCTGTGCTCTTAGAAGGACTCGGCCATGGGAACCATGTACAATTACACAACGTTAGCAAATACTTATTCCAATGGACTCCCTTCCTGCCTTTGTCCAGAGAGGCAGCTACACCAGCCCCGGACCTGGGACATTGAGCAAATGACTCAAGTTTGGTATACATGGAAATAGTGTGGTTTCAAGTGACTTCGACCTCTCGAAGTCAGGGATTCTCAAAGAGGGGGTCAGTACCACCAGTGGCACAAAGCACAAAGATAAAAACCTTAAGAATTTTCACTGAGTGAAGAGTAGAGCAGTAAAATAAACGACTCCAACTCAAAAGACTACATGAGATTTAGCTTTGTTTGGATTATTTCTGCTTTAAATGTACTGTGGGTCTCTAACCCTTCACTTGGAGAAGGGTTAGAACCACTATGCTAACCAACAGCTATTAGCTTGTGACAACTGGGTCAGTGGCTCTTTTCCCAAGGTTTATGATAAAGGTGGACTTTGAACTGTTTTGTGGGCTAAATACTCTGCGGAACATACTTTGTTTATGAAATATACAAACATTTAACAATGAAACGTTTTCTTGATTTGACCTGAGAAACAGATTTGACACCATCATATCTTTGAAAAATAAAAAAATAACAAAACAATTGTTGATGAATTGTTCTACTAAAAACAGTTTTGTACGGGAAGAGAAGGGTGCTCCACCATTCTCATCTTAGAGTCTAGCTATAACACAATTATAACACCGCTGAGTCAACTTTCAACAGACATTTAATTTGACTGATTACAAAAAACATCATCAATACTATTCCACCAAATGTAATTGTTAATTAAAATAATCCGTACCACTTTAACTTTAATGATGACAGGTGTCATCCATAGCAACTGGAAGTCCTCATCTGAATGGCAAAACCATAACATTCAAATCTGTATCAATATGAAGCCCTAAAAGAAAAACACACCGGACACCCCTGACCTTGTAGAAACAGCGGGGCGATCGATGCCTGGTCTTGTGACCAGAGTTCCCAGACACAGAGCAGCAAGTACACGTGGTACTGACTGTGTCTGTCCAATGCTCACAAACAACAGCTATTTCTTTATACTGATGAACAATCATTACAAAAGAGTAATAAGATTAGATAAAGTCACACATCCTGTAGATGCATGAGTTTAGGGAAAGCTATAACAGTTCAAGAATCAGTCTTGACATCCTTGGTATGTGTCAGTGAAGCAATCCAGTTGTATTGGTCTAGTTGTTGGCAGTTCGCCACAAGAAAAGCACCATGTCTACATCTCGCATGTGCTGTCATTAGGGAGGTGGAAAAAAGTCCACCACAGCACAGCTTTTTTTCTCAATTAATTTCCCTAATGGATGGTGAGAACTGATTTACATTAAACTTCAAGAAAAACGACTGAACTGGCCACACAAGTCCATGCAGATGTGAAGGGGAAACATTACATACATACATAAAGTGTAATGTCTACAGTGTGAATGTGTAAAACTCAGATGTGACTGCTTGTGTAAGTG